GCAGTGAATTGTGATCCTGCACCACTTATGTAACAAGGAAATACATTGCATGACTTGCAGAGGCATGCAGGAACTGCATTACTAAGGTGAGGGAGTGCTGCTGGGTCAAGGCTGGCAATAGATCCACTATAAGTGATCTTTTTCTGGACGTCCAGATCTGGTTTTTTGACATCCAGACTGATAAAGGCTTGTGATACCTGCTGGAAAACCATGGAGAAGTGCTATGGACATCCTAAGGGCCCTGAGGAGAACTGGAAGTACTATGACCAGGACTCATCTAGAGGGGACTCCTTCTCCCAATGGCAAGGGAAGGAGATGTCAGCACAGTCTGGATCTGGATTCCAGAGATGAGGTTACTATTATCCCTAATCTAGCTACCATCATAGGGGTAGATGAAGCAAATGTTGAGTATAATGATCAGGCTTGGGTTGCCACAGCTAACAGCATTGTGGCTGAGTTGGTCCAGACCAATGAACTTCTGGAAAGGAGTATTCAGGCAGCAGAAGGGAGTAGGGCTACAGCAGACCAGATGAGTATTGGTATAGCCCAGTTCCTGGATCAGCAGAGGGAGTTCCACAACACCCTCATGGAGTATATCAGATGTGGATCCTGGGCTTCTGGATCCAGAGAAGAGAGTGCTCAGGAGGAGGAGGAAGTGGGAGAGGTGGAACAGGTGGGCAGAAATGAGGCCAAAAATGAGGCCAGCAGATCCAGAGGTAACATGGAAACTGATGCTTGAATTTTAGGATTTCCACTCTTGCCCCTAAATGTACTTATATCTGCATGTACATATCTCATTGTAGTAAAATAGGACCAGGTTTGTCTGGGTATGCAGAATGAAAGTCAGATACTAGTTCTGAGGCATTTCTGAGCTCTGTGGCAAGTAGCCAAGATGTTTCCTCGTCCATTCCCTCATATCCAGACCACCGGACAAGGTATAGGAGCTGACAGTGTTGTCTCTAGCGGTCAAGTTTAGAGTCTAGGATTTTGGAAATCTTGTACTCAGGCTCTCCATCAACTTCCACTGGAGGTGGGGGTACTTGGATGTGATTGGGGATGGTGTTGGGAGTTGTGGGTTCTAACTGGGAGACATGGAAGATGGGGTGGATAGATTTCATGGAATCCTGAAGACATAGGGTGAAGGAGTGGGATCTGGGACAGGATATGATCTCAAAGGGTCCTAAGTTCTTTTCCAAGTGTTTCTTTGAGGGTCTAATGGACCAAACATATTGTGCTTTGATGAAGACTAGATTTCTGATCTTGAAGTCCAGAGCAGGTTTCTGCTTAGCATCTGCAGGGCCCTGATAGCACTCCTGCACATGAGACATTTCTTCTCAGAGGAATTGGTGAAGTTCATTGAGATCTATAGCATAATTCCAGGCATGGGTGGAAGAGAGGTCACATTCCAGATGAATGGAAATGTTCAGATGGTATCTCTTATTGGCAAAGAAGGGTGAAACTCTGGTGGTAGCACTCAGAGCATTGTTGTATGTGAATTCTGCCAAGGGTAATAATTATGACCAATTATCCTGCTGGTAGTTGCAATAAATCCAGAGGTATTGTTCCAGGGTCTGGTTGGCTCTTTCCATCTGTCTATCTCCTTCCAGATGATATCTGGATATGAAGTGGAGAACCATATCCAGTGCTTTCCCCAGGGACCAGAAGAAGCAGGACATGAATTCTGTACCTTGGTTGGAAGTGACATGAGATGGGACACTATGTTTAGAAAATACATGGAGTAGGAATAGGTGTGTAAAGTCCAGAGAGGTAATGGTGTCATGAGTCGGAATGAATATTGCTTGCTTGGATAATTGATCTATGATAACAAGGATGGCTGTAAAGCTGGATGAGTCCAGAAGTTGCTCTATGAAATCCATGGAAATGGAATTCCATGGTTTTTCCAGAATAGGGAGCTGCTTGAGCAATCCATAGGATTTATGTCTCAGAACCTTGGCTTGGGCACAGGTAGTGTAGGATCTGACATAGTCCCTAACATAGGTGCATATTCAGGCCAGGTATATTCGCATCAGATGAGTTCTAATGTCCAGTTTTGACCAAAATATCTGGATAGGGGGTGGTCATGAGTATTCTGGAGAATGCGAAGTCATAGGTCATTGGATTCCAGAACATATACACAGTTGTTACAGCAGGGAAGACCATCAACATCCACTGTCCATCTCAGATCTGAGGGTTCTGGAAGATGTGTGGAGGCAATAGGGTCATTAGGGAGTGTGGTCAGGATGTCAGTCTGGAGTTGTTCTATATCCATTAATACAGCTGCTCTAAGAACCAGAGTTGCTAGGGTTGAGACTCATAGGGACAAAGCTAGCTGTTCCATAGTGAATACTGGATGGAAATTATGAGGATTAACTTGAGCATAGTCCTTATCCCCCTCTTTGGGATAGACATACCAACATCTAGTGAGGGATTCTGGTTTAGCTCCAAGTTTTCTGGGATGGAAACAGATAATAAGGTTGAACTGATGCAGGAATTCTGACCAGCGAGCCTGATGGTGGGAGAGGAGTTTTGTGGTCCATGACAACACCGATGGGCTCAGATGAGCCTTCTAGGTAGCACCACCAGGTCCAGAAAGCTTCATAAATGGCTAGGAGTTCCTTATCATGGGTGTCATAGTTGAGTTCCTGTTACGGTTATTCCTTTTCCCCTTTCACCTCTTCACTTATTCACATGAGTAATCATTCTATTACATTCTCAGACATTCTATCATATGATTCTACTTTTCTTTTCTGATTCACTATTCACTTTATATCTCCAATTCATTTATTAAAGCTCCACTTTAATCTCTCTATTTAACTTCTATCTCTTAGGCTTGTATTTCTTTAACTTGACCTATGCAGACCAGGGCCTGCAATATACTGCTTAACTTGCATGACTCGTGAATAGGTTCACACTTTAGACTCTTTGTTTTTGTCAAGACATTCTTGTAATGCTGAGCATAACAGTTCTGGGGTGGAAAGCATCCAGGAGTAGAGTGCTACTGGATGAAGCTCTGAGTCCAGACATACAATGGACAGTATTCAGGTGATAGCGTAATCAGAGGCATCTGTTTCCACAACTATAAGAACATCTGGCATCCAGTACATCAGCACCAGAGCAGAAGTGAATGCTTTCTTGAGTGCTTCAAAGGATTTCTGGCAGTCCTCAGAAAAGTTCCAAGGGACATTCTTGCAAGTTAACTGAGTGAGTGGGACCATAATATCCAAGTAGTTGAAGATAAATCAATGATAGAAATTTGCAAATCCAAGGAATGATTGGACATCTTTGACTTTCCAGGGTTCCAGCCAGTCAGTGATAGCTTGGATTTTCTTGGATGACATAGTAAGGCCATCTGGAGATAGGAGGTAGCCAAGGTATTCCACAGATTAGGAATGGAATTCGCATTTTTCCAGTTTAGCATATAGGCAATGCTTCCAGAGTCAATGTAGTACTTCTCAGACGTGTTCTTTATGGGTTGCAAGATCTTGGGAATAAATGAGGATGTCACCAAATACAATGTTGATTATCTGTCCCATTCCCATATGATACATTGTATTGTCATAGTCCAACTGCATGATTGGACAGTGTCATATCCCACAATCTGGACCCATGTTCCATCATATTCCCACGCCTTGCAAGCCTACATCCGGACCCCACTTCATATCCAGCTCATTCCCAGATGCCCTTCCGCTGTGCTCCACACCTCAGCAGGATTGACTACACTCCGGATTTACCCCTGAGCTCTGGACCATCAGATCTCCACTGCTAGCCTGATCCATACCCCCCTGTCCCATCCACCCTATGCACACTCCATCCAGCAAGACATCCAGACTTCACCTCATCTCGGATTCCGGACTATATCCACCTTCTCATATTCCGGTCCTGTATCCACCTTGTCTTCTGGATCCCCAGATCTCCGGACCTCCAGATATTAATGCTGGACCTATTCCCACCCTCTGTCTGAGATCCTGCGCCTATCCCCATTTAGGCATCTCTACCTTTCCAGCTTTCGGTTACCTCTTCTTCCGTCTTGCTTATTGATCCTTGTATGAGTCTTCATCTCCGAGTTCATTTACTTATGTTCCGACTTACTTACTAATGTGTTTCCACATGCTTGTACATAGCCTTGCTCCTTTGCTTACTGATCCCCTCAGATACTGTTCAGTATATAACCCCTGTAGATACTCCTGTAGTTCCTTAGTTTGAATATCAACTTAGACTTGCCCAATCCTCTCTCAGACTTTGGTCCACCTAAGTCTGTCCTACCCATCAGGCCTAGGGATTGATTCCCTAGGCCGGAGCTCTGCCTTTCTGGCACTGACCCTCTTTCCAGACTTAGGTCCAATCCCTGTCTCTCCAACTCTACCTTAGGGTAGTCCACCTCTGTTTGTTTCTACATCAGATGAAGTCCGATGTAGCCCCTATTCCTTCCGGACCTCCGGACCTCCTGTCCCTCATACCTCCAGGCATCCTGTCCTTCAGACATTCCACCCTCTGTACCTTCGGACATTCTGTCCTCCTAACCCTCAGACATCCTATCCTCCTGTCCTTTGGACATCCTGCCCTCTGTACCTTTGGACATCCTGTCCCTCTGTCCTCCGTCATCCTGCCCTCCTGTCCTCCAGTCCTCCGGACCTTCGGACCTCCTATCCTTCCATCCTGTTTCCTGTAGAAGTATTACCTTGCAGTGGGAACTCTCCTGAGCACTTCCTGTGTTCCTTTGGAACTCTCCCGCGCTCCTCCGGAAGTCCTCTAGTGCTCTCCAGCAGAGTAGCCAGCCTCTGGAAGTCCTCCGGACTTTGTCGGACCATCATTGGACCTCATACGAAATGAAGGGCACATACTCAGGTAAGGGGCACAGCATATGAGCTGAGGCCAAGCCCCTCTGAGTCAGTCTCTCTCCCCTTTGAGCAACATGGTTCTCAACACTACATCACAAAGAGTGACATAGTCCAAGATCATTGCATAACACCAATGTCATGTAATTGTTCTGCAGTCAGTGGCTACTGATACCAGATGCACCCAAAGTTCTGGGACCAAGCCAAGAAGATCCATTTGGGAGTTGTGATTGCCTTGTTGGTTATGTGGCACTGGAGGCAGGTATACCTGATGTTGGTTTTCAACCAGTACCTCCCATAGTACTGCTTGCTGCAATGGCGAAAGATGATGTTGTAGGATGGGGAACCACATTTTGCATTCAAGCAACAGAATATATCCAGGCCCCAAGGCCCCCCATCCAAGAGGTTTGAGTACATGAGCACCTGTGAATCAACCACACATTCGTGAGTATTGTTCAGGTCAACATATATGTTGGCAAATGCCAACATCACTGGCGCCTGCTTGAGTGCATGAAGATCCTCACTGAATGACTGTTCAAGTGCATCCCAGATCTTCATGTCATAGATGTACACATTTTCGATGAACCAGGTCAAGGCGGGTGCAATGATTGTGTCCATGATATAGATGCCTGCAAAAGTGAGAACAAAATCAAAAATGTCACTGATAATGAAAGATGTGAATTTTGAATATAATCCTGGAATATATACACATACTTCTTGATGAGACTCTTCAACAGCTCAGCACTTTTGGGCACTCTCCCCGTCGCTCCACATGTGCAGACAATGAGGCCATGAGTGCATGAGCCAACCCCAGGCTTGGAGTTGATTGATGCGATCGCCTGTGCGGCAGCTGCCAGATGATGGTCTCCGATGTAGTTTTCTATCAGCTGAAGTGAATTCAATTAGTTCTTGATGACATGCAGTGAACAAAAAAGTACAAGATACACACCTCACAAATCCATACAGACCCACTGTGCTTCAGGTCACTGGAAACAACAAGGTCACCAGTCTTGGTATCCGAATGGGTATTGATGAAGAGTAAGAGGTTTCCCTCATACTTCATGCTCACCAGCCACTGAAAGTGGGGATCTGTGGCATGGGGATTGTTGTTCCCAGATTTGAGAGCTCTTGTTGCTATGTGTAGCTGCATTCACTAAACTGGCTTCTTGCTAGGATAGCTGTTGAAGCCATGATGTACCCTAGATGGATCAATAGTGAACTGTGCCTTGAGCATGGCCTGGACATTGTTGGACGCATAAGGACTGTCAAATCCGCTCCAAGTCAAGAAGATGGCCAGAAGGGGGAAATAGTTGCGGTGGAGATAGTCTTGTCTTACTGAGTATCCATAGATCATGTACTAGTCAGTAGAAAGATGTCATCCACTTTGTGATGGGTATCATAGTGTGAGTGTACTCACAGGAATGGGTTGGGATTTACTGCAATAACACTGAGGGCACTTGAATGTCTCTTCTATAACCAATGGCCTGCCAGTACGTGTATTCAGCATAGTGTCCACACATTCATGATCTCCATGCTCCTGCCTAATGCAAACATTGATCCCACAGGTTGGCTCAATGCACCTCCAAATATATGATCCAATATTGTGGCAGTATATACAACACTGAGCACCATGTGAGCCTCATATGATTGATGCACAGTGAGCTTTGAGACTTACCAATGTTGCTTCCTCCTATATCTCTGAAACCTCCTTTTGCTGCTCCACAACCACCTCCTTACCTTCATCGAACTCCATGTTGTCTTCGTGCTTGATTGGGGTCAATTGGGCATAAGGCGTGTGCATGGAATGTGCTTTGTGTTGCTTGGGGGCACATTGAACTCAGGTGCTTTTTCTGGTCCCCACTGCAGCTGGTTGCTGATGAGTCCTTCACTGATGTGCAGATCCTGCTGGTGCACAGTCCATCCTTACATCTGCCTGCGACTGTGAAGCAGCTGGTGGTGGTACCTGTGATGGCAATGCAGGTTGAGTCCCAGCTGCAGGCTGCATTGCTGTGGGAACTATTCGATAGTAGTTTGGCTTTATAATGACCATGGTGAAAGCAGGAAGGCAGGAAGGCAGTTGATTGCAGGTGCAAGGGTTGGTCATTGGTCAATTCACCTAAAATGAACATTTTGGCTAATTACGATCATGTGATTGCATGCCTGTGAAAAAAAAAGTGGTCAGCTTCAAACCAGGGCACAATAATACCTTCAAGTTAGCACACCATCAGCCCCACTACCATGCCTCCACCGAAAGACCCAATTGCTCTCACTATGACCACTCACAATGAGTCAATGGCCGATGTCCTTCTGACATACCTGGTGGAGATGGCAGATGAGGACAATGTGACAATGTTGTCATTGGGCAATGGTAAAACCAAGGTAAGTTCGATCAGCTAAACATCTGTGTGTGATGCACCTCAAAATATTGTTAGATCAAGGTTCCAGTGAAATGCATCAATCTCCTTGCGGTCACCATGTGTGTGCTAGAGGTGTTTGGGCATACCACCAATGTCTTGATTGACCACCCTGAGATACCAGTCAACAATCCTGATGTTCAGTTTTACCTTGCCCTCGTTTCATACATTGCTTCAGTCATCACCACGTTCATTCACAAAGTTGAGGATGATGGTGCCAAGGCCACCAAATCAAATTGGTGGTCAGCAGCTCTTGACTATCACATCACACTGATATTAGAAAACAGCGCATTTGCCTCGACATACCAGCGAGTTGCTGAGCAGAAGATGAACTGCACTTGGGCTGATTTCAGAGTGAAGAAGTATTACAAGAGAATCAAATTGAGTGAGTGATCAACTTATACATTGTTTGTATGTGGGTTATAATTCTACATATACTCCAGTGACACATCAAAGTCTGCACAAGGCATTGTGTTCAGATGGCGATGATTTGTGTGGTGGGCCTTTTGTGCACAAGTGCAGCATTGATGAAGTGATCAAGGTGGCGATTGTGGATATTGATGCCATGAGAGCCACAGCAGCATCAAGCTCTGTCACAGAGCCAGCAGTCATCGATGTTGCTATTGCACAGCCCACCACCATCAACCATTTGTCTGATCAATGATTTGAGGTTTGCATCACCAAGCAACCTCAAATCAAAACCACTATGACAATACATCACATGTTGACCATGGTGATGAAACCTAGTAAGTTTCAGACATTGCTTAAATTGACACACCTGCATTAAACATATATTACAGGCCAGGCATTGGTATCAACTACAAAATCTGAGAAAAAGTCAAAACCATGGGGTGACCATGTACATTGCATGTCGGCCAGTATGGGACCTCAACTTGAATTTTGTCAATAAACCTTGGATCCAGAGTCAGAGGACAAGGTGAGCAATCCTTGCATAATGTAATGTGATAATGATAACAATGTAGCTCAGGTGGACCACAGTGAACATGTGGTCACCATAGTTGAATGTCAAGAAGTGAGGAAGAAGCCAGTCAAGGCACACAAGACAAAGAAGCAGGCCCCATCGAAGAAAGGCAAGGGGAAGGCAAAGGCACCTCCAAAGGTTCTGGTCATCAACTCCAGTGATGAGATATCCAATGTATCCAGTACCAATAAGACCTTCCCATCAGTGATAGTAAGTTATTCATTCATCTATGATTGTTTTGACTAACATTTACAAACCTCACAGCTGTCTGTGAGTGTCGATGCGCTCCAAGCACGTAACCGCCTGCTGACATATCATAGGACAATGATGATCCGCCCCCTCTGATGCCTCCCTCAGCTTCATGGAGGACTGACTTTGCTGACGTTATACCCAACATCAGATTGGGGATGGTGAGTCATTCGATCACCTGTGCTTCAAGTGAATCACCTTCATTGACATCTGCATCACAGAGGCTGGTCAGTCTATATTTTCTGACAATATTCATTTGCATGCTCACAGAATCCAGAATACACACAGTGGTCTGAATGATGGCCCACTCCCTTCTCTGTTACCCAAGTGGGACACATGGCACAGGACTGCATTTGAGCAGGGAAACCCACAAGTATTTCTGAAGCTTGTGACCTGGATGCTCCTCAGATTTCACCAGCTCACCATGACAGACATGAACACTGATGTGAATGATGTTGTCATTCCTCTCAATCCAAGGACCATTCCCTTTGAGAATGATGATGACTTTCTTGAAGCACTTGGCATGGAATGCCTCTATGCTGCCATCATTCACATGGAGACATGCCCTCATTACCTCAGCCACCTCCTCCAGACACACTTTGGTAGACTTTGATGTGGATGAAGTAGTGTTGCAGAAGTCCAGTTTGGTCCAGTTCATTAAGAAATTTTGCGAACACTGAACTGGACCTTGTGTTTGGTTCAATCATTTTGCTGAATGCTGAACTGGATGCCATAAATGCATTCACAGCATCCAGTTCACATCTGGTTCAGTGTTCAAACATCAAATGCATTGTAAATTTACTCAATTGTAATTGTACTAGTAGTAAGGAGTACTGGTACACTACTATGAAGCATGACTGAGTGAAAGTAAGGCAAAGCAAGACTAAAGATAAGTAAGGTCAACAGAAAGGTCATCATTAGTCACATGAGTGGCAGCCTCAGCTGCAGCCTGGATATGCCTGTTGTGATAAGCACTCTTCAACAATTGGAGCACCTTGAAGATATCAGGCGTGAGCCGGTTGTGTTGACCCTGATCTGTGATGTTGCCACTTGAAAAGGCCCATTCTGATGGAGTGGCAGAACCTTGTATGGCAAGATAATCTAGGAGTGAGCGAATTGGATTCCAAGCGAAAAAGTCATGTGAATTAACAATTATGTTTGAGTAATCATGTCGTGTTCAGTATATTGTGTGTATGGATGATGTGATCTCATATCATTGGTGTGAGTGGCCTAAAATGGAAGTATATGTGGTTTATTTAAGTTACGATGTCAGTGTTCAAAAAGGTTTGGATGTGTTTGGATGCATTCAACACATTCAAGGAATGCTGAATGCTGAACTGGACCATCAGTCCAGCTCATGAAAAGTTCAGTTCAAACTGCGGTTCAGAACCAAACCTCTGCATTACTAGGATGAAGTCAGTTGAAGTACACTTCATTTCACTTCACAAAGTTGGCAATAGGCCATCACCAAAACTTCAAAACCAATATATAGGCAGTGAAGGTCATCTCATGACATACCATTGGTCAACAGCCTCAGTGCAGCCACCTAGGCCCATCATGATGGATCAGCCTCATGTCATCCATATATGCATGGATCAAGAAATGCTGTTGAGGATCAATCATTCATCATATGTTGAATGTTGCTAGTTTTTCATCATATGCTAGTCATTGTGAAGCCTTTAGAAGTAATGGGATGTTGTAATGCATCATCAGGCTGATATTCCAGGATAATCACATGTCATTCTAATACTACATGGTATCCATTAATACAGACATCTAAAACATGAGCATGATTGAAAACTCTCAAGTGCTGAGTAATGAGAAGAGTCCAAAATGGTACAACTTGGAGCGAAAGCAACAAAGGAAAAGCACTGGCAATAAGTGATGGTGTGCAGATAGCAATAGACAGGCAATACAAGAGCATTTGAAAAGCAGAATTGAAAGTGGTGTTCCTGGGGATGTGCGACTGGTGCAAAATCATGGTATATGGTGAACTATTTTCATGCAGTCAGACTGGTATACAGGGAGTGAGAAACCTCATACCAGGGAATGCCAAGTTACTTCCAGCCCTTGTGTTTCTTACCCACACTTTTGCTGCTCACAGCTGCCCGCTTGCCTTTTCTTGAACATTTTGCTGGAGAAGGGGCAACAGATTCCTTGTCAGTCAGTGGGCTGTCACTTTTGTCCAAAAGGTCTGCAGATGGGTGCTTTTTGGACATGGTACAGTGTAAGTCACTCAAAAGCAGCAACTACCAACATCAAAACTTGTAATTCTATCTACACCATCAGAAAAACTTATTTCATCTTGAAAACATTACAAATGTGCTATGTTAGAGTAGCATAGTAAGTCTATCAGAACACTTTTTCAAAAAACTCAAGTTTCAAAATTTTCATTGGCCAAAAGTGAACTTCAAGCTGAGCTTGTCAGAGTTTCCTAATTTGGTATGTGGCATCTGACAGCTGACTCTGCGATTACTCAATGAGAATGCCCAAACTCATAATCAATGTAGGACCACACTGAGGATGTGATTTGTATTTCCTAATGGCAAATTCAGCTTGACATGCATCAAGGCCCTTCCTAGGACACTGTGAGAAAGAACTGTGAAGCTGGTTGAGATACACACCTTTAAGCATCCATATATCTCCATATCTGACTCGCTCTCATTATCTGACGCCTCAGCTATATCACCATCTATGAGGCTGAATGACAATGCTCCATTAAAGTTGGACTTGGAGTCTGCTTCACTTTTGGAATCTGAGACAGGAACATAGTCTGGGTCCAGAAAGACTTCCAAAACATCTTCTATCAGCCCATTGTCAAAGCGCCTCAATGATGAAGCATACTGCTGCTTCACTTGCTTCTGTCTTTTGGTAGGAGGCATTATTTGACAGCAAAAGTGAACAACTGCATAATCAGGTGAATTTTCAGAAATTTAGATTTATGCTCCTTTTGTCTATGTTTCCTATCAAAATTTTAATCTAGACTCATATGGATCATAACTGCAGCCTAGGGAGAGTTGCCGTCCCTTAGTGACTTACACTGTAGTATGGGACACCTTGGAGGTTTTAGCAAGCATTGGCACATAGTTAGTAGTAGGAGCCAATGCTCATGCAGGAGGTGCAGGAGGTGCAGGGGGAACATCAGAGCTTGAGCTTGATGAAGTACGTTGATTGGAAGATTTGATGGGACAAGGTCTAGGAATGGGCTTCATAGGTGGTGACTCAACAAGGTCTTCTGGAGGAGAAGTAGTTGTAGGAGAAGATGGCTCCCTTTGTGACATAGGTGCAGTAGTTCAAGTGTCCATCATTGACATTTCATAGTCAGTCTCAATAGATGTTTTTTCCACCTGTGCATTAACAGGTCCAGGCTGAAATGTAAGACAAATCAAAAATGTATCACAAAATAAATTGAAACTGCACCTCAGCATGTCCCTTATGGTATACATGGCAAACTGTTTCCTCATCAAAGCATAGTTGTCCTCTTTGTCTTTGTTATTGCTAAGATTGAAGTCAAGGACACTCTTTTTATTATCAAATACTGCACTTCAAAATTGTAGAGCTTGAACATGTTGGGTATGCATGAAAAAAACAACACTCACTTATTCCACCACTCAAGGAGGGACTTTGCCCAATTGGAGTCAGGTGCCTTGTGGATAGCTTTGATGGTGTGGTAGTATGCATCACAGTAACTGTATTTACCGTCATTCTTGGACCACTTGTCCCAAGAGGAGATACCATAGCAAGCCTGCCAGTACATTAGATCAAGTGTTGATAGAATATAAGAAAATGTACCTGAACAAAGGCATAGGCTATGTGCTCCACCTCTACCTTTTGCATGTTGTGAAGTTTTGTGTTACCAGAACAGACAGTAGTCTTCTCTCTGTCATTGATGAGCACAGATGAGGGACTTGTGTAAATATGCCTGAGAACCTGATTGTGTGAAAAGTGTGTCAATAAGCCCAATCCTATGAACAATGAAAAATGTCCTACTTGTTTGAGGAGATACCCTTGCAAAAATCCTCCCTGAACATTACCAGGGTTGGAGTCTTTTCCTGGAGGATTACTGGCATATGAAAGTGCCAGCCAAACACCAGCATGAACTTTGACATGAACTTTGATCTTGCTGTTTTGGAGTTGTGCTTGTACTCTGAAGAGGAATAAGAGATAACACTAATTTAGAATTGTTGTATACATACTTTCTTGGCTTGTTCTGATAGGATTGAATGTGCTTGATCAGACAGAGCATACCAGCAAGCTACAGGTGATTCATGCCCATCTTGGCATGAGACTTTGAGTGGTCTGAGTAGATAGGAGGATGCAAACTGTTGTCATCAGGGTCTGCAGCAGCATAATGTCCTATGAAGGGCTTAAGATGACTCACGTCTTCAGAGCAAGTTTGACCAATGATTTCTTGCATCTATTTGTGACAAGTTAATAGCAAAAAGTGCATATACAGTGGCCCTAGAGATGTACCTTAGCAAGAATCCAATCAAGTTCTCTTTGTTGCTTCTTGTTACCTCTAGCAAGCATGCCCAGGTGAGGTGCCAACATGACAATCTTCTGAAAGGTGTTCATGTGATACTCTTGGACATCCCTAGTCCTTTAAAGAAATTAGTTGCTTGAAACTGAGGCCAAGATTCAAATATGTACAGATGTGCAAGCATTTTCTTGTGCTCCTTTTTCACAGCTTCATCTTCTGGCTTGGATAAGTCTTGTGCAGCCTTGTCTTGCCTCACCAAATTGGCGGTGCAGAATACATCCCACAAGCTGCAGAACATATTGATGCCACAAGAGATCCAGCATGTAATATGCAAGCATTGATCCCTTGGACACCAAATACCACTATTTCTTTCCACATTTTTGGCAGTACATGAGGACTACAGGCTGGACTCTATTACTTCATCAACACACAAAGCCTGACTCTGCTTTCTGCACATGTGGCCCTCACGACAAATCAAACAATCTCTGGGAAAATGTTCAACACTCCTACAGTCTTCAATGCTTCATCTGGTGGTGCAATGACAGCACATGTACCTCAGCACTTTGACAGACCAAGCCTGGTGCTGCTTTCTGCACATGTGGCCCCTGTGACAGATCAACCAATTCTGTGGGAACACATTTAACATTGCTGCAGTCTTTGACTTGTTCATTTGATAGTACAACAACCACACAAGTACTTCAGCCTTTTGTGTGAGGGACTGTGTAGACTCCGAGGGTTATTGGGCTAAGTATTAAAGCACAATACATAGACAGCAAGCTTGTACTACTTCAGACAGGATGAGCAACTGAAATGTAGGATATTGCCAAGTGTTAAGGTTGTACTCAAAGGATAACTGGATCCGAAGGGCTTCAGCCTCAGCTCATGCGCTGTGCCCCTTACCTGAGTATTGCCCCTTATTTCAGGAAGGCAAGACTAACATGTCTGGAAGGTTGGGCGAGTAGTGTAATGGATCCAGATGACTTCTGGATGAGAGATAAGTATCGTAGGGCTAATCTGGATGAGTCCAGACTAGAAACTAATGGTAATGGACTGTCAGAGACAGAGGCAGATACGGATAGACTATAGGAATCAATCCTAAGTCACGGAGGGTAACAAGAGTAGAGGTACTCAAGTCCAGAGGACAGGAATGAGTAGAACTAAGATGATATTCGAACTGAGGTACTACAGAAAGTTACAGGAGGTTATATACTATAGGTATCTAATGGAATGATCAATCAGCAGAGTCTGAAGCTATGTATGAAGCATGTGGATAGTCTATTGGTAAGTAGAAACGGATCACAAATCATGAAACAGAAATGAAATATAGGTAGTGGATCAGGGAGCAGGACGGATATACAGATAACCGAAATACCGGAGTTAGGGGGTTACTGAAAGGAGATGAGCACTGGTTGTGGATTCAGATAAGTTGTGGACCAGACCAGACAAGTGGACAGATTGAATGATGAGATGTGGGAGGGAGATAAGATGTGGATAGGAGATGAGATAAGGGTCAGATCTGAGATCCGGATATGCAGATATGACACCAAGCTATTCTAGGTGTTTTCATGGTCAGATTCAACATGCACATTACTCTTTTTTGAATGCTGAGTCCCCTTCTTTGTTGGCCCACACCATGTGTGGGTCCTTGACTCCAGTTCAGATTGGCCTTTCTCCATGAGTTTCTGAGCACATTTTGAATGTGAAGTGCCAGTAGACAGAGCATCTGCAGCTCTCTTACTGTGGTTGGTCACCACGACAAGAACATGTGCTTCACCAGCTATTGGAAGAGTAGGCATGGGTGGAGTGGGAGGTAACTGTACCATGGGAGGTCCATTGTCAGAAGTGGCTGAAAGACAACATCAACAGTGTTTATACCAGAGTAGATATAAATATTTACCATGATCAAGCACACAAAGAGTGGGATCCACCATCTCATCTGTGAATGAGGAGGGGTGCACATAAGGCTCTGACAAAGCCACACAAATAGGTATTGGCCTGAACCACAAGGACCACATTGTTGAGGCTCTTGATGCGACCTTTCAGGTCAGAGGGATTGGCCCAGTAGGGGTGGTTCCACCCTATGAGCTTAACATGGTAGTGCTGGACAAGATCATTATAGCATTTGAATTCCATTATTGCAGATGAACAATTTGTCACTTTGCCTGCAGTGAATCAGCAGATAATTTAAAACACAAAAAAGCAGGGCTTACAAAGTGATGCATGAAGACCATTTTGAATGACAGTCTTTGCATTAGCAACATGCTGTCGATGATTAGCAGCTGTATCTGGAGTACAGTAAAATTGAGCCATGCATATGGGAGAAAAAGGTTAGGTACTAACTCATAATGAGGCCATTGGCCAGTATAGTGCTCTCGAAGTCAGTTGCCATTTGTGCAATGTCCTTACATAGATATAAATGAACAAAGTGTTCAGTCACAGAGCTTGTGAAGAATGCCTTCAGCACCATGCCATGGTGATGTTGGAAATACCACAAACCATAACAATGAAGGCTTCAGCACCAACACATTCCTTGAGAGCCTTGAGCTTCATGAAGTCTTAGTCAAACGCACAAGCAAATGTAACACAGTGAGTGCACACCTCTTCTCTCATGAACTGGAAACTCTGGGAACATTCAGCAGCACATGATTTAGTGGTGATATTTGGAGGATGATCCTGAGAACTCTTCTTGACTTTATCAAAGTCAATTATAAGCTGTTCCTTCTCCTCAGTGGTAAGGCAGTGGTACTCTGTTTTTTCCTTGATGAGATTGGCTATGTTCAACTTCTCACTGAAACTTTTGTCTAGGACAGCCATAGTTAGTGACAAGCACAGTAGTTGTACTATGGGGAAAAACTTACTGGCATTGTTCTTGATGCCTTTGAAGTGCATATAGGCATGCCAGGCACTTGTCTTGTTGTGTTTGCAGTGGTGGATAATGGAACCGAGTGACAACTGCTCAAGGTAGCGGCATTGAGGTTGTTTGAACTTCAATGCCAACTCTGTGGCCTTCACATGAATGTAATTCAGAACAGCCCAAATTTCTTGGTCCTCATCAAGGCACTTAGCCTGTCACCACTCTGTCAGTTGCTGATGCACTTCTTTCAATATTTTGATATATGGGCATGCTCCTGAGGAACCAACCAGCAAGGATTGTGTGAGCAAGCAGTTACTGGGAGCACCATCACAGTAATTCTGACGGTGAATGAGGTGACAGGCTGAGAGGTTAAATAGCATTATAAACAAATCATACAAGGTCAGATTAAAAAACAGATGGTACAAAAATATTATGAGAGCAACACCTGAGAATCAGTCAACATAGCATTCCCAATGGCCTCCATGTGCTCCTCCAAAATCTCAGCAAGCTCCTGCAATTTCATAATCCACCACTTCAGAAGGTAATCTTTGCTGATTGATATGCAGACCTGATGAAAATGATCTGGGTAGCCTAGCTCTTCTAGGACTGCCTCTGTTTCAGTCCCAAAAGGAAGAGGTGTCAGCACATTATAATGCCATGATTCAGAGGGGGATTTAGCAGTGATCAATGTGGGTGTGGGTGGAGACCATTCAAAGGATACACTTTTGCCCTTCATAGGAGTTGCAGGAGGGTAATGTCTCTTACCCTGGTCACTGCTCAAGGACTGATCAAGAATGGTAAGGGTCATTGGCTGAGTAATCAATGAGACAATAGTTTGACTGAGAAAAACTAAAATTTACCTGACATACACTTGTTGCTGATACAGCAGTCCTCCAACTTGGCTCCTCTTTGCAGACCAAATGACTCATACTGACACTCTCCATTGGCTGAGCAATCAATTAGACAATAGTTCGACTAAGAAATACTAAAATTTACCTGACATACACTCACTGCTTGTGCGGCAGTCCTCCAACTCAGCTCCTCTTTGTGGACCAGATGACTCATGCTGACACTCTCCTGAGTATGTGTTAATCAGATCTGAGTTGGCTTCCACATGATTCTGCCATCATAGACAGGTATATATGATAAGATGGAGCCTGAACTCAGGAGACCTTCTAAAGAGCCTTGAGGATGTCAATAAAAAGTGAAATGGATTGATGATGGTGAGATGGGTGAGGGAACAAGAGGTATGACATTGGCTCATCCTTTGCCTTTTGATGTTGTCTTGCCTTTTGAAGGTGTTTCAGAGCCACTGCCATTCCAATTACTCTGAATCCAATTTTCTGCAAAGGCTCAGGCTAAAGGTGTTGCATAGTCAGTGATAAAGAGTTGAGAAATTTGAGTGATGACCAAGTGAAGCTTGTGATGGTCCAAGAGCACTTTGGGATTGACATAAACTTCAGCCTTGAGGTTTTCAGGAGAGATGTCCAAGCCTGGAGATGTAGTACCAGGATGATGCAGGACAATTGTTGAACCACCTATCAATCTATCTAAGGCAGTGCACTAAACATGCAGTTCAGCAGAAGGAAAGGTGTGAATAAGAGGCGACACTTGCCAAGTCAAATATAGTGTGCAAGATCTGCTCTGCATGAGTCACTTGAGCCTACCAATTCTTTAGCCTGTCCTGCTCTGTAGCTGGCTGAGTTTTAGAATACCCGGTGAGATAGTGTTGGCTAGTCAGTGCATGAAAGCCGTTTGTCTGCTCTAGATGCCCATCATCACTGTAGAATCCATGCATAATCAAAGATAAGAGTGCAGAGTTCCAGCAACAGTTGTGTCCAGCAATTGAATTGAAATGTTTGGGGCAAGGAAGTAGAGCCTTGCACTCTTCAATGCCACTAAGTGTAGGAGATCTGTTGAATGCAGAGGACTTCCAGTCTGACAGGTTAGGGGACATGATGGATAACAACTGAGATGACCTGGAGGTTGCAATGAGGCAATGGTGTTCACTTATTCATGTAAGATCTAGCAGTGCAAATATCATCGTGAACATGCTACAATTGCTCACTGCAACAATAGATAACACAAATGACTTATTGCATTGCACATGATATATAATGACTCAGAACAGTAGTAGCTCACTCTATTAAGTACTGATTGATATACCTGCATCCATCATAAACCCTCAGATGTAAATCAATCATCAATTCACAGATATTAGTGTACTGTCTGAGTCACTAAATTCAAAGGTGTGCAGTGCATATTTCATTTTTGTAGCCAAACAATCTGCAAAAGTCTCAGGGTGTTATACTTTCACAATCCAGCATTGAAGGCATTGATATGATGATCTAGTCCCTTGATGTAAGCTTGTACATCTTCCAGCTGTTGCCAAAGCTCTACATTGTTTCCATCTCCCTTCTCTCTATCCTGTTCATGTGGCACAGCTTCATAGGGAGAGGCACACATGACATCAATCCAACCTACATGACTGCCAGGATTCTTTGGCCCACTGTAACCAGGAAGCTGCATGATCTGCTGGATGTGCAAAATGTGATGTGCACTGATGGACCAAAGCTATGTCCAGCAATGCTGGAGTTTGGCTGCAAGGGGTGGGTCACTGGACTGAAGTTGTGCAATGGCATGGGAGTAATTGATGGCATCATCTTGCATCTTCATGAGTAAACATCCAAGCTCAACATTCAGCCAATGAATCTCTTCATTAGCATGTTGGTGCTCAAAATATTGTGTGGACGTGTGTCAGTAAGATGGGTTGGCCCAACTCTTTGACTGGATCTCCCCATCCATTTCCCATAACAAGTCAAACTCAGCAAGGAAAGAATACTCTACAATCTGGTCCCATTGTAATGGGGGGTGGGAGGGACTTAGGAGAGTGCCATATTTGTTGTATTGAGTAAGGGCATTTTGAATTGCATTCACATGACTCTTGAGTGCCTTTGAGATTTGAGTGTGAAGCTTATAACCTACAAAGACAAGTGTTAAAAATGCGAAATTATATTATGAAGCCTTACCTAGACCACTCATTTGTAGCTTAGTCAACTCAAGCAGATGCATGACAACAAGGTGTTCAATGTCATCTACAGCCTTGTGGAAGAGCTGATTGGTAATGCATGACTGTGTCTTCATCTGTTTAGGGTGGTCTGGACCCCATCTTGAGTCCAGCACCATTTGATGTTCATAATATGTGACAATCTCCAGTTTCTGATCATGTTTGTTAGTAGCATTGGAATGATGGTGGTGTATGTCACCAGATTCCTTTGTAGAATAATTGAGGCATAAATTGAGCCCACTGAACACCATACATAGTATTAACATGATTTTCTGTCCACAGCCAAACAAAAAAACTTACTGGGCCTTGTCATACTCATTCAATGCTCTTACATAGTCAACTTCCACAGTGGATTCTTCCTTCTTGCAAGCAAGGCATTGTAAAACCTGGTGCTCATCCTTGAGATCATCTTCGAAGTTGGGCTTGATGGTAGCATTTGATGTGTGGAAGTTGGCAAGAAATATGTTTGTTGTAGAGATAATTGTCAGCACTTGGATGTGATTATTATAGATGAAGTCAGCTATATTCATGGTTAGTGTGGAGTCTGCAAAAATGATGTGACATACATAGGGCTGCAAATTTGTCCAAATCAACAAAAGAGAAATGTTTGTCAAGTGCTTAGTGATGGTGAAAATCTGTGGCATTGCAAATTTGGGCTACAGGTGCATTAGATTCAGAGAAGACTTGTTTGCAGGTCTCAAAATCCTCCCCTGCACTGACTTTATACTTCAAGTGATGCTTAACTTGGCAAAGACGGTTGTGAGCATGTCCATGGAAGGCAGGCACAACACCCTGCAGGTTTAAAGGTTTTGCATCATCAGCAAGCAAACTCCATTGTATAATCTTTTTGAAGGTGCATTTGATATCATACCCATAAAGAATATTGCTGCCAAAGACGTCCATGAGCTTCTTCACACTAGCAATCAGGTATTTCATCCTGTCAATGTGTTAGCCTGCATATCAAATATTAGATAGGTGGAACTGAAATACAATTTGCTGCTTTGGACCATATCACAAATTGTAAGGAGAAAACTGTGCTGGCATACTGTGACAAAGATCCCTGACTTCTTTAATATAGCAAACATCTTCTTGTGTGATTCGGGCACTGCATTATGCCAGTGGTTAATGCATATGGTGGGTGGCTCTGCAGAATCATTCAAGTCCAGTTTGTCTATCCATGGGTCGTCAGGGTCACTAGGTTGTTGCTAAACAGGTTGCCTAGCTTGACATGCCTGCACAGATCGGACTTCATCCTTTAATTGGTCAACATACAACTCTGTGAGCCAGATGGATGATAGCCCTGAGCAAGGATCAAGACATTCCTCACCACTACATACTGCAGGATCAACAAGTTTGGCTGAGTTGTTCCTGTCACATGCACACAGAATCAAGAAGTCCAGAGTCGGCTCATTGACCAGCTTATATTGGCAAGCTGGACAAGAATTCAGCATGTGTCAGTTCTCCATGTCATGTCCAAGGAACTTGTTGAGTCAGCTATTGATGTGACAATGTATTTCGAGATATACATTGAATGCAGTGCACATCTGTTCAGCTAGGTGCCAATAATAACAAAGCTAGGGCAATCTAAGAATATGTACAAGAGGATGACAAAACACTCACATTATGCATGAAACAAAGCATCTTCATGGCAGTGTGGATGCTGAACCTTTGGCATACCCGATGACTTTGTTGGAACACATCAAGGGTACGAATGGTAATTGCAACTGTTTGGCAAGTAGGTGAACTGCCTATGCAGCCATTATGAAGTAAGGACACAGCGCTCTAAGCAAATGTTAGATATGCGAACATTACTGGAATAGACAGTGCACCAAAAAGATCAACAACTTCAATGGAAAAATTCTCTGTCTTGTTGTCAGAGATTGGAGGTGGAGTGCAGTTTTGCTTGTACGTCAGAAAAGCATTGGTGAGATTGTCATATTGTGAAGCCCACTCTGCTATGAGACATGCAATCCATCCACTGCAATTGCAGGTGTCAAGTTGTCTATTCATCTATTCAGTAAGAGGAGATTGTGCACAGAGATAGATGGAGGAATACCATGTTTTTGTCATTGTAATAGTCTCAAGCTCCCGGTAGAGCGAAATTTTGTCTCCAGCATGACTTACTGAGAACCCTTCCTCACCAGGAGGAGGGACCATAGAGTCTACATCCATGAAATAGGTTGAGAAGTTGGTAAGGTTGAAATTGTCTGATGGTGCTTGCAACAACATGCTTGGTCCACCACTCTCTGCACTTAGTAGATGCTCACACTCCACCAAAGGAAGTTCTGAGAGAACATCAGTGGAAACAAAATGGAAATACAAATGGGCCATACTTTTGAGGAGAGCAGAGCGAATTTCACAGGTGTCCTGTTGACATTCACAAATGGCTCCAGCATGCAATGTTTTGGCTTTGCCCCCACCACCAACATGAACAATGCATCATCTTGAAACCCCAACCAGAGAATTGCAACTTGGGGGCATGGGGAACAGAGGCATAGATGAGGTGTAGTGAGTGCTAGTAGTAACAAGGAGGTTATGATGTTTCCCATGTTACCTCATTGATTTGTTGCGGGGGCCACATGTGCAGAAAGCAGAGCCAGGCTTCATGTGTTGACATAGTAATAGAGTCCAGCCTGCAGTCCTCATGTACTGCCAAAAATGTGGAAAGAAATAGTGGTATTTGGTGGGAGATGAGAGCTCATCATGGTAAATGATGAGCACATTGTTTGGCATGCATTGGTGGCATTGTTTGTATTGGCGTGGTTGCCAAAATGGGCATGGGAAAGACATACTGGAAAGAGAAGTAAAGGCTGTTGGAGAAAACACGCATAAGTGACTGAAACCAGCTGGGGCACACCACCAGTGCTCTATATGAATGCAGAGGGACTTCATTAAGTGGCAGAAAGAGTGCCATTAGGCCACTTAACTAATTCAGATGTGTGGGAATCATAGGTGCCATTTTCGATGTTTTGGGCATTTGAAGTTTCCCACACTCAATTTCTTATCTATATCACTTGTCTAGCTTTCAATTCTGGGTGGATCTTTCTGTAAATTTAGGCCTGTGATACTGAATACAATGGAAATGTGCTCCAGGTGTCCGACCCTTAAATTTCGATAATCTGAGTGTATAGGCTCCTTATCAGTAGAAATAGAAAGTATATACACTACCTCAAAACTTCGGCCTAATGTGAGCTGATCCTTGGCATCAAAGCATTTATATATGTACCACTTATGATATATGAGCAGGGTGGACTATGTGTGCAAGGGTAAGATACTGAAAAACATCAACAATGTCAAAAATGCGATTGTATGTGTTTTGAGTCCTGTAGAAGGACCATGTTGATATTCTGGAGTAGCTAGGTGATAGATATATTCTAAATATGCATAGGAATAGACTCCCTATCATCCTAAAGGTCTGGTCCTGCATGAAAATTTTTCACAGGGGCTAAACCACCAGGAGAGGGCAGGTATACCATACCACAAGGTCTTGTCCTATGGCACTGGGCTCCTGATACATTGGTCCTATTGTTGAATAAATGCTGGGAATGCTTTTTCCAAGTCTCTCCACCAAGAAATAATCACATCAGAACATATTTTGTGTTTTTATGTGTATATGCTATATCTATTGATGCAGGGCGCTTCAAGGGGTCAAATAAAAATGAGAATCTCTTCAAATATACTCATAAACATGTTCTGGATGCCCTGGGATACTTCCCTATCAAGAGCAAAAGAGCAAAAGAGTTCTGTACCCTAGGTTATTTTGAAATGGCCCTGGAGGAGGAGCAGGTACATGAATATACAAAAAAGCGGTCTATTATATTATATTATACACATATATACTAAACTACTACTTATATATAAAGAGGGAGCTATTGTGGTGTGGTGGTGAAGCTGTAGTGAGGTAGTGTGGGGATAATTGTAATTGTGGGGGATGCCATATTGGGTGATGTTTTCCCACCAACAGTAGCTAGCATCATAGCCTCTGGAGTGTCAATGATATAGCTTGCAAAGGGGGTAGAACAATAGCAGCTATGTCCAACAGGGTCTGATAATGTGACTCCTTCAAGTGCAGCCTGCTTGAGCAGATGCAGGACAATATCTAGACATTCATGAATTAAGCAATCCTTGAGTACACCTCACATGTGTTTATTCTTATGTATAAATTTGTGTACAGGGAGCAAGGTGGTGAGTACACAGGAGTTGAATGATGCCTTGAGTCATGTGGACATGTTGATATTCACAAGGCTGACAAGAAGTGGGTGCACAACTCTGTCACCCATCATTGTGGATATATTTGTTTTGTTGGATGATAGAATGGTTCCAAGGAGTGTTGCACCTTCAGGTAGGGCAGACTGTTGAGAAACCAATAAGTTCAGCAACTGGTGCAAAACATGAATATATACCTGCATATTCCATGCATCATCACCTGTCATCCATTCTGAATATACATGGCACAAGCATTGTGCAGTAGTATAGACCCTGCAAGGCATGAAGTTGTCATATCCCATATGCCAGACATAGATCCCATCATATTCCCACGCTTTCCGGACCTGTTTCTGGACCCCATATCCAACTCATTCCTGGATCCCCTATCCTGTCCACCCTACACACATTCTGTCCAGCAAGACATCCAGACTTTACCTCCTCTCGGATTCTGGACTACATCCACCACCTCACATATCTCAGTCCTGTTTCCATCCTGCCTTCCAGATCCCCAGATCTCCGGACCTCCGGATATTAACTGTACTATCTCCGGACCTATTCCCACCCTCCGTCCGAGATCCTGCGCCTATCCCCATTTAGGCATCTCCGCCTTTCCGGTTCTCGATTATCTCTGTTTCTGTCTTGCTGATTGATCCTTGTACTAGTTTCATCTCCGAGTTCATTTAGTTATGTTCTGTCTTACTTACCAGTGTGTTTCTGCATGCTCGTACATAGCCTTACTCCTTTGCTTACTGATCCTCTTGGATAGCCTCTGGTATATAACCCCTGTACAACTACAGTAGAGTCCTCAGTCTGAATATCACCTTAGATCTGCCCAATCATCTTCTGGACTTCAGTCCATCTGAGTCTTGTCCTTTTCCGTAAGGCCTAGGGAAGGATTCCCTAGGCTGGAATTCCGGACCTCCGGATTTGTCCCCTATGTCTCTGTCCCAAGTCTAGGGATTGCTTCCCTAGGCTAGAGTCTTGCCTTTCCGGCACTTACCCTCTTTCCAGACTTAGGTCCACTTCCTGTCCCTCCGACTCTACCTTAGGGTAGTCTACCTCTGTTTGCTTCTGCATCAGACTTCGTCTGATGTAGCCCCTATTCCTTCCGGACCTCCGGACCTCCTGCCTTCTGTACCTCCGGACATCCTGTCCCTCATACCTCCGGGTATCCTGTCCTTTGGACATTCCATCCTCCATACCTCTGGACCTCCTGTCCTCCAGACTCTGGACCTCTGGACCTCCTATCTGTCCATCCTGTTTTCCTGTAGAAGTATTACCTTGCAGCGGGAACTCTCCTGAGCATTTCCTGCATCCCTCCAGAACTCTCCTGTGCTCCTCTGGAAGTCCTCCCGCACTCTCCATTGGACTTCCTCTGAAATGAAGGGCACATACTTGGGTAAGGGGCACAGCATACGAGCTGAGGCCAAGCCCCTCTGAGTCAGTCTCTCTCTCCTTTGAGCATGGTTCTTAACAGAAGTCCAACTGATGGTGAAAAAAGGGATGATTCAGAATGGCCAAAATACAATCCAAGGGATCACACCAGTACAAGACAATGGGTGATTTGGTGGGATGACTTGTAGAGAGCACTTGGGACATCTAGCATGGACCACTGGGCAATATTTCTGCTCTGCCTCACAGTTCCTTGGCTGAGGAAAAAGATAATGGAAGACCCTTGATCTTGACAAAAGACTTATCATTGGAATTGTAATGAAAATGAAACAATTTGCTTACCATTTCAAGTGACAAAAAACTGTCTATCTTCCCCATGCTCAATCCTGAGCACAGTAACCACAATGCAATCTCCTAGTCCTTCTGGTTACTGAATGGGTAATAGGGATTCTTGGCATGGTACATGCTATTCTCATCAGAATTGAATAAGTTGAGGAAAGTGTACCCCTTGCCATATGTCCAAGAAGATTCAGGATACTGGTTGATGAAATCTGAGGCACCATTCAGAATTAATCTCTCCCCAGAGGTCTGGTCACCACTCTTGCTGCTACCTTCAAATGACTCATCTATATCTCTGAATGTGAACTCAACCTCAGCCTGAGGCCCAGCACCAGGAATATTTGGCTCATCCAAGTCATCTGTATTCATAGAATCATCAGACAGGTCCCACAGACATATTAAATCCTATAGCCAGGTGCTACATCCTGAGTGAGGCTGGCTTATGTGACAAGCAACAGCAACCTAATCTCTGAAACTGGTTTTCCTGCATGAAGGACACTGGAAATTGGACATGTCACAAAGTCCAACACTCATGAGAAGCCCAATTCATAATCAATAACTTACTACTCTTTGTTTCTTCAAAATGTCAGCCCCAATCAGTCTTAATCTCAGTAATGATATCCCATCATCATCTCCACACCTGATGCCTTGTGCATGCTCACACCTTGTTCAGCAACATCCAAGTTGTCACTCGTGTTATCATGATTCCAGCAGTATGTAAAAGGGCTTGCATGTGGGGTTTGGTTGCTGTGGACCCTAACTTGTTCTTAACTTTGATGATTGCGTAACAGAAACCTTTGTACTGCGTGTCACCATTGGTTAAGTAGGTGGTGTCATTAATTGTTGTGGCCCTCAGGTCAATGTCATGCTCCAGCAAGACTTCACGGAATTTGGAAGCTCATTTCATCTTGTCCTTGAAGAAGCTGGACATAACTGCTGACAATGTCATGAACAACTTGTTATCATCTGGTGTTGGGTCAAGATTTTCACAGTCGTCCATGAATGTGCCAAAGATTGGATGAAGTAGCATGCAGGATATAGTATGTGAAGTCCTGGGGGGTCAATTCCAGTGAATGGTGTGGTCCAGGTTTTTTTGTATGCTTTCAAATTGAGAAGGCTTCCCCTGGCTAGAAGGAGGCCCCTGGGGAAGATTGTACTCTTTATGAAGTTTCTCTGTCCTATACAGGAGTGCTGAAGGCAATGGTTGCAAATGATGATGGGAGCCATCTGGGAGGCAGCCATCAGCTCAGTGATTGTGTCAAAGCGATATAAACAGATAACTCACAAGCAGGTGGCGGCTGGACAACGATATGCAGGTGCTTGTGCTGAGGAGGACTGTCAAAAACCTCAAGCATTGCATCCATAGCTGATAATGATTTCTTGGGATCTAATTCTAGCTTGTTGAGATTATGCTCAAGTTTTTCATCATCAGACAGGGCAACCTTCCAATGTATCACATTGTCAGCATCCAATCATAGGCATCAGATCACTCACCTTCCATAGCCAGAGAGTGGATGCAGCTATGTTGTGAAATACAGGATTCCTTTCCTTGATCAATTCTTTCAGGTCATTGACAGTGTTCATCTGTACAATCCTGATCTGGAAGATAATACAGTTGAAGTCATAGCCTAAGATGGTGCAGTTAAGTCTGATGGGCAGGTTGCTGGCTGGCGGGGAAGGTGCTAATCTCACTACAATCAGTATGAATGAAAGAGAGGCAATATTAACAGACAACTCACAAGCAGGTGGTGGCTGGATAACAATATGCAGGTGCTTAAGCAGAGGAGGACTGTCAAAAACCTTGAGCATTGCATCCACAGGTGATAACCATTTCTTGGGATCTAGTTCGAGCTTGTTGAGTTTACACTCAAGGGTGTTGTCAACAAGCAGGTCGACCTTCCAATGTATCACATCATCAGCATCCAACCATAGGCATCAGATTACTCACCTTACATAGCTGGAGAGTGGATGAAGCTATGTTGTGAAATACAGGATGCCTTTCCTTGATCAATTTTTTCAGGTCACTGACAGTGTCCATGCATGCAATATTGATCTGGAAGACAGTGGGGTTGGGTTCATTGCCCAAGATGACACAGGTAAGTTTGACATGGGACTCCATTGGGGACAAGAATAGGTGGTGGGTATTGATATTGGAATGTACTTAAGCAGCAGGCACATCATAAGGGGATGAAGTGGACAACATCACATGATGTGAATACACAGTGGGCGGAAAATTGAGTTACCCACGGTAACCCACCAATAACTCAAAGTAGGCCCCAGGTTTGCTCATAAGTTTCTTTGCCATGCATGGCAAAAAAGTAAAACTACAAGTTTGTTGGGAACTAGACTTTGTAGTCATTGGCCATGTGGTTTCATGGGCCTGTGGCTAGTTGGGAGCATCAGCCCCACCTCCATCCACAGCTGGAGCCTCATCCTGGCTTCCCATGTAAGACAGTATCCCAAGTTTATGTGGTGTCAAACTCATTCACTACCAACCTAGCGTGCTTGATTAATTGCTTCCCATCTGGAGGCAACCTCTTACAGATACATCTATACCAAGCCCATCACAATCCTTCACAAACTGTAAGCCATGGTCAAGCTGTCACCATCCATCAGTCTTGTACCAACCATGCCACCATTCTCCCAATTAATAATGACTGTATCTATGGAGCTGAAGAGCTTTGGGCTTGTGTGCTTATGCCATCATGTCATGCATCTGACAGTCGTTACATTCATTAATAAAAATTGCTCTGCAAGGCTGTGGTTTGGTCAGTACTACCAAAACTGGTCTCTAGAAATATGTAAACCTTGTGGAAAATATTTGTGGTGAAAATGCTGCCTGCAAAGTACTACCAGTGTGAATGGTCTTGTACTTGTATCTGCTCAGCTGTGATGAGGTGATGGGCATTAATATTGAATGACTGTACAGGTAGTGGGATGGAAGACTCCTTGCATTCTGCAAGTGATATCTGGTATTGTAGTTGCATCCTGTGAGTCACTATTGATAACCACTCATATGGATCATATAGTCACATGTTGACTTAGAACATTTCATTTCATGGGCACCTTGTATCAGGATGACTACCTAGACATATTCTTAAGTAGCAAAAATACCACCTGTTCTGTATTCAACACACAAATTTATATGGTGATCTGACAGCGATGTCAAGGAGCTCAGAATTATGGATCGAAATTTCAAGTAAAGGCACATTAAAGTATAACTGCTTATATAAAGTTGATCACCATGACTGGAACTTCAAAAGTAACCAAATTGAATCTGAGTTTGAACAACATTTATAATAATTGTCAACTTGTACACAATCATCTGCTATCAACCATATCCATAATATTATTTACCATGCACAAGCTAAGTCACAATGTAAGTTTAGGGGGAGTGCCTCCCAAAGATCTTTCCTGAGGATTTGATGGCTTTCTTTCTTTCTTCCTTTCTTGTGTCCATGTTACTGCATCCTCACTGGGCCAGTGGGACCAGCCTTGGGGGAGCACCTCTCAGGGGCCTTTCCTGAGGGTTTTGACTGCTTTCTTTCTGGTGTCCATGTCACTGCACTCTCATTGGGCCGGTGGGACTAGCCTTGGGGGGGCGCCTATCAGAGGTCTTTCCTGAGGGTTTTGAGGGCAGACAGATTTATGCCTCTTCCTAAAAGGCAGGGATGCCATGGTAGCAGTGATCTTCATGCCTCTATGTTTACATTTGGTCAGAGAACAGTATCACCTGATATTTCATCAACACTTGCCCAATTACTACTGCTGCAGTTGACCAGACTCTAAGAGACAGCCCCTGGGCAAGCAGAGTGCTTGTTCCATATAAGTTAAAGGCATCAGGTTGAGCATAAAATCATGTCTATATGGATACACAGTGTTTGTATTTTCACCTTCTTGCTTCTTACCAATGTACTACTTGCAAGTGCTTAACTACTAGACTCCACTCTCATTTCATCACACCTGCCTGCCACTCACTCTTAGCTGCATGCATCTTAGACCAGATACCTGACATCTACCATTTGTTAGTTAGGATTTGTCCTGACAGGGCAGTTTGGCCAACCATGGGATGTCAAATTCAGGGAGAAAGGTCCGGGTGAGCTTTATCTCACACTGGAAGCTTCCAGAAGTTGTGCATCTAAGCATCCAACATTCCTGAAGATACTACAAAATGAATACACCAAGAAACAAAGTGTGTGTTGGCAGATGCAACATCCAAGCTATCATAGAATATTTCTACAAATATCACCAATAAGAAGACTTTTCCAGCTTCATGAACAGCCTTATAAGTGATTCATAATCATATTTCAGGACCTGGATCTTCCATGGATTTTGTTGATGTTTTTTTCCCAGCATGTTCCATAACATTGGTGTGGGAGACACTGTCATTGACACATCCCTGAAGTCATATTCTGTGGACCTTCCAAAATCTCAGCCAATGCATGTTCAAGCCAGTACAGGCTCCAGCTCAGATTCCACCCAGTCTTTGGGCAAATCCATTTCAACATGGTAGGATCTTGTCCCACTATAATGCCAAACTCTTTGACACTCAATAATGTGGCAATGTGATGCCCAACAAACCCTAATGACATTTTCAGGCCAACCAAAGATGAACTGTTTTCTTTATTATGTTTAAAAAGAAACCACCTCAGGTTAAAGATATGTGAAGTGATACTCTCCAGCATCTGGGAGTCACAACAAACATAGGCAATCATGCTGGCTACTTTTTATGGTAAGTCATTAACCTCGTGGAGCTTTTGTGGGGCTGTACAAATGCTGTGGACAAGACCATCACATGCGCACCGACACACAATCAGCTGCACAAGGTGATGATGGTACCATACTGCTAGTACATAGGTGATCTTCATGGTCAAGTAATGAAGCCATCGCCATGCAAGACACTACAATGTTGTCAAAGGTAAGTCACACTCATCATCAGATGATGATACACTTGGTTTCTCTGGCACTTTAGCGAGATCGTCTCTTTGTCTCCATTGAAAATGTATATGTGTTGACAGTTTCCTTGCATGGTGGTGATGACTTATGTGACTTACAAATGTAGCTACTTTGTTTGGTGTCGCTCCAATAATAAATAAAAGTGTCCAAGTGAATTTTCCAGATTCTGGCCTATTGATATGAAGCTGGCTGTAATACTTCAGTAATTCTATATCGCATAAGAGCAACACCCCAATTCAGATGGCAAAGTACAGACAAGGCTTGCAGACTCTTAGACTGGAGGGCATTAATTACAGGCCTTTCTTCCTAATATGATTTGTATATAATGAAGTGTTCATCACTGTAGGTACATGGTTGTTGCATGACCCAGTAGTCTAATACCAGGACGTCACCATGGGGGCCTGATTGGTGCCCTCACCTGGAATTCTTGCCAACTCTGATCCCCCCTTTGCTCCGACATTGCTATTTCATCAGCACAGTCAGACCAATCTTTTGTTATCTTAGAGGTTAACAGATCTTCCCAGCTCACATAGGCTGGTGTAGTCACCTTGTGTGTTGAGCCGATCATCCTGCTGGATGATGGTCCAGGCACAGACCCTGAGGTATCTGGCAATGAAAACTGATACCACCAGGCATGGTTTAGAAGAAATATAATACTGGAATAATATTGCCCACCTGCAACCCAGATCCAGGTGTCACCGCAGACTTGACAGCCTGGTCTTTTTCCTTTCCTTTGGGTTTGTTGCAGCCAGAAGACTGAGTAGAGGTGTGATGAGAGCCAGCTTCTTTGGGACCTGACTGCATCCATCATCCGGATGAGCAAGTGGAAAGATGAAAGCAACAAACACACCTGGGATATTTTGGCTTTTTTGCGTTTCTGCACACCAGCAGGCATGGAAGACTGATCAATTGGTTAGTTTACAGCTTGGACCCTAGGGTGAGAAACCTACAGATGGATGCTTGGAGGATGCAGGAACAGAGGGCTGGGTGTCCATGTCTATGGGCATTGGTAGCTCAGTCTCAGTCATGGCAGGTTTTGCAGTGGCTTCAGTGTCAGCCTTCTTTATATTGATCTCCAGGAGTTCCAGGGTGATCATCAGGCACCTATGCCAGCTTTTCTCATCTGTCTCCACCATTGGACCATGATCATTTCCACTCTGTTTGGACTCCAGGTCCATCTTCAACCAATTGATATTCTCACTGCTCTTGTTGGGCAAAGAGCCATAAAGTGATTGGATGATAGGATAAATTTTGGATGATGTTGACCAAGTTGCCCAGTCTGTACTGTCATTCATAACAAAGGGAGATTGAACAAATTGGACACTCACCAAATACAGTTGAAGGTGGTTGGTCAATTTGAGGCTCCAGTGGCGACCAGGTTGAATCTGGAGGAGATATCTTGTGGATGTGATATGTTGCTTGTGTCCAAGAAAATAGGATGCTAGAGAACCATTGGCATGTCATTTTATTTGATGTGGGCATCTCCTGGACTTGGTGATGATTTGTAGGGGGATAGAATTTTTCCCAGACCTCGTCAAAAAAGGCCTCATGCAGATGGTGCAAATACACGGATCCTCAGAATAATTGTTCTCTGGTCTGTTCATTGAAGCATTGACTGAGTGAGATGTACCACAGTGCATACATTGCATGTTGCAAAAATCAGCATAGTGGTTTTGAGGAGGCAGGAATAAAGATAACATGTTCATGCGATCATATCCCTGGAAAACAGTCCATAGACTGATCATAGAGTCCACAGTGATAGAGCTCTGGGTGCCAATCCTTGTGCATCATACTCGCCTTATTCCAGTAATGGTTAAGGTCTATCAACTTGACAGAAGGAATGGATGCCTGCATAGCGCTTTGGAGGAAGTTCAGGTTGACGTGATGAGGGCAACAGAAAATGCATCCTATAATTCCCAAAATGGTGTGGCTAGGGTTCCCAGATTGGTTAAATTGCATTTGATAAGTGACAGCAGCAACAGAAGCAGCCACAATTTGTGTTTGCTGTCTATTATTCAATTGAATCAGGGTCTGCTAATATAAAATGTAGTGTTGGACCTTGCATACATTATGTATGTATACACCACATGAGGCTGGGCAAACAGATAAACATATCCTATCTGAGTCAATATGCCATAGGAACTGTTGGCTCTCAGCCAGCACACAATGACATGATCTTTTGCAAATGTTTCAAAGGTTGGAGCCTGGATCAAACTGAATTTTTCATATGGCAAATAAGTTCAAGTATACATATCACATGTTGGCCCAAGGTCCACATGTGACAGGTCAGTCTGAAGCCAGTCTAACATTCCCCATGTATACTAGTAGCAAATATCACACACATATCATTTTAATCATAAATGTTTGTCCTGTGATCAGGCCTGGATCTACCATCGAGAGAGCTGATGGTCCTAACCATTCATTTAGAGGTGCCCTGCACACTTGTGCCTCTTATGTACTTTTGGACATTCACAAGCAGCACAAGTGACAAGTCTGGGCAACCACAACCTGTGCCAGGAATCAAACCAATTGCCTCAAACATAATATGAATAATGCACAACAGATCTATGGTGGCAGCATAAAAGCTGAGAGAAAATTTGTTGGGGACATAAAAATGTGTTACATATATTTATCTAACATTAATGGCGACCAGCAATGAAACTGCCATTAATAAAACTATCAGAACTGGATCATTGTGTCAGTGGAGGGGCCTGGTAACATCAAAAGAAGCTCAGGAGCCATACTTAGGAACTCTGAATGCAAGGTACTGTATGCTTCCAATTGCAACATCTCACATACTGGTATGGCCTGCACAGAAGTCAGTCTGAGGTCCACAGCTGGCAGGTTAGTTTACACCAGGCATGGGTCTAGGCAGCACCTGGAATCAGGCTTATTGCATGGCAATGCATTTTGATGAATTGCAAAGGCCGGAGCTGACAGGTCAAGCCCACAGAATTAGCATAAACCTATAGTGTGATGTTGTTGGATGAGTTGGATAATGAAGTTTGTACATGGCAATGAGACATAGGAATGCATGTCAAAGACTAAAAATGCGCAGGGATCCTGCAGGAACTATGTCAACAGCTCTATTAGGTGTTTCATGGCCAGGCATGTTTCGTTCATCCACCTGGAGAACATGCACCCAAATTCATCAGCCAGCCACAAGGTCCACCTTGGATTCCCAGTGCTGAACAGACCAATACCCATGCCATGCTCCACCTCATTTATGAAATACCCTAATCACCCATCAGGACCATGCATGACACCCAAATCCAGTCGGACCATCAACCTCAAGGAGCTGGGTGCACCCAGCGACTCTTCCTCGAGGCTTATGAGTTGATTCAATGTGGTTGCGGCAAAGGACTCCAGCTCTTAATCAGCTTGGCATTGTTCAAAGAGCATGCCCCCTACAGGGTCCATGATATCATCAAAGACATAAGGTTCACTTAGGTGCAGGCTGGGCCAATCCCTGGGTTTCACAATACTAATCAGATCATGACAGCCAGTCAATTGAAGAACCCACCTCATTTCTGCCAGCAATAGACCAGCATCCCGATGCAAGAAGACCCACTCCCCTTCCCCATTTCCTGGAGCCATGTGCACCACCCACAATGGCTGACAATCCACCAAGATAATCTGCCACTCTCCAAGCTTCTGAAGGGTTAGTACATACAATTACTTTAACCACCTGAAGTGACCACAATCCAGTGGCAGATTCAATGGATCCACTTTGCCAGGTAATAAAACATGCTGGTTGCAATCACTGCCTTCACGTTTGAGAATACAGCCTTCAAAGGATTGTGAGACATCATTTTGAGAAAGGAGTGTGGTCAGGGGTCTTGGGGAATTGACCATCCTGGGTGCAATTTGGTCAACATTGATAATTACATTGAATTTCAGGGAAGCATGCAGCATCTCTTTGGATGGGGGCCATACTGGGACAATAGACTCCAGCATTTGCAGGCTGGATAGGTTTTGCTGCAGCAGAGCCGGGCTGTCCCAACCATCAGCCTGCTCACTTATCCTGATTTTCAATGATTTGAATTTGGTAACTAGAAACTGACCACTTGCCTTGGATCCACCATAAGGTCTATACCACCCCAGTGTCATATCCACATATCCGGATCTCAGATCTGATCCTTATCTCATCTCAGATCTGGTCCACATCTTATCTCCAATCCTATCCACATCTTATCTCCCTCCAACATCTCGTCATCCATTCTGTCCACTCATCTGGTCTGGTCCACAATTCATCTGAATCCACAACCAGTGCTCGTCTCTTTTTGGTAATCCCCTAACTCTGGTATTTCAGTTATCTGTATATCTGTCCTGCTCCCTGATCTGTTACCTATGCTTCATTTCCATTTCATTATTTGTGATCCATTTCTACTTACCAATAGACCATCCATATGCTTCGTAAATAGCCATAGCCTCGGACTCTGCTGATTGATCATTCTGTTAGATACCTATAGTATATAACCCCCTGTAACTCTCTGTAGTACCTCAGTTCGAATATCATCTTAGTTCTACTCATTCCTGTCCTCTGGACTTGAGTATCTCTACTCTCGTCACTCTCCAAGACTTAGGATTGATTCCTATAGTCTATCCATATCCACCTCTGTCTCCAACAGTCCATTACCATTATTTTCTAGTCTGGACTTGTCCGGATTAGCCCTACAATACCTATCCCACATCCGGAAGTCATCCAGATCTGCTATGCTACTCATCTGACCTTCCAGACGCATCAGTCTTGCCTTCCTGAAATAAGGGGCAATACTTGGGTAAGGGGCACAGTGCATGAGCTGAGGCTGAAGCCCTTCGGATCCAGTTATCCCTTGAGTACGACCTTAACACCCAGATGGAGTGATATTGTTCAAATGTCTGCCAGAGGTCAGGGTTTGACAAAATCAATATATCCCGAGAATGTTCAAACTTCATGAACTCCATGGCCATTCCTCTGTGTTGGATTCTAAGCCAAAATAACAACTTATTGATTGCTAGTATCAGTCCAGAAATGCCACCAGTTTTCAACATCCAAGCCTTTTCATGAAGCCTCACCAGAACAAAGCCTGTTCGCTTTGTAACTACATGACTGGATTTTCCTTGAAAGACAAAGCTGCAAAGTGTTGGACTGTTCAAGAGATCAGCAGCCAGGTGGGTGGGATAGTTGTGGGTCACCCAGTCGACACATCTGTAAGAATCCCACACCAAAAAATGGGAGAATTGAGGATCCAACACCACCAACACCCAGTAAGACATTACCAGAGCCAAAGACCAGGTTGTGTCTGACAGATGTGATATTTTATGGTATTGATCCAGGTTTATAGCACCAGGCTGGTCGTGGCATCACTGACACAGTTGTTTAAATGTTATGTTAATGTAATCACCATTGCATCTAACGATAGATGCTTGGAGAAATTGCTCAGTCACATTTACCTATTCTACAACTTGAACTTTGCTGGTGGGCAAGTGGTGTTGAGTATCCTGTTCAGAAGCTCAGAAGCTATTCAGTTATTGCCAAGCTCTAAGGAACCACAGGTAAGTGTGTGTCCAGTGGGGTATGTTTAGGTGCCTCCAGCAAAAGACATCACAACTGCTGAACTTTTGAGCTTGCTCTTACAGCTCTTGTATCTTGCTAACTGAAACATAGGACTACGATGAGACTAACGACAAGGGCATCAATCCATGAGCAACAGGAAGATGGCAAAGCCTGAGAATGTCAAGATGGCATGTACTCAATCATTATGTGCTTTGGAAGTAGTTCGGCAGATATATTGGCATGGTGTGAGCCCTTCATCAATGTTGTTGTCCTCTATTAAGATGGACTTCATAATTCTGTGATGTGTCCCAGGGTTATATAACTGCAAACTGAATGGAAATCAACGTCAGTCTCAGGGACATGGTCATCCAAGGAGCAGCCATTGCAGTTGGGCACCACCAACCTTGAGCACAGAGGTGAGGCTTAGGAGAATACCAGACAAGACAAATTCGGGGGAGGAACAAGAAGTGAAGTCTTTCAGTGCCCTCTATATACAAGTTCATATAGAATAGTTGACACAATCACAGGTAATACAACACTGACCCTGGCATAAGTGGACTTAGACAAACCAAAAAGTCTAAGTCTATCTTTGCCGACACCACATAAGTTCCTGTGCAACACCATAGACTTAAAGTTCAAAAGGCTTGAAGGCAGTATGAGTAAGTGTGGACTCATCAAATTAAGAACTTGAAATTTGCTCAAGTATTAATGTCGGTCTTAGGTCAGTCTAAAGTTCACCCAAGCAAGTCAGTCCAAAGGTCAGTCTGAAGTTCACACAAGTCCCTTGACTATGTGCCAAAAAATCCCCATTCTGCCATTTCAGACAAGAGAAACTTGCCACCACCTCTCCCCTGTGCAGGCCAGGTGGTCATCATGAATATTACGGGGCACTCAGCTTACATGACATGCCTGATTGACCACCAACTCAAAATTTCAGGCAGAGTCTCAACACAGGTGGGAAGTTCTCTAAGTTCCAATAGTAGTTCAACCATATGCACCCAGATGGACACTCTCTTAGGTGATAACACTGTCAAGCTACACGGTCCCCACAGGTTGGTGATCTTGTGAATCTCCAGTGGAGTAGCCCGGAGTATCCGATGTTTCTGATGTGGGACAGTCTATCCAACCACAGGCCTGTTGTCAGACACTCCCTTGGGTGATAACACCGCCAGGTTGCACGGCCCCCACAGGTTGGTGATTGTGTAAATCTTCAGTGGGGTAGCCTGGAGTATCTGATATTTCTGATGTGGGGTGGTCTTTAGGACTATCACCAAAGCTAGACACCTGGCAGATTTTAGATGCCTCCATTGTTTTTGCTTTCTCTTCTCCCTTCAGGGTTGACTGTGGGTGTCAGGTATCTGATTTTTTTGGGTGTGCAAATACATTCCATGGGGCTGACAATGTCTGGCCTTGCACAAATGTTTGCATCACTGCCATGGACACTGGTCCTGGCTAACTTCCACCACTCCAGAAGGGTTCTTACTGATGTTTATTTTGTTTGCCATGGTCAGATCTCAGCTGAGTCTTCCATTCTATCTTGTAATGTCATATTTTGATGACTGTCCATTCTGGATATGCGGTTTCCCCAATGATGTTTTAGCATATCCAAACCCTGACAAGATGTGTTGACTCCAATGTCTTTCGTTCTAACTTTGGTGTCTGGATCTTTTTGGTCCCAAATGGTCTAAAATATGTTGGGCCACAGGGCACCAGAGGATGGCTTTGTGATTGTTGCAAGTTCGGCACCTTGGAGGCTGAAATCCAAGTACCATGGCTGGTGCATACAATATTGCACTGGCGTTTTGTAGTCCCTTTGTTGACAAGTGGATTTATTTTTTTGTTTCATGTATTTACACCTAACTCCTTTAACCAAGTGCTGTTGGGCCAATCTCCTTCCATGTCTATACACCACTGATTCTATGCAGTTCCCATTTGTGAGGTTACACTGTCACCACCTGATTTTTTTCATGTGTATTGTGGGTTTGAATATTACATATTATGGCCATTTCCCACTGTTTTTTTTAACCGAACAGGTGACAACAGTTATGGGTGCACTTGTTGATATCATCAGGCTTGCTGCGAACACTGTGATCAACATTGTCCAACTCGGTAGTCCAACTGCAGACTTGAATGCCTAGCACATGTTTTCAACCATATCCAACATCCAGGTGCATCAGTGCCCACCAGACTTTTGTCAATTGTGGAGCACCTGTGTCAGTGGGTGATGACCGTGCAGAAATGTGTAATTTACAGAGGGCAGCCATAAGGTCAAGTTGACATTGACAGCTACATTTTAGAATTGAACATCCCTATAGTACACAACTTATGTAGCAACTGGCTGTGTGGAGATTAATAAAAGATGACACTGGATCCAACCACACAATCATTGACTCAGAGCCCACTCCTGCTGATTTGTGGTCATATAACTTGTGGTTGTCCACACTTCAATTCACCACCAACAGTCAGCTTTGCTTCAACCCCAGAACCATCACACTCCATCCATCATCTGAACAAAATAGTCAACCTGCATCTCATACTTAATGCTGAACCAACCCTCTGAACTGTCCCAAACCAAGGTTGCAGAAGCCAAAAGAACTTGGTGCTATGCCAAGAAACAAGACCCTGCTGAAGCCAAGCAACTGAGGTTACAGCAGAATGAGCACAAACAAATATTGTGTGCAAGGCAGAAGCTTGCACAACAGGGGCTCCAATAGCCTTCTCCCAAGTGCTGCCAGGCTGTAACACCTGATGCAGACTCTTCACACTCTGTGCCAGGGTCTTTGTCTGGAAATACCACTGGTGGTGAAGAACCTCCTACCAAGCAACACCAGGCTGCAATATGCAATATGGGCCCATCACACCTGGCGCCAGGGTCTTCATCTGCCAACATCATGCCTGACACCAATGGTCCCTCTGATATTCCTGATGATCAAACTGTTGCAGGTCCATCTGACCTTATCCCAAATCACGCAGCCCCCCTGGTTAATCCTCCAGTGCCATCCCATCTTTTCAGTCACATCTCTGTGGCCACCAAACCTCCCCCTATAACCTGTGATGTGGAGGTCATGATGGAACTTCCCTACACCAACCCATCCCACTCTGAAAATGACCCCACAGTCCCCTCAACCTCTTTGATACCACTGGTTGATGCCAAGGACCTTGCAACTGATATCTTTGGAGTCAAAGTGTCTGCACATTCAGAGACTGTGAAATGGTCCAGCAGATTCACCACTGTACTGCCATGCATCTGGAAGGACAGGGTCAATATATGCCAAGATGATGCTGATACTGTTCAATATCTTTCTAAGCTTCCAGAATCCAATCCAGAGTCATTGTCACATGTGGTTCACATACATCACTCTGATTAGATATCCCAACCAGTGGAATTGTGCAATCTCATCTCACAGATGCTTCGTGAAGGCAAATGCATTGTCCTTCGAGCATTGGAAAAACCTCAGGCAGCATGTCTAGATTTAGACTACCTGGAAGATCAAGGTTTCTCACAGTTTATGTGTGTATCTATACATGGTCGGTCTTTTTCATTGTTCCATGGCTTCACATTTGAACTTATCTATGGTGATAGACATAGAAGAGCATACTAGGGATTATACACATCCACAACTTGAAGGAATGATCAAAGACTTCCTGCACAACTTATGTGACCCAAACTGCATACAGTTTATCCTGGACCTTCCATATACAGGGTGAGGCATCCCAGATCATTTGCAGTGGGTAATTGTTTTTTTCTCTTCATAAACTCTCTAAACCTCTGTTTCCTTCAGGCAACTTGATCATGGCATAGCACATGGATGGAATCAGACCACAACTGATTACCCTATCCAGGACAAGGTCCATCCTGACAATTTCCTCCTTCACAGGTGGTCCTTGCTTCATCAACCTGGAGTCCTGACAAATTTCCACCACAACTCGGACAGAGGAGTCACCTTTGTACAGTCAGTACTGGGCAAAAAAAAAAGGATTCCAGCCTTCCTCAGAAATCCAAACATTTTGTGCACTAAATTCACCGAGCTTTCCTTACTACTGACAAACCTTCTTGCCAACCATGCAGAGATTGAAGCCAACTGGCACATGGAGGTAGTCACTCTTCAGGAGGGGGATTTATTGTGAGTTGACCAAACCATACATCTATCCTATCAGCATTAATGGCCCACCCTACCAGTATACAACCACCTGGACAATACCATGCAGCCTATACACCCATGGAGTCATTTGCCAAGGGAGCCCACTGTTTGAACCTAGAATTCTTGCATCACAGTGAGCTATCCCAGTTTGTTGACACAAAGAAGGGACATTTCCTCACCAATCAAGTTCATGAACACTCCCTGGAAATGCTGGAGTGAATGGTCATTTATCTTCCACGGGTGTCTTGCCACACAAGTAAGTGATGCATCATGATATTTCCTGTGTCAATCCTCTTATCATTATCACAAGGATTATTCACAAGGCCTCTCATCACTATATGCACTATGGTCATAGATTCTCATAAATATGTGGCTGTTGGTGCCAACAAGAAAAAAATGCTAAGGAACACCACCAAACCAGCACTTGTGATTTCCAGGGTGATCATAAAATATTTCTGGAAGGACTTCGAGATGGCAAATTCAGTCTATCAGTTTGGCTCTGATAAATGCCACAGCTCTCAGAGTCTAATGCACCTGGGAGAGCTTATTGACAGAAAAGAGCTGGCGATTTGCTTGAAACCATTTACAGAATTCTAGTTGTGACCTTAATTTTATGTAACATCAAGGATACCAGTGAATGTATAAATTTTTCTGACTCTGGCTTGGGATACATTTGAATTTGACCAATCAATCCACCCATGGATAACCATGATAAAAATTGACGACGTATAGATGTCAGATTGACTCATGTGAACTTGGGATTGACCTTGATCAGAGACATAAAGAGACTGACTTGTGCCAACTTTGGACTGACCTGCTGATTCTGAATAGATGTTGACATGGACTGAGTTGTGTGAACTTTGGACTGACCCTTTGGACTGACTTCAAATTCATAATGTTGTCCTTTGTGTTCAAGTTGAGAACTTTGGCTTCTTCTTCATCTACCAATTCTGCTGTTCTCGAAAGTGAGTTTCAATACCTGACCAGATCTCCACTGACTTCCATGCCTGTGCTTCCAGAGGTCCATGTGCGCCTTTCCATCCAAAAAACCGTGCATTACCAGACATGTCTTAGAACAATGTAATTGTCCACTTCATGATGTTTTTCATGCTGTTGAAAACTACCCACTCTACTATGATGCATTATACTTTCCTGAATTACAGCTGTCTGTTTATGCCTCCTCATGCTTATTCTGCACACGGTTACAGAGTGCCCTAAGTTCTCACCCTACCCTTTGTCACACTTGCCCTCGGTTCCGCTCTGATGTATCTGTTACATTTGACAATGTCTCATTTTGTGTTGAAATCAAGGGCAAGCACAGGATTTTTGGACATCGACATTTTGAATCTCACTGCACTGTCTCTCAAGTATTTTGTATTCCTCCTCCCAAAGCTCCCAATGCAGCCTCTTGTGCAGTTTTGCACTCACATGATGATCCTCCGTGGTTCCATCATGCTCATGTATTCTCTGAAGAAAATTTGCATGGTCTGTCAGCTTCAGTTCTGACTACTACCGCACACAAGGATGTTTGCAATATCACAGGCATTTGTACCAAGGGAGCCGCAATCTCCGCGATACTCTCTCATTTCTCGTTGAGACATGCTGAGTTATCTTTGCAGGTAACTTTGCCCTATGGCAGTCCCAGAACACACTGCTCCATTATTTCTGTTCATTTCTGTGACTTGTATTGTGAAGATATTACCTATGCCTTACGCATCCCTCCACTGATCACCTCATCTTCCATTAGCAGTTCTCCTTTAACACTGCCCCATGCATTGGACATACCTTGGATTTCACACCCCTTGGATGAACTCTACAGCAGGCTCTGTGCCCTGGATAACACTGACACCTCATCTTGCATTTGTCAGCTGCCAGTCTCTGTACATGCTTTGGCAGACATGTGTTCTCGCCAAAAGTTGTGTAATGGTGTTACAAATGTGCTACATCAGTGTGTTTGGCATTTTTTCCAGTTAGAAAAGATGTCACACTCACAATCTGATCCTACTTTGTGCTCACATTAGCTCATATAAATGTGACCACTGACTTGGAACAACAGTATCCTATCCAAGCAGGAAAATAAGTTGGATAATCAAGATGGCTCAGACACAAGGTGCTCCTCTTTGCCGGACAAACAATTGGTAATGCTCAGATTGAGATTTGAACACAAATTTAGAAAGGAGCTGGCCATATCACTGCAGAAACACAGAGAAATGTATTGCACATGTCATGGAACATTTGTGTATAAGCCTTTGGCAGAAGGAATCAAATAAAGCAATTGACTGGTCCTAGGAGTTGGGGATTAGTGGTTCATGGCCACTACTGTGCATTTATCACATGACATTACAATTTAACGATGACAGGTTCACAGTAGTATAAGTACTCTATATATTGTTCAGTGCAGTTTGAACTTTGAGTACTGACCCAGATCTCAGAACAATGGCAGATCTGATGCAATGGCAGGGTGCACCTGGCACCAATGCTGGTGATGGACATACAATCAATGTGGGTGCATGACTCGGGGCTCATACTCCTAATAACAATGTGGGTCCAAGTGCCAATAACAACCCTCAGCCCAAGACCAGCAGCAGCAGGAAGAAGAAGAAGATAGCAATAGTGATGGTGATGGCGATGGTGAAGATGACAATGGTAATGAATAACAAAATAATAATGATGATGATGATGACAATGATGACAACAACAACAACGATGGTGCAAGAGCAGGAAGAGGGCACAGTGGTGGGGCTGCAGCTACAACATCCACTGTTGTACAAGGTGCAAGAGGCAGGAGAGGTGCAAGAGGTGCAAGAGGCGGGAGAGATGCAAGAGGCAGGAGAGGTGCAAGAGGTGGGAGAGGTGGGAGAGGTGGGAGAGGGCTTGCTAGGGGGGGGGAGCCCAGAACAGCTACCTATGTCCCAGGGCTAGGCATTAAGAGGCAGGTCATGCCTGATATTACATGGTCAGTCCAGCATGTAGTGAATTCTGGGAAAACTCCTCAACTCATTTCTCTCAGATGTTGATGATGCAATGGGTAGGCCATATAGAATGATGTCATCAGACTGCACCTGTGAATGATGTCTCTCTTATCAGATGTTGACAGCAATGTTATTGTACCTCCTGGAGATCTACATGTTGTTTGTGGTCAAAGCCAGGTCATTGAAACCAGAGGTAGGTCTTGATGTTAGTCATATTCTGGTTGTTCCCCTGTATGCTAACTCAACTATGGACAGAAGGATTACCTGGTGGGTGTCCAGTTTACCTGACATGATCTAGCCAGCCACACCCTGACCCCCAGCACATGGTCAGCCAATCCCAGATCTGAGGCATTGGCCCTGGAGGTGTTTTCACTGGTGCAAGGTGATGGTGCCATGACTAAATGCAGTGGTTGCTCTGATGTTGGCCAGTTGAAGAAATGTGCTCAACCAGGTTGTCCTTTTGTGCTGTGCTTCCAGAAGTCAAATATGTATCCCTGTATCAGTGATGTAGGCCTGGGTGAATTTTGGTGTCCTCCATGTTGGGGATGCAGGCAATCCACTCCATTACCTGTAAGCCAGTCATAACTGAATCCTGGACTTGTCTGCAACTCTGATATGTTGATAGTACTTGGTGGTTGCAGAAGGCGCCTACCTTACTGGCCAAAATTTTGCCTGCCACCCACTGGCATTTCACACCATTGCCTTAAAACATGATGCATACACTGAATGCTTGTTGCAAACTCAGTTGGAGGAAGAATTTGTGCCTTGGAAAAACATGGTGTGTACCGCTTCAATTGAACCTGAAATGGTGTGGGGTTAATGTCAAGTATGTGGCAGTTGTGTTGCACCAGCATTGAACTGCTCACTGGAGCTGCTTGCCTGCGCAATGTCCGCGCATGTGTCCACAATGCACTGGCCTTTGTGAAGGCCAAACCAAAAGCTGATTTTCTGGTCCTGATGGACACGCACAGTGATTATGATAATGGCAAGCTGGTTCACAGTGTTGACAAACATGGAAATGCCTGGACTCAGGATGCCTCAGAGGTGAGCTGCAGCTGACTCTTCTTGATTTCTTTCCTTGACCTGGATCTCAGGTGTTACATCATCACTTGGGCCCAGAATTGTGGAAGCAGTCCCTGGACATGGCGGGTACCAAAGGGCTGATTCTGCTGGCTTGTGGTCCAATGTTCATGAAGCCTTTGCATTTTGAAAAAATCAAGTCACTGGTCTCCAGGTATGATACCCCCCATCCCTGGAGTCTTTTTTAATGTCATTTGTGGATCCAGCAAGTGCCTGCAGTTCATCATTGGATTCACTGCTCATTTGGTTCAACCTTCCATGGTCATGCCCTTCATGCTATGGGTGATCATACAGGTCTACATTCACCATTTGCCTGTTGAGCAGGAGATCGCTCACTGGAGTCTGCTGTCCCATACCCCCATGGTGTTGATTTGTTGGAATCAAGACAAGCATCTGATTAGCCAGAAATATATAGTTTCCACTCTCTCTGGCAATGTGTGGGGCCTTCCCCCCTGATGTGGCAATCCCTTATGCAACCCTCAGCCTGGGGACATCCTAGCCAAACACTCCAATCGCCAAGGCCCCAACTTCTTGAAGTTCCAGTGCAACTGCTGTGACTGGAGTTCTGATGGTTACAAACCCAAACCCAGCTGGCTTTTTCAGTTCTCACCCCTGGATTGTTTCTCTGTTCACCACTTTCCACTTACTGCAGAGGAGGAGGATTATGTCCATCTGTGCCCCAGCAACCCACACAGTCAACTTTCATGTAGAGTGCCATTATGTCATATTTTCAAGCTTTAGATAACCTTGCACACATCATGTTGCCCTCATTATACATTTGACTAGACAGTTTTTACTTTCAAATAAAGCAAATATATGTGGGATCTCCAGAGAACTTCTCTATTGTTATCCCCCAAGAACAAGGCCTAGGCCTGATCATTAGTCACCTTTTCTGAACTGCATTCTCCAGGAAGTGATGCAAGTAAGGAACACAAATCACCAGGTGAAGACAGCCTCAATATGAAGAGTTGTCGGGTAATCATGTAGATGGGAGTAAGGTATCTGGCGATTCTGCCTTGACTAAAACCACAATACATGGTGCAAAATTCTGTGCAAGCCACCGCCTGAGGAGTCAGACTGCTGGAGTTGTCAGAAGGATTATGCAGAACAGTCAACCATAGGTGGGTCCACAGTAGTAGGATAAATATGGTACTTGAAAGGGTTGGCAGGGGGTGAGTGTCAGGGATATTGTTGTGGCAGGGCATTTGATACTTTCAACAGCCTTGCCATGAATAAAATGAAATATCAAGGCCAACAGTCATTAAATACACATACCTGGAAGTCAGGGCATTGCGATGTACTCCACAGAGATGCAGACAAGTAAAATAGAAATAAACTAGACAATGCACACTATCTGCAATCATATCAATGATGTGATCTGGAGATGTGGATCATGTAGACCAATCTAGCATTCAAAAGGGCATGCAAACTCTAGGGCATATCTTCAGATGGTGTTGGTGTCGACTGAGCCATACAACACCATACCTGGGCCTTGTGAGATGCCAGTTACAAAGTAATGGAGCTTCTGGCTTTCAGGATTGGTGATGATGGAGAGATCTACCCATGCCAAAACCCTCAAGGATGATGGTCACAACCTGTTCTCAAGGCCTTGATGGCCCAACATCTTTTCTTCTCCTTGGATGAAGACTGCAAGTGTGGTCAGCAAGAACTCCCATATTTCTGCCTGAGCCTTGGAAATTTCTGCCCACATTCTGCCCTCACAAATCATGAAATTGCATTGATCTGGATTGGATTTGCTGAGCCTGAATGACAGAGTCAATGTGATAGACAAAGATGGAGGCGCAAACTCCATCCATCCTCCTGCAGGCTGTGGTCCAAGACACAGGAATTGCAGTTGGCCAGCAAGGAAGATCCAGGGTGAATGAAGATACAGAAAAGGGCCTGGTTAACCATGAGACAATGCCACTGGCCTACCTTGTCCCACTCTGGGACATACAGTTGCTTGAACAATTGATACTCCCCATGCTTCTCTGCTTCATTGAGCATCTTTTGCTTCCCAGGATATTTGATGAACAGTCTTGAGGCACTGGCTTCATGCTTCACAACCACAGGTTTGGTAATGTGTGGATCAAACTTTGTCCCTGGAACGATTAGCTGTGTCATGGGGCGATGAGTTTGGGTGCCGTCCTGGGCAATGGAATCCAACAAGCTAATGGCATTGTGATCATGGGATGCAGCCCAGCACTTCAATATGCCTGGCCACAACAGAAGCATGCCTTCCAACCTGTGCAATGCCCATATGTATTTCTCAAATGTGTAGCATAAAGTTGAATCCCCCTGATCCCTTGAGGAACTAGAAAGGCAAAACAAAACTGGAGCCTCTCTGTCTTACACCAAGGTCTGGGATCAGCCTGTCCAACTCCATTTTAAGCAATGGATTCACCTGTAATTTTTGGTCAAATCCAAACCTCCCCATACAGTGGCAAATTTTTTCATGGCCAGCTCAAGCTTATCCGGATGCATGTGAATGACTGCAGTAAATGTTTTGAAATTCATGTAGCACACCTGCAGGCAGTTCTTAGGTGACATATCAATTGTGTGCTACATCAATAACTACACATCATAATTGGAGTGAGGGTCATGATGCCTGTCATTGATACCATTGCCACTGACTTACCACTTCATTGATATACACCATCTTGTGTCCTTTAGGAACCTCTTTGCCACATGCTGCTTGGATGTAGCTGCAAAAATCAGGCCATCAAGGTCCCCATTACCCAATAGGTAGTCAGCCTCCTGGTGAGGTAGAGAGGTCAACACCCAATCGATATAGGTTTGTTGTTGCAGTTGCAACTGGGTCTTCTTCTACCCTGGATCTGGCACTACCAGAATCACTTTGCTCATTATGTAAGATCTGGTGTCACACCAATCTGCATTTCAGCCTGACACTCAACAAGAGACCAAAACCTTAAGTACTTACAATCTGCTGATGTGTGAGTTAACTGGTATTGGTATAGGGGAGGATATGAGAATCTGTGGCCTGCCAAAAGATGCCTGTCACAGGGTGACAGTCACAATGACATCACTGGCATGCAGACTCCAGGAGCTTGTAGGTACCAGGGAGGAGAGTCTTATCAGTAGGCAACTTGTGATGCCCTATCTAGAAGTGCCAACCATTGGAGCTCTCCATATGCTAAGGCTGGCTAAACAAAATGTCTCACTTTGCTTCACCAAAGCGCAGATTGCAAGGATTAGTCATCAAAGAGATACTCCTGGAGGTGGGCACCAGTAGGCTCCAAGCATTCAAGATCAGCTAAGGACAAAAAACACAGACCACTTAGCACTGTAGGTGGACTTTGAATGGACATGGGATGTGCCTGACAAAAATAATGCTGCTACCAGGACAGACAAGGGAATCACTTCCTACATGCCTGCCTGCACTACACTAAAAGCTCTGCGAGGCAAAGACAAGTTGCTCAGCCAGTGGCAATGAGCATTGAGCATTTATGTCATGCCAAGAGTGTCTGGAGCACATGCCACAAAGGAAGACCAAAATTGAATGTAGTACATAACATAAGAAGAAAAAATTAAACTTAATATCATGAATTACATTGGGCTAAGCTGCCAGATGAATCCTTATGCAGAGCTTATATTCAGTTCAGTTTAATGAGAATGTGTCATCAACAGGAGGCCATGAAAGTTTTGCTGCAAGGAGTGGCTGAGGGCTTGATCTTATGAGGCTTGTTGGTGAGCAGCCTCAGAAAGCTTGCCCCCCTGTCTAATGTGTTGAACACTCATTAGCTGACCACGCATGACCAATTATTTGAAGATGACACTCCATTGGAAACTATTGATGCTGAAGAATTAATGTCTGATTGGTCCCATGGGGCTGAAAAGTGCTGTATTAGATGGAAATCTGCTTTGGCCAACTTCTTTGGCCAAGGAACACAGGTAAGCAGGCCTCAGACAATCCCTTAGGAAAACCAATCATCTAAAAGTGTGTCAGGAGCTGGAGGCTCCAGCCATAACTGCACTGCAGGAGATGAGGAAATGGACCCACAACCCACATGCCAACTGCAAATCCACAATGGAATCAGTTATATTGGTAAACACCACATCTTTCATGTCCATTGGCGTGTTTTGGTCTTTGACACTCATCTCAGCATTCTGGCCTGGGTCTTGAAATCCTCTGGATTGCCAACCCACAAGTGGGTTTGGAGAACAAGACCCCTTATCTGTCCCTGAGCTTCCAGTGATATCATTGGAAAGAGAGTCTGCTTAGTTGTTTGCTCAAATAGGTTGATCAAGTCTTACCTCCCAGGATTGAGACTGGATGGTCTACAAGTGCAAACACCCAGGAATTTCTGCAACTCCTGTCCCAGCATCGTGTGTGTCCATTTCAGTCCAATTACTCCTTAGTATTTGCATTTTCATCTGAGAGATGCTTCCTGGCTGAAGCTGTTAGATGGATGTTACTAACCCTGGCTGCCAAGGCACCATCTGTGACATGGGTGGGTGCACTCTTTGATTTATACTGGCAATTACATCGATATGATATATTTAACAGATATACAAGGCCTCATTGAACCAGCTATTCTGCTTGATCTGTGGTTTCTCCAATGCCAATCTGGATGCCCTTTATCTGGATGAAGAACTGCTTTTAGTTCTGAAGTCATCTGCCAAGCTAAGGGGCCTACACAAAGAATTGGCCAAAGGTTTTCATGAGAAGTTCCACAAAAATGTGGATCTAAGTACCCAGGGTTGTCACACATGCTATCATCAGGCTGAAGATTCCAAGTGTGTCAGGTATTGGACTGTTGAGCCCAGTTATTGCACAGAAGTCCATAGGAAGGTTGTCATGCCTTATCCTGCCAATGATCCTGATTGACTTCCGCCCATGGGGAAGGTAAGGATTTTGACATCAATATTCCTGCTTGTCCTGAAATTATTTTATCTTAGGGTGTGGCTGTTCATACCGACTATATTCCTCTAATGGACTTAGGGTTGAGAAAGATTTCTCGCTGTGCAGATATTCTAGCATGCTGTGGTCAGGATGTCACCCTGTTGGTTGATGCCAGCTCACCCAATACTGTGTTGGTGGGAGTTTCCTTTGACACATTTTCTTATGAGGACCTTCAGAAGATCCATTATGAATCCTCTGCTGGAAAGGAAACCAAAGCCATCAAATGGGGTAGCCAGTTCTGCTGATTGGAATGGGGTAAGATGCATCCAGTAGGCTCCAGGAAACCTACTGGGGGCAAGCCTGGAGACACCTATATGGGCTATGCTGGTATGGAAGTAATGGATACATCCCACATCAGATTGCTCTTTACTCATGCTGCTGTGCATTTATGACATCTTTCCATCATTATCTCCAGCTGATACCTGAAATCCCAGGATGTGGAAAGGATGGTGGCTGCAATTACACCAATTCATCCTCATGCAGCCAGTGATCTTCAATGGATGTCTTCTGAAGTAAATTCTTTAGGGGGCATAGGTGTGACTGCATATTATTGTTGGAACTTTGTGGCACCTCAGCATGTTGACCATGATGCCACTTGGACCATAGCCCTGCAGACCTACAAAGAGGCAACAGCTGATGAGTTTAATTTTGTCATGATGGACCTCAGCTGCTATGTAGAAACCATTGAAAATGCCTTATGGTAAGTCCTCACAGTTGTTGGAGTTGGATCACTACTTAGGAACTTCAGGTGGTTTCAGGGTGGCCACACACATGGCACCATGGTTCCTCAGTTGTCATCCATGTTATCTAACAGAAATTTATCACAAGGCATAGGGGTTACTCTACCCAAAACTTCATTCCAGGCTGCCCAAACCCAAAGTTCAGCATGCGATGCATTTGAAGCCCTGGCTCAAAAATGGCAGGTGGATATCAAGTGACATTCATTCATGCAATTAGTACCAAGCTGCATTCCTCATAACAAGTATATGGATGTATTCACCAAATATTCCATGTTAATCCTGACATATTAGTGACCTTCTGGAGTGAAAAGCAAGGCATCTGTTCTGTTTAGAGTGTTGCATGTTATGCAACTGTCAAGCCAATAATAATGGTGGCCATAAAAGGGGTACAACCAATTGATTAAGAAGGACAGACTTACTTCAAAGTCTGCATAAGAAGTGAACCCTAACCTAGTGGATTTTTGGCTCCGCTTTATCCCCTCCTACCAAACTACTCAAACCCATCAAAACTGGCACATCAAGCTCAAAAGAAACATTGACATGGCATGTGCTGTATCCCTGGAGTGCAAAAAAGAGTATAACTGTAGATACAAGAGCAAACTGCCACCTGATGTCAAGCAGAAACATTGAGATGCCCAAGCTGCTTGCAAATGAAAATTGTGTCAGCACAGGAGCACTGCCTGGTTACTGGCAGAACCAAACACTTTGGCCACAGCTGGAGTACTCTTACCTGCATTTTCCTGGACCCCTTCTTCAGCCCAGCACTTAAAAACAAATGATAGCCATTCATGTACCAACAATTTCTCCCAGCATTGTGTGGCATCATCAAACAATCCAGGACTAAGAGGACTAAATCTGGCCTCAGGTATGCTGGGCACACAGGTTCCCCTGGAGACAAAGGTTGTGATATGGGATGATGGCCATATCACCATACTGCCCACTATGATATGTGATGGACAAAATGTATTGATTGAGGATCTGCACCTCACAAAAAAATTCACAGCAGTTCCTGCTACCAAACTGGGGTCCAGATTTGTGACCCATCTCAATGGGGCCCTTATTGAAAATGAATTATTATTAATGGAAATCTGGTCTAGTCTTGCAGCAGGAAAGTGTATCATTGTATGTGAGGCAGTGAAGCCTGGGCCCCTAGACCTAACCATGGAGTACCTGGAAAAGTGGTATGGCATTCATGGCACCATGCCTGTGGATATGCATGGTAATGTTCTGGACCTTCAATTGATATGTGATCACAGCTCATCCTGGTTGCTCAGATATGGTGCTGTGGGCAAAAAATCCAGCTCACCCTCATGTTCCTGGCATGATGAGTGATTTGATTTTGGGTATAAACAATCCAAATGAGCAAAGATGTGTTCTGGATTGTCCCATAGTGGTAGGTTTACCCCTTGAACAGGTGTAAGTGTCATCTAGTCACCTCAGCATTTGCTGTTTATCCACACCCAGTCCCCTAGATGAGAGCCAGATGGCCTGGCACCGGACCACCAGGGATTGTCCATCAGCAGGACTGGGTATACATCTTGGCAGCCCATGGGCCTCAGTGTCCCAGGGCGGAGTACTGATTCCTCCGCACCATGACTCTGAAGGCAGGAATACCTATTTCTTTCCAGTCACTGGCATCCAACTCCAGACACTTCTTTTCCATAAGATTACCTGTGATGGAAAGGTGCCACTTCAAGCCACAAAATCCCTCTGCAGTTCTCATGACCTGGATGATTATGATGCTGAGACCATGACCATATACCCTGGAGATTTGCTGTAAGCCTATGGATGAACAGTGTCTAGGATGGTTGCATCATGACTACCTTCTTTGTAGAATCCAGCCACCAGGCCAATTACATGCAGAATACAATCCCAATCCTGCTTTTGCACATGAGGGTCATTTTTTCACATATGGAACACTTCATCACACACTTAGTTCAAGATCCCTAGAAGTCACCACTCAAACTTGTGAATACATGGATGAGACCCTCTGGCGGATGGCTGCTCTCATTCCCCAGTTACCACCAGATCAACTGTCAGGTAAGCATGTTTACAACATTGCCTGCTCAGCGTCCTTGACTTTAATGTCCGAGAAGGCTTGCATTACTAGCCACTTTTGGCACTTTGTTTCATAGTTTTTAAGCCCAGAATGTATCTGGCACAGCACCCGTCATCAAAGTCCCGCAAAAAAAAGCAACCTGTGGCCTTATGATCACCCAGCTACACATGTGCCTATGTGGTCATTACAAAGATCCTGTAATGCCTGGACATTTGCCCACAAGACTTGCCTGACATCTTAAGAGGGTGTACTTCTGTTATGGAAGTGAGAGATGTTGTTGATCTTGGCAGTTGTCTCCTGGAATTTACCCATGCATCATAGCGGCAGCAGTAGCCACACAACATGCTGGCTGGAAACCTATGTCTTTTCTACTGGCACTAGATCCCTGTTATATGCACCCAATTAAATAAGTTGGAACCCAAGCCCAGGTGCATATGAAAGACATGATCAGACATAAGTGCTATTGACTGAGATCTGTGGGATCTGTCCCCAACCCAGTTATCATCACACTGGTTCCTATGGATGGTTGCTGAGCTAATCTATCTAGCCACATATCCTGGCTCAGCAAGTCCAAAGCTGAGAGGAACAGGGGATCTTGGCTCATATGGGAAGGGTGGCCAAGGCTCCTATCTGGGCATCACATTCCTGTTTTGCCAGTTCCAGCAGGTCTGAGGTGACCCACCCTAACCATCTAGTGGGCCTGAGTGATAGGCAGTCATTCAAATCTTCAACTTGGTGAAGTAATCCTGAATTCAGATATCAGAAGAACTGACACTATGTATGTAGGCTAGCAGGATGTATTATTAAAAAGTGGATAATTAGCATGAGTGAAATATGACAGTTTTGTCATCTTGTAGGACCAGTCCATATGGATACAGTGCTTGAATTCTTAGTCAGCAGCCGGTATTTCTGGTTTTAGTAAGTGGCTTGTTGTATGTAGCCATAGCACATCCATCTCAGCTTGCTTTGCCATTTTCAAGGCTTCCTCCATAATTTTGCCAATCCTTCAATTCCTCAACATATTTTAAACAAGATGGGCAATAATCATGTCAGATCTTGATCTTGATCCACTACCTTCTCCAACCACTCTGAACCAGTGCAGGATCAAGCAAGACATAGAAATGGATGATACAATACAACCACCCCTACAAGCATCCAGTAAAACATCCTTGACCAAGAGCCTACTATCACACTGCATAGGAGGCATTGAGGTCATTCAGGAGGACCTGGATTGCCTGAGATGTCCAAGGGAAAGGATCTGTAGCACTGTTATGAATGCATATACTATTCTTGTACCTAACAGGTATGACAGTTTGAGGAAAGCAGGATGTGTAATCATCAGTTCACTGGTCCCCTACATGATACACAAAAAAACTTTATGTGGAGCAACAACCCTGGATAACATTGTTTCTGTGGTTAGTATATCCTTCCAACTGAGGTTTATAAACTAAATCTTGCCAACCCCTTTGACCCAGACAACCAAAAGTCAAATGCTTGCCTCCAAGTGTTGGGCTTTTCCTCTGTGTGGAGGAAGCCCCCTCACTGAGTCCTAGGTTGGGTGGACTGGTCAATCCATGAAATAGGTTTCTTTGATAGCCTGGGAATCTGTCCTGCCTGGGCTCAAAAGGTCAGTAGAATTTTTAATTGATGTACAATATGTGGGCATCTGAAGTCATGATTTTTCTATCAGGATTTGGTGCATGCAGCTGCTGGCCTGGAATACTAGCTAAAACATGAAACCTATCCAGAGATTGAATCACTGGAACAAAGATTCAAAGACTGGCCAGTCCACCATCACACCCCACCAGCTGATCAAAAACAAAAAGACACCTGGTCTTGTGGTCTATTCATCATGATGGCAATGGATGGTCTCTCAAACCTGGATTTCTCATGTGTACTCTGATCCAATGTGACTCCTAGAAAGAAATCTGCATTGAAAGCCATTGAGAAAGTCAAGTAAGTCTGACAGGTCAACTATATTCTAGATGAATTTGCTGACATGGGAGCCTTAGGATGGTCATGGTGTATACCCATTCTAAAAAACCCAAAATTCCCTCATCCATGAATTATTCTGAATCATCAACATCTAATAATACCCCTATGAGTAATTTGGTCTTGGAGACCCCTAGAAGTGAAGAGGTCCAGAAACTTCTGGAGATCATATTAAATGCCAAAAATCTGGTGGTCATTTGTGGTATGATTAAGTCCACCTCTTGAAAGTTTCATGCTCAAGAAATCCTATTGCATCCCACTCTTTCTGCAGGTCCAGGTGTATCTGTTCCTGTTTCTATTGGGTCTTCATGCCAGTCCCTATCAGATCCTTTTGAATTACTGCATCCTATAATATGGCAGGTATGATATAAGGCTCTATGTGTCTTTAAGAGTATCTCACACATCACTGCATCTGTAGGACCAGGCACAGTCATCTTTGGTGTTTCAGACCCTGATGGACCATCTGAATTAAGTGCCTATGAAAAACCTGTTTTACCAGGCCATACACTCTCTGGATCAGCAGGGCAATCTTTTGCATGTCTACACTCAAAATATTGATGCCATGGAAAAGACTGCTGGAGTATTATCCTTTGGAGTTCCAAAGTTATCCCAGATAGGTCAACCTAATTGTCCAAGATGCATTCCATTGCTGGGACGTCTGGATCAGATGTCTTGCACTGTTGGGTGCCACATGGTACAATCAGCCACTTTTCTGAATCAATCTGCTTCTGATGGGCTACCTATATGCACCACCTGCAAACCTTACAACACCCATGGACACTAAGGCATCATGTGTCCAAATATTGTGGTTTGTGAAGAGGAAAAGCCAGATTTGAATAATATTCTAGCTCATGACAAGAATCTTGTGGATGTGGTCCTGGCTGTGGGAGTTCATCCTATCCCTCACTCCAACTATTCTACCATTATCAAACAATTTTCCCAAGCAGCACAGTCCAGAGCTCAGATAGGGGTTTCCTCAACCACCATGATGGACCAGGATATGCCTACTCTGGAGAAGGCTGGAATCCAAGATCTGTTTCAAGTTTCTTTGGTGCTGGATCTGCAAGACTTTTTTGGACACATTGTTGTTGCTGCCTATCAGGATGCTGTCCATAATCCTGCTAGTAACACTATGGTGATATCAAGGAAGCCAGAGCTTATGGACTTCTCAATGAAGCAAGATGATGAAGAGGATAGAGAAGGAGGAGAAGAAGGAGGAGAAGGAGGTGGTGGAGGTGGAGGTCATAGCTGTGATCAATTATTGCTGGCACTGAGGCCTTGGTATTTCCCTGTTTTATAGCCATGTAGCTGAGAGTAGATTCATTTTACCTTAGTATTTTGTCATTTTTAACTAGTCTATGGTATTTAAATATTGATGTATCTTTTATCAATCATGATCAAGGTCTTAATGGTCAAGATAGTTCTTGGATTACAATGATCATGACCAGATTTGACTTGGAGTTTTGAGTTGAAAATTTATCATCTTGAAATAAAACCTGGTTTAGCTTGTGTTCAACTTGAACTCATCTTAAAGTTACTGCAAATATTGATTGACAAGTAATGAATTATACCTGTCAATCAACCATGGGAGTTACCTGATCTTAGCAGATATTCTGTCATTTGCTATGGTTTTTATGGCCTGGTCTAGACAAATACTTTCCAAGCCAACTCTTATCACAGTGCTTGAAGTTTGTATGTACCATGGTAGTGGAAGTGCCTTTGACATGTGAAACTTCATCAGAAGCCATTTCAGCAATCATCTCTGCAATTCTAGAAGCCAAAAACCTGATCATTATATGTGGTAAGTTTGACTCTCTTGTATATTAAAGCATCCATCTTAAACCATAAGAAATGTAGGAGCAGGAGTGTCAGTATCAGCAGGAATTCCTGACTTCTGTTTTTCAAAAGGACTGTTTACTACTGGAGCACTGAGCAAGGATTTGCTGGATGCAAGTGTCTGGAAGGTGCCAAATTTTCTGTGGTCCACTTATTATTGTTATCAAATCATTGATTTCATGTCCTCTTATTCAGACAACTGTAAAGGCTGCATCTCTATGCAAAACACTGGCACAAATGCACCAAAAATGTTCTGAAGTATCTCCCACTTCTTTTCATCTGGCTCTTAAAATGTTGGATGAAAAAGGTGGACTGTGCTGGGTCTATACTCAAAACATTGACCTGCTGGAATTAAAAGCAGGCCTATCCTTTGGTATGCCTCAGACACAGAGTTCTAAAGAGACACCCCGATGCATTCCTTTGCATGGCACATTGGAGACACTGGCATACATCAAGTGCTGCTACCAGTCACCATTGCATTTGCATGCTGCAACTCTAGCAACTGGTTGCTTATCACTATGTCCAGCCTGTGAGCAGATCAAACAACAGCACCAGATGGCCCACAAGCATTCTGGTACATCAGGAACATTGATTCCAACCATAGTCCTTTATGGTCAGACACACCCAGCTGGAGATCACCTGGCACAATGCATCACTCATGATGCTAATAGAGATGATGGAAAAGTGAAAGCAGATGTTTTACTAGTTGCTGGCACCAGCCTCAAAATTCCAGGCATCATTGCTGCAGTTCACAAGTTTGCTCAAGTGGTCCATGCTCAGGAGTCAAAAGGTGGATATAGATCAATTTATCTAGATGAGAAACCACTCTCATCAAAATGGAATGGGGTTTTTGATGCTTGGATATCAGGTGACTTGCAGATTTTTGCTCAATGTTTAATAAGATCCTTTAGCCATAAATTTGACCAGTCCATAGATGATGCCCAAGACTCTACAAGTATAACCATCCTGGCAGAAGATCTTCCATCTGAAGCTGCATCCTTCTTGAAAGGCAAGGATAACATTCTGCTACATATCAAGCATCCATTTTACATACCTGCTCTATGAAAGAGTGAGATCTAGCTCTTACTTACTATTCTACCTTATCTCCAAGATCATACACTCCATGTCAATTTTAGATGACTAGACTATTTTTCAAAGAATTTGAAATGCTAGTATATGAATGGATCTGGAGTTATATGCACAATCATGTTCAATACATGCTAATATCTGAGTCATTGCCCTCCTGTCATATGCCATTCTGGACTCTCAACTCTAAATCCAAGATTTGGATCTCAAATAATCTGATCTATCTTTATCTTCCTTCTGGAATCCAAACCCTATATCAGCGCCCAACCCCATTTAGACTTCCCCTGTCTCTGGACTCCGGTTAACTATGTTTCCCTTCTGATTATTGATCCATCCTACTTACTAATAGACTTTGCATATGCTTCGTACATAGCCTTTATGTTTGCTGATTGATTCCTATATGATACCTACAGTATATAAACCTCCTGTAACTCTCAGAAATACTCCAGTTTGAATATCATCTTAGTTCCTGCTCATTCCTGTGTCCACCGGACTCAAGATAAGTCTCTTGTCATATTCTGAGTCTTAGGATTATATCCTAGACTACATTTCTGACTCTACCTTAAGGTAGTCTATCCTCTGTTAGTTTCTAGTCCAGACTTCGTCTGGATTAGTCTTATCTGCTTGTCCAAGTAACATCCGGACATCCATTGGATTTATCTCACATTTCAGATCCAGACGTCCATTGTCCACCCTAGTCAAATCCTGGAAACTCTGGACGACTGTTCTAGCCCCCAGAAATTAAGGGCACATACTTGGGAAAGAGGCACAGTGTATGAGCTGAGGCCAAGCCCTTGTGATCTGACCCCCTTGAGCACGTGACCTTAACACCTCCTCATCAGCTTCCTCTCCACTCCCATCATAATCAAATAATAAATCCATTTCAGACTCATCATGATCTGCAGCATTATTATCCTTCTGGTCAAACAGTGAGTTTGTTTCAGAGGTACTGCCATCATGGGTGTTGCTATTGCTGTTGGTATCAGTATCATGCTCTAGGTCTGCACTGTGCTTTTTGTTGGTTCTATTGCTGGCACTTGTCACTGGACCTATTGTCTTATGTGGTGAAAATGATGAAAGAATGAGTGATGTGTGAAGTTATGTGATTTGAACAAAACATACCTTGATCTGCCTGGTTGGTGGTTTTCTAGCATGCTTGGCCTTTAGAGATCTCCTATCAACTTGAGGTTTTCTTTGTTCTGGTTTTTTCCTCTTTGGATCCCATCCCTGTATGTTCATGATGGTTATGCAGAAATCTTGTGGTCTCCTGATGACAGCTGGCCTCTTGATAGTCCTCTTTCTGCCTTCAATTTTTTGTATCTGGTAGAAACATGGATTGGTCACTATCTTGATACTGTCCTGACCAGAAGCTAGGGAGCCAGGACTTTTTGCAGTGGGCTTGTTGGCATCAGGAAGACATTGGAGGTTGGAAAAAAGTATGTCTAGATGTTCATGCAGATGCTCCAGCTGGGCTTCAGATAGCTCAGAGCATATTTTATGATAATGTGCAATGTAACCCTTTGTCCAATAAATCTTCCACTTTGATGACTGTGGAGGGGCAGTGTCTTTATGAGGGAAAAATGTGGTGCGTCTCTGCACAAATGAGAAGTGGGAGCACCCAGGTTTGTCTCCCTCCAGTCCAGCACTACAGGCCTGGAATTTAATAGAGATGATCCATTGATTCACCCTATCCAAGGACCAGCAGATCATAGCTTCCTGGAGATTGTTGCAGATCCTGGGATTGATAGTAACAGCATCCATAAAATCATTGGTGGTCTGTGCTTCACCTAGCTGCAACCAAAACTCCCTTGTGAATTGAACAAATAGAAGGCCCAGATTCAAATCCTCTGGATCCCAGATGGAGTCATAAATCCAAGGCCTCATGAGAAGTTGAGGGTAGTCTTCAATCATCTGCACCACATCCTTCCAGCTGAGTTGTGGACCAATGGGCCAGTCATCAGCATTTATTATAGGATTTGATGGAGTGAGGGTCTTGGGATGGCTTTTGACATTGGCATCCATGATCTTGTGAACCTTAGCATTGTCTTCTTTGATGATGGTTTGTTGTACATCATAAAGAAAGAGCATGCCATCACAGTCCCTAATCCTTTCAACATCCAGACTTTGAAGGGACTGCCTCAGATAGAGATCTATCACAATAGGGGTGAAAGTCAAAGACCGTAGAAGATGACACAAGATACTGGTTTGAATGCCATAATTGAGGGGTTTTTCCACTTTTAATATTTTTTGAGCATGTCTTAACCCTTCCAGTCTGCTGTTCATCAGGCCAAACCAAACCTTGGAAGGGATCCAAAGAATAGGTTGAGACTTCATGAAAGCTTCAGCCTAGTCATTGTCTGTGAGTGAGATGAAAGGTGAAGCTGATGGTTGAAGATCCATCTGCTCTTTCAAATAGGGAAGCACCTCTAAAGCAGCTTGTCCACTCATCCTATACTCATCTGTACACCCATAAGCCCTCTGGAAAGGACCACCACTGTAGATTTCATACATCAATTCACATTCTTTAAGATATGCCTCTGTAAGATAGTAGGCATCTCTGTCAGAAATCAACTTGGGTTAGTTGTTGTTGGGTCTGATGGCCTCATAACACAACTGGTAAGCTGACCAGAAGCAGATTTGGCTGGGTCTTGCATGAGCCAGCAGCATTTCTGCCTGAATGCCTCCATACCTCCCCAAAGTGTTTGTGTGATGAACAACACCTTTTTTGAATTCTCCTTTCTAAAAAGAAGCCTTTAAAGCATCAAGCCTCCACAGACCCACAAACTGACCAGTGGGATTGAAGCTAATCCCCACATCCAAGTATAGTTCTCCATTATTCCTGTCCATCATGTGATCCCAGTCCAAGTTTGTGAAGTTGGCCTTTAAAGCTTCATAAGGAGAGTTGTATCTGCCATTCTGGCCATCCTTTGTCCACAGTTTGATGCCCTTGCCTTCCAAGACAAAGAAGAAGGATCCATAAGAGGCCAGCATTACCTGATCTCTGACCCGGGTCCTCATGCTTCTTTGAATTCTTTCAAATGCTGCTCCAGAGACAGGGGTGACCTTGGGTCTATGGCTTCCAGGCTGACCAGAGCCACCTTTCCTTGATTTATATCTGATCTCATGCACAGTGGTGTCCACATAAGGCAGAGAAGAATTGGGTGCCTCCTAAGATATGGAAGGCAGGACCACTTCATTCTAGAATAAATCAATGACATCAACTGGAATCCTAGTAGCCTTCAAAGATGAGTTGGAACAGTTATGAATCATCCGAGGAAAGAACAGCAGGAGATTAGAGGTGTGGTTTGCTGTGCTCAGCACTCCAAATGGCACATGAGGTATGGAGCTCAAAGATACTGACTTGGTCCACCACTTCTCTCTTTGAGTACCATCTGGACCCTGGTCTTCTGCACTTTGAGGAACAAGAATGTCCACATATATGTGATTGTGCTTGTGGATAGGAGTTTGCTGACCAATTACTGGAGCCAAGTAGATTTCTAAGCTGAGGGCTGTACAAAAGTCTGGAGTGACCCAGATATAGCTATCAATGTCCACTGAGATAGTGATTTCTTCAGGAATGTCCATATCCAGCTCTAGGTCCAAGAAGCTGCAGTCTCCCATCAAGATGGTGGCTCAGTCCTTGCTCCAGAAAATGCTCCAATATGGTACATGAGATTGGACCACAATCACAATTTGGTGTCTGTGGCAGGTAGGATCCAGAGTCTTTATGAACATGTATAGCAGCAACATCTCCACAGGGCCAGCCATGTAGCATGGCTAGCCTCTTTCAATATGATGGACCATGCCATTTCTCCCAGTTGCTCTGTGAACTGATTCCAGGTTGGATTGTAGAAGTTGTGTGGTGTCCCAGAATATGAGCACTTTGCCTGTGGTAGTCAAAGATGGCCACACAGTAATGTTGGGATATAGTCAAGATGAAGCCAACCTGAGCTACAGGATGTTTCTGAGAAGAAGGCAAGAAGTGTCTTTGCTGAAAAGTTTGGGTCTTATCCATGTTTGGCATCCTATCCACATTGTTGACCAGTAGAGGAGCCACAGCTGTCATGTCAGCATATCTCAGAGGACCTTGCCCATATTTAGGATACCACTTGGCCATTAGGAACAGATTAAGAACTGCAGCTCCAATGTGCATCTGAGGATTTAATGTGTGAAGCTGTTCCAGGGCAGAAAGTTATAGGGTGGGCCTTGCCAGGTTCAGCATGGGATCAACAGTTACTATGACATCTAGTTAGAGAGGTTTGAAGTTTAACATTTTCAACACTATTCACCTGGTGGTTCAACTTCATCTTGAACTTCTGAAATTGCAGCTGGGTCATCAGCCTGGGAAGATCTGATCCTTGAAGGACCATGTTCTTCTGAGCTTCCAGGTTGATAATCATCAGCTGGACTATCATCATCTGATTGTGACAGTAGATCTTCTGTCTCAGACAATAATCCATGTCTTTAAACATATTCCTCCAGGATGTCAGATAAATCATCATATATCAGATGATGCTGTCTGACTCTAGCATCAGAATCATCCATATCTTCTAAACATTCCTCAGAGGATGGCATGATGGAAACTCCTTTGTTATGGCCTGTATCAGACAGCATTTCTGAGCTGTCCTCTGATGATAGCTGCAACTGAGGCCATGAGCTTTGAATTATAGATGAACCATGAGGCAAGTCTTCTGAATCAGAAGTGGATGATGATGTCCTAATTTTTGTGTTGTATGTTTTATTGGAGCTGTGATGCAGGTCTGAATCAGAAGATAGCTGCATGTCTAGCCATCTTGAAGTATGCTGTGTTGAACATGATGGGGATGCAGGCATAACAGCTGTTGAGATTCATGAATTAATTCTTGGTGCATTAAATAAGATCCTACCTGGTGGCAAATCAAGCTAGTCTACAACTTGATATAGAATTGAAGGAGGTGGATGAAACATACAGCAAAGTTTGGTGTTTAAAATTTGATCTGTATGTGACTCAGCCAGCTTTCTATAAATAGTTTGACTATATTTGTATATTGTGGAATAGCACATGTTATATACTCTCAAAATCTAACTCTGTGTCCAGTGTATCAGAAGTTGTTTTAGAATGGCAGAGCTGCCTAAAGGTATGATACAAAAGAAATTCAATGATTTGCCCACCACAAGAGCAATCAGTAAGTCCATTTTTGTGCTTTGAAGATTTTGCTCTGATCCCAAGAAAATAATTCAGTTTATTCTATTGTATCAGATGAAGGAGTGAAGTCAAAAATTGAATATAAAGTTGGACAAAGGCATGTTTTTCTGGGAGGAATCTTTTTAATCTCATTTTGATTGAGTGCAGTGTTTCAGTATATGCTCCCAAGAAAGGAAGGAGAGGAGTGGACGACAATGATTTATGGTATGGAATAATTGAGTGTTTCCATGTGGACAACTATCCAAAAGCTTCACAGGTCTATCTGTATCTACTCAACACATCACTATCATTATTTATCCTTGAATCCATGGTCCCTTTGTTCACAGCCTTTCTGGGTCAAAATCCACTGGTATTGGTCCAAAGATCTAGAAGAAGATTCTTTTAAATCAGCTTCTCAATCAGATTCCACTTTCTTTTCCATGGGCACCCATGAGCTCTTGCAGTCAGATCTCACTTAATGTTCAGAAGCCTCAATATTGGCTGGTGAGGAACTTCTCTGTCTTTTCATCTTTCAATCTAAATCCATTGCTTGCACTCTAAGATGCCATTAAAGTGGTCAGATTTGATGAAAACTCAGCCTTGCAAAAGCCTTGGAGTTGGGATGGTCTATATACCCATTAGTATGCATCCTCTTTTCCTCCTAAACTCCAGGTCTGTCATTGGCTCCAATTTTATATCAGAAATATCACTGATCCAGTTCTGTTTATATCAGCATGATTCAATCACCTTTTCATGCATCTCAACCTGCAAAAAGCCTTATAGTCCTGACAAGGAGATCCAAAGGTTTTGCTTAAATTATGGCTGCTAGTATCATGCAAGATGTCTCAAGGTCCTTTCACCAGCAGAGTCTATCAAATCTAGACTTCCTTCCACTGAAGTCCATTCTGGCTTTAAGGATGAACTCTTCAAAACACTCCTCCATTATCCTGTTGAAAGAGGAATCAAAGCTGGAGTATGTGGCAATAGATGGGCCATGAATCAGGTCAGGACATGGTACAATCACTTGGTCATCAGAGGCCACCCTCTGCCCCATGACTGGATCATGCATTTGGATCAGGTTAATACCAAATGGATCATTCCCACAAAACAGATAGCCAGCACTATCTACTACCAATGTCTCATCTGCCCAACTTACTAGCTGTAAATCATGAAATACAAACCAGAGCTTTGTAAAAAAACTGCTCAAATTTTTCACTCATCTACACATTTATTTATATTACACCAGACCATCTGAATCATTGTCCTAAGACTTCATTTCTAAAAGCGTGAACAGAACCTTGAACCTGATTCTGGGCTCTTCAGGAAGCTTGACTCTTTCTCTTTGCTTTTTCATCCAATAGACATACTGGACTATCTCATGCATGTGAGTCTTGACCTGCTTCTACAGAAAATTTAATATGATTGGATTAAGCATTATGTAAATAGAACATGCCTACATATCTTTGGAGGCTATTGCCTGACCAATCTGCTGTTTGATGTTGCTTTGAAGTTCATCAGATTACATCCACTCATGTCCAAGACATGAAAAGAATTTGAGAAACTATGATGATATGGCCTTAATCCAGAGTAAAGCTTTGCAATCAAGAACTTACCTTCTCATTCCACATTAAGCTCTCAGGCTTGGATGAAGCTTGTGCTTTCTGACATGCTTTGGCCACCTTTGACATATTTGCAGGCAGTGTCAAGGTTGTCATTGACTTGGTACTGAAACCAGAATGGTCTGTCAGTGATTTATCTGAGATCACCTCTTTTTTCTTTCCCTTCTCCTTTCTTTCATCCAGCCTTTGACTTTCATCATTCTTCTCTAAAACACAGGTCTGATTCTAAGAACTGCATCAGTGGCTGTTTTTGTTAAATAAAAAGAGACACTCGCTGGTATTTCCAAGTTCTTTTGGAAAGATGGAGCAGATTCTGACTGGGGATTGGGTTTGCCTTTGCCTTTGCCTTTGCCTTTGCCTTTGGATTTGGATTTGGATTTGGATTTGGATTTGAGTGCATTAGGCACAAAGGTGACAGAGTCATAGTCAAATCTGTTCATTAAGACTTTTGGTAAAAATCAAAGTGCCCTTGGATGTTTTGCTGGTGATTGCTGGTGATTGAGCTGATTCTTCCTGGTCGGATACAGGTGGTGGTGAAGGTGGGGTGGGTGGTGATTGCTCATACTCCATTATAGGCAAGAATGGAGAAGAGGTACCTTCCACCTGAAAATCATCTTCAGAAAGAGGTAAAGAGCCAGATGGAGTAGATGCAGGATGTTGAAATTCTTCTGAATAGTTTAGACTGACTATTGGTGAAGAAAATCTGACATTCTTTAATGCCTCTGAAGAGAAGGTGGGCTTGGACAGCAAGGTATTTTCAAATGAAGTGTTGGTGTCCATGGCTTAGTCTGCAACTTCCTGGTATAATGAAGACTCTGACTCTTCATTTGAAACCATGTGGATATTTAAAGAATAATCCCATGGCTCTGTGTAATCAGAAAAAGATGGTGGATCATCAGAAGATGCAAAGGTGTTGGAAGACTGGCTTGGTGCATGCTGATCAGATTGTGATTTCATTGCAGGACAGCTCTCTGCAATATCTGATTGCATCTGCTCTTGGTTGGGTGATTTCTGGTTCAAAACAGCAGATAGCCTTTTAGCAGGCTGTATTTCCCCAATAAGATTGAGTATAAATTCTTGAACTTGAAGAAAGTCACTTACTGCCAATCTCAACAAAGATTTGTTAGAGTTGGGATGCAACTTTTTGAAAAACAGGGTGGACAGATCCAGAGCAGGTACATCATTTTCTGCTAGTATCTGGATATTTTTATTTGGAGAGTTCCCTAACTCCCTTAAACTTGTCTGTCAAGATTGTTGCACAAATGATCAGTCAATATGATCAACAAGCTGAAAACAAAAGTAAGCACCTGATTTAATGATGATTGATCCAACTTCAAGTTTCTGCATGTCCAGATTGTTTTAGAACCATGACATGCAGATTGATTACAACCTCTAACCTATGGTCTAAAGCTGCAACTTTCTTGTTGACTCCTTTGAATGCTGAAGATGTGTCTAATGGGACAGTCTGCAATTTTGGGACTTGAATACCATCTTTTGTTTCTCCTTGGGTCAGATTAGTCACAATGACAATTATATTAGAAAGTATAAACTGACCTTCAATAACTTCAGGCATGGGTCTTGTTGGAATTGCATCATCATGTAGAGGCAAGGATGATGGTCCAGATGAATTTTGACTGTGGAGTTTTATAGGAGATCTAGGCAGTGATTAAAGTTCAATGACAGTGCTGTTAAGCACTCCTTTTGAACAGCCTCTTCCCTTTTTCACAGCTTTATCATCTATATTATTCCCAACAACATCCACAGATGATCTAAATGATCAGAATTAGAAGGACAGCTTTTTTGATCAGAATAATGATTTTTATGAAGGCTCACTTTGGCATCTCTTGTTCAGACTTGCTCTAAGAAAAGGATAAGCCAAGTGGTCACAACATCTATGAAGAAAACAAAATGCACTTACTGCAGCACTTCTGTCTTTGATTTCCTGTCTGATTTGAACCATCATATGGATGGTGCCTTTACACCACATTTTAGAGCATTCCCCAGAAGACTCTATGTTAGGCTCAAGTGCAATTTTAGCTCTGGTGGCTTCAAACATGGCAGTGTGGTATTCTGCAGGATGCTCTGGCAGTCTTCCCCACAATCCAGGAATCTCTTATTTATCTACCCATCTATGCCAATCTTTCATGGTTTAGATCAGTCTATTCTTCAATCCATCAAAATTCATTTGCAGACTTACTATATGTCTGAGGATCATCCAGGGCCTCACTCATCATATGAGATTTATGATAAGGATTTACAGATCTACAGTAATACATGTAAGCCAGAAAGAAGTCCATGATAGGTGACATCCACTGTGTGTTGTGGATCTCAGGCTGGTCAAACACATATCCATTGGCAACCTCCTGAATGAACTCCTGTCTTATTTTGCTCAGCACCAAGAGTTCCCTTCCAAAGGCCTCATACTTGAGCTGTACAATGTCCCAATGATATGAAGGCCCCAGATGCTGCAGCAGTTCTTGCAGACAAATGATGATGTGGTTGAGAAACCTTATGTCATTCCTGTAATAAGCAGGAATCATGACAATAAGTTCATGGTTGTGAAGCAGCTCATAAGCTCTGGTGTCTGGTATAAATTTTCCAAGATGACAACTTGGAATAGCAGACAAGTTTAAATGAGCAGGACTTGAATCATGCCACCACTTGTCAAAGTGCTAAAGATGGAAGTAGTGATTGATAGCCATGGAGTTATGGTAGGGATGTAATGGAAGAGTTGACAGGACAAGCTGAAGAAATTGCCAGATCCACAGGATGACTAAATTTTACCCAATTCAGATAGATAGTTGATGATGAAGTAAGATGGAGCAGTCAAATTATGATCTGCAATAACTTCAAAGACTTGATAAAATTTGCAGAAAAATGACTACTGGTTGGTTTTCATCATATTATATACAGAAAAATATAGCTAGTGAACAGAATGAATCTAATCAAACATCTGCAAACTCCTTGGTCAACTCCAAAATCCTGCTCCATTTCTGAATCCTGGTATCCTGGTTAGGAAGAGTAAGATCAGTCCTGCTGGACCCATGTTTCCTATGAGATTCTCTAGGCTCCACCACAATTATGTCAAGGTTAGGCAGTGAATAAGCAAAAAATGCTGCCACAGTAAAAGGACTGTGAGGAGGTGAAAATCCAACATGTAATGTGGTGATCAAGTTGTTGGTGTCTGCAGATTCTATCTTGTGGTTTCCTAAGGTGTAGCAAAAGAGAAGACTGAGTGTTTCCATGTGAGGGCAGTGGTGTAGAACAAGAGATATGTCCCATAGAGTGGCTCTTGGAAGTTTCTCCCAAAATGGTTTGGTGCCTAACAAAAGCCTTTGAAGATAAGGCAACCTGAGAGCCAGATTCAGCAAGGCATCATCATCAATCCTGTAGGTTCCTAGGTCCTCCAGCTCCAGAGCAGTCAGATAGACCAGTCTGTACAAAGTAATTAATTCATTTCTTGGAATCTGAAGACTGTCTTCATCTGGCACAAAAAAATCCTCATTCCATGGCATCTTTAATCTGAAACCTGCCAGATCCTCCCAAGCTAGGAATCCATCATCATCATCATCAATTGATGCAAGTGATGTGAGGGTATTGAAGAAATCCAGAATAACATCTGCTGAGCAATATTCTTGGTAGATAGTGATGCTGAGACCTTGACATGTGATGTGATGATTGGACAAGAGGGATATGAGAGCTGGAAAACCAGTGTTGGTAGATATAGAATCTATGTCATTTGAAGGTCTTGGATCAGATTCTACATGGATGTTGAGAACCTCAGTCCTGATGTGGTGATCAGGAATAGAGCAGGTCTTCTTTATGATTGATGATCCAGGAATGATGACAAGAGTCAGACTGGTGAGCTGGTGAAGAGATGCCAAGGATGTCATCATAGTGGGTTGGATATAAGACAAGGTGAGATGGTACATAGAGGAACAACTGGAAAGGGAGTTCAAAATGATAGCTGTATGAAAAGAGTCGGAGATATAGACCAAGGTTTGCAGATGAGGCAGCAAGTTTTGCACATCTGGAAATCTGAGCATATGAGGTGGCAGTATTAGAGTTTGCAGTCCTGTGAGCAGGAGTTTGTCTAGGCATTGGATTAAACAGTTTTTCTTGTCTCTCAACTCCACACAATAAAGATGTAGCAGAAGGGAGCCTGCAGATCTGACCTGGCTATGCAAGGTCAAAAGAGTTTGAAAAACATGCTTGTATTGAGATGATAATGCCTTTCTGTCAGCACAGATGGCCTTGACTCTCTGTGTATACAAATGAAACTTTGCCAGATCAGACTGCTTTGGAGTTTTATGAAATCTCTATGATAAGCATGAGTCATGAACATGTGAAAGCATCACAAAATATATTGAATAACTAACCAACTCCAGTGCTCCATTTGAATGTCTGAGTTCCTGAATAAGATGCTTTGGAAGGAGATATATAAGAGGTTCCACAGAAGATAATTTCTTTCACAGAAGCTAGAGGACAGTCTCAGAAATAGTTTAAGATATTGTAGCCAGTGCAGCAAAAGCACAAAGCCTTCCAGAAGCTTCATTGGTAAGAGCATAGACCATCTGGAAGATGAGAAAAAGGACATCTTGCATGTTAAAGATACAATGCATCTTTAACCTTTTGTCAAGGCAAGGGTTATAAAAGTCTGTGTTTAAGATAGACAAGCACTCATATGGACACATGGATTTAAAAATGCACATGACATCATTTCACCATTTTCACTTTATCAGTAGATAAAGTCAATTTCTTGGCACAGAGATCAATACACACCTGCACTTTAATATCACAGGTTTACAAAATATAATAGACCTAAGCATTTCTTCACTATCTTTAAAGTCACAGAAGATAGTGAACCAAGTTTTGAGGTGCTAGATCTAATGCATCTGATATATCAGCTCTTAGTGGCTCTAAACATCACTAACAAATGATGTAAGCTTCTTCCTACTATTTTGAAAGCCACAAAAATGATTGACCATGTTTCGAAGGACTAAGATTTTTTAATGAGATGTTAGGCTAGGTCCCTCTGGTATTTAGAGCATGGTCTATGACTATAGATCCCAGACAGCATCAAACATCCAAGTAAACTTCTCCCTATTATTTTAAAGGCTAAAGAAGATAATGGGCCAAGTTTTAAAGCACCAGGAATTTTTTGTAAGGTGATAGCCTACATGGATATATTCAGAGATTGATTTGAAACTAGAGATCCTGGACTGCCTTAAACATGTAAGCAAACTTCTTCCTACCATTTCAAAGACTACAGAAAATGATGAGTCAAGTTTTGAAGCACAAGTAATTTTGATCAGATAATAGACTAAGTCCATATAGTAGTCTGTGGTTGATCTAAAACCAGGGATCCTAGACATTTCCAAACATCTAAGCAAACTTCTTTCCATTATTTTTAAGGTCACAGAAGATAATTGACCAATTTTTGAAGCACTAGGAATTTTTTATGAAGTGATGGCCTGGATGCATCTAATGGTCAGAGGGTAGTCTTAAACCAGAAGATGCCAGACTTCATAAATATCCTACCAAACTTCTTCCTACCATTGGAAAGGTCATAGAAGATGGTGGACCAAGTTGTAAAGCACTAGGAATTTTTTATGAGGTGATAAACTAGATGCATCCAGTAGTCCAAGTGTGATCTGAAACTATTAATCTCAAACATCAATCAACATGTAAGTAAACTTCTCCCCATCATTATTAAGGTCACAGAAGGTGATAGACCAAGTTTTGAAGCACCAAGAATTTTTTATGAGGTGATAGCCTAGATGCATATGGTAGTCAGGGGGAGATCTGAAACCATGGATCTCAGACAGTCCCAAACATCTAAGTAAACTTCTACATACCATTTGTAAGGCTACAGAAGATGATAGGCCATGTTTTGAAGCACTAGGAATTTTTTATGAGATGATAGTCTGGATGCATATGATGATCAGGGGTTAATCTGAAGCTGGGCATCTTAGACAGGCCTAAACATCTCAATAAACTTCTCCCTACTATTTTTTAGGCTAGAGAAAATGATGGACTAAGTTTTGAAGTACCAGGAATTTTTTATGTGGTGATAGCCTAGATACATGTAGTAGTAAGGGGTAATCTGAAACCATGGATCCCAGACATCAGTCAACATGTAAGTACACTTCTCCCCACCATTTTTGAGGCTACGGCAGATGATGAGCCAAGTTTTGAAGCACCAGGAATTTTTTATGTGGTGATAGCCTAGATACATGTGGTAGTCTGGAGGTGATCTAACATCATGGATCTCAGATATCAATAAACATGTAAGTAAACTTCTTCCCACCATTTTTTAGGCTAGAGACAATGATGGAACAAGTTTTGAAGCACCAGGAATTTTTTATGAAGTGATAGCCTAGATGCATGTGGTAGTTAGGGGTGCTCTGAAATCATGGATCCCAGACATCAATCAACATAAGGTAAACTTCTCCCTACCATTTTTGAGACTACAGAAGATGATGGGCAATTTTTTGAAGCACTAGGAATTTTTTATATAGTGATAGCCTAGATGCATGTGGTAGTCAAGGGTGATATGAAACCATGGATCCCAGACATCAATCAACATCTAAGTATACTTCTTCCCATCATTATTAAGGTCACAGAAGATGATGGGTCAAGTTTTGAACCACTAGGAATTTTTTAGGAGATGATAGTCTAGATGTGTATGATGGTCAGAGGTTAAACATCTAAGTAACTTTCTCCCTACCATTTTAAAGGTCACAGAAGAAGATTAACCAAGTTTTGAAGCTTCAGCAATTTTTTGTGAAGAGATAGCCTAGATGTGTATGACAGTCAAGAGTTGACTTCAACTCAAAGATCCTAGACATGATTGATCATCTAACTAAACTTGTTCCTACCATTTTGAAGGTCACAGAAGATGATTGACCAAGTCTTGAAGCTCCAGGAATTTTTTGTGAAGAGTTAGACTAGATATATATGGTAGTCAGAGGTTGACTTGGATACAAAAGTTCTACATATCATCAAACATGCAACTAAACTTCTTCCCCCCATTTTAAAGGTCACAGAAGAATATTAGCCAAGTCCTGAAGCCTCAGCAATTTTTTATAAAGAGTTAGACTACATACACATGGTAGTCAGCAACTGGCCTATGATCAAATGTTCCATATATCAGCAAACATCTAACTAAACTTGTTCTTCCCATTTTAAAGGTCACAGAAGATGATTAACCAAGTCTTGAAGCTCCAGCAATTTTTTGTGAAGAGTTAGACTAGACACATATGGCAGACAGGGGTTGACTTGAATACAAAGGTTCCAAACATCTCAAAACATTGAAATAAACTTCTTTTTACTATTTTTAAGGTCACAGAAGAAGATTGACCAAGTCTTGAAGCCTCAGCAACTTTTTACAAGGTGTTGGACTAAATGCATGTGGTAGTCAGTGACTGGTGTGTGGTCAGAGGTCCTACACATTAGCAAACATCCAAATAAACTTCTTCCCATCATTTTGAAGGTCACAGAAGATGATTGACCAAGTTTTGAACCACACAGAATTTTTTACAAGAAGCTAGATCTAGTGCACCTAGTAGCTGGGCTCTTGGTGGGCTGAGCTAGTACCAGACATCACTAGCCATTCATATGAGCTGCTTTCCACCATTTGCAGGGTCACAGAATATGATTAAACAAGTTTCAGAGCATCAGGAATTTTTTACAGGGTGATAGACTATGTGCATATGGCAGTCAGATATTGACTTAGGACCAGAGGTTCATACCATCACCAATGATCCACCAAAGCTTGTCCCTACCATTTTAAAGGTCATAGAAGATGATGGATTAAGTTTTGAAGGCCCAGGAATTTTTTGTGATAATGTAGCCCTTGTGGCCCTCCTCTATCAGTAGGCATAAAATGAAAATCTTGGAAATGAGTTCCAAATGATGTATTTATGTCAGTATAGTATATATAGAGGTATGAATATGAGATACCAGTGTGTTTGGATAGAGTTGTGCTGACTAAATATGGGTATTAAGTAGGATGACTTTGGAAAGAGTACAATGATCATAACTCATGTTCCTGACCACCAAATTCCTTAAAAATAGGTGCAATGGAATCCCAGAGATGTATTGCACCCCATGGGACATTAACAATAAGAAGAAAATATGTTGAGTTATATATAATATATAGCCATATAGTGTATAGACATACCACTCATGACAGTGCTGCCTCATTCGCTGCAAGGGAGGATTGGACTATAGAGATCACCATAAATGGAGGCACCCCATGGTACAACATTGCACCCAGGTTGAGACTGCTTTTCATGATCTATGAGATTGTTCCATCATTGAACCCACTTGTGTGATGGTCTTTGCTAGAGAGCCAGCATACTCCTAAAGAATTCAAGTTGGCAACCTGGTCACCCACACATCCCATGAATAGAATACCACTGTCTCATATAAGAGCTGGAAGGCCCATGAAAACTGAACATTGTTCCACAATGATGTGTCATATCCCACAATCCGGACCCACATTCCATCATATTCCCACACATTCCAAGCCTATGTCTGGACCACACTTCATATCCAACTCATTCCCAGATCCCCTTCTGCTGTGTGCTCCACACCTCAGCAGGATCAACTACACTCCGGATTTACCCCTGAGCTCCAGACCATCAGATTTCCACTGCTAGCCTAAACCATAACCCCCTGTCCCATCCACCCTATGCACACTCCATCCAGCAAGACATCTGGACTTCACCTCATCTCGGATTCCAGACTCTATCCACCTTCTCATATCCTGGTCCTGTATCCACCTTGTCTTCTGGATCCCCAGATCTCCGGACCTATTCCCACCCTCTGTCCAATATCCTGCGCCTATCCCCATTTAGGCATTCTCTGCCTTCCAGCTTTCAGTTACCTCTTGTTCCGTCTTGCTTATTGATCCTTGTATGAGTCTTCATCTCCGAGTTCATTTACTTATGTTCCATCCTACTTACTAATGTGTTTCCACATGCTCATACATAGCTTTGCTCCTTTGCTGACTGATCCCCTCAGATATTGTTCAGTATATAACCCCTGTAGATACTCCTGTAGTTCCTCAGTTTGAATATCAACTTAGACTTGCCCAATCCTCTCTCGGACTTTGGTCCACCTAAGTCTGTCCTACCCATCAGGCCTAGGGATTGATTCCCTAGGCCGGAGCTCCACCTTTCTGGCACTTTCCCTCTTTCCGGACTTAGGTCCAATCCCTGTCTCTCCGACTCTACCTTAGGGTAGTCTACCTCTGTTTGTTTCTACATTGGACTCTGTCCGATGTAGCCCCTATTCCTTCTGGACCTCCGGACCTCCTGTCCCTTGTACCTCCAGGCATCCTGTTCCTTCAGACATTCTGCCCTCCATACCTTCAGACATTCTGCCCTCCGTACCTTCAGACGTTCCATCCTCCTAACCCTCGGACATCCTGTCCTCCTGTCCTCCTGCCCTCCTGCCCTCCTGTCCTCCTGTCCTCCAGTCCTCTGGACCTTCAGACCTCCTATCCCTCCATCCTGTTTCCTGTAGAAGTATTACCTTGCAGTGGGAACTCTCCTGAGCACTTCCTGCGTTTCTCTGGAACTCTCCCGCACTCCTCTGGATGTTTCCCGCGCTCCTCCGGAAGTCCTCTAGCGCTCTCCAGCAAAGTAGCCAGCCTCTGGAAGTCCTCCGGACTTCCTCAGACCATCATCGGACCTCATACGAAATGAAGGGCACATACTCAGGTAAGGGGCACAGCGTATGAGCTGAGGCCAAGCCCCTCTGAGTCAGTCTCTCCCCCTTAAGAAACATGGTTCTTAACAATACCTCATTACATCAACAGCACATCCTGTCAGGACAGAGGCTATCTTGTCACTACTTGGGTGGAAGGTGATTGCATCTGTGATGTATGGGATGATCTGACTGCATCAGATAAGGAAAGGTTAGTGCATGATCTGCACCACCAACTAGGTTCAATGAGACATCAGACATGGACTTACGAGCCTTGTACCATCTGTGATGCTTCAGGCGGTCCCATTGAGGATCCATGCATTCCTTGGGTGGCTGGGGAGAATCTCCAAACATTTCTATCATCTCAAGCCTTTGCTGTGGAGGTCTGGGTTGGACTGGATTTGCCAAGGAATTGTAACACATTGCAACCCCTCATACAGCCTGTCATCAAGTGTGATGGAGTTTCTATTGTATTCAGCCATGGGGATCTTCTTCCAAGGAATATGATTTTTCTGGGTGGCCTCAATCATTGGCAATCAGGCAGAGAGAGGATTTGCATCATTGATTGGGAGTACACTGGGTGGATGCCAAATTACTGGGATGCATTGAAGGCAATGTGGATGCAGTGGGAACCTGATACAGAGTGGTTGCAAATTATGTGGATGGTTTTCCCTGACTGCATTGAGGAATTGGAAACTGATTGGCAGTGGTGAAGTCATTTGGGAATTACAATTATTTAGAGGCAACTCTTTTGATAGTAGGCACCAGCACTTACACTGACTATCCTCAACCTATCTGTAGATTGGAGATTGGGATTTATCATGAATACCCACAGGCATTTCCAAAATAGTTCAATATACATATTACACATATACCAGTGTTGTACCAGTGGTACAATGTACTTGTGAATACATTGGAGAACATGCATTGGTGCAATGCAGGGCATGCAAATATTACTGCAGAGATTGCACATCAGTGCTTGATAATACATACAGGAACATCTCTGCTAGTCACCTTTCAAGTGTAGTGCTGGGACTCCATGACATTTGGGAACCTGCTGCTTGTCACATAAGTGTGACTCCCTCCCACAAAGGTCAAAAACTCTTCAAGAAAATTATCCCCAGACCCAATGTTCACAAGGCCCTCCAAATGTAGTGCTTCTACAGCTCCTTTCACCCACTTCAAACATTCTCCTACAGGAGCATTAGAGTTCACTACAACCTTACTTGCAACTGCGTCAAGTTGCTCTGGAGTGATGGTGCCTGCAGATACATTGTGTATCTTCAGGAGGGTTGACAAGGTCAATGACCCAGAAAGGTTCTGCAGTTAAACTCATAGGCCCAAGTCCCACTTTTGGCATGGATATGGGCGATGTGCCCTTTGATGGAGTTGGTAGAGAGGAGGAGTGCAGCATGTGGTTCACCAACCTGCGCAAACCCAGCGATGTAGAGTGATCCTTCAGTGAAAGACCTAATAAAGGTTTTGTAGTTAGTGTGGTGTCAGAGACTTGAAGATGACACTTTGTCACATGTGTCAAGGTTGGAACAATCAGGTCAAGATTCAGTTGGATATTGGGCCAGTACAGAATGCTCTGAGACTTGCTTTAATATATGCTCCTGTGGCATCTGAGAAAACAGACCAAAGATCTGGAAAACAAGGAACACAAAGAGGGTGACAACAGTACAAAACCCACTCCATGATGTTACAAACTCTTACTGGCTAACAATGAAGAGGACAACATTGGTTACCATCCAATTCTTGATGAACTAGTGGGTGCAGAAATGTTACAAACCCTTACTGGTTAACAAGCATCAGGTAACTAACATGAAAATGATAATGTTTTACACAGCTTTATGTACCTGGCATAAAATTTGTATATCAAAATTGCATCCAATGTTTTACCATCACATGATCTGTTCATGTGACTTCTGGTTCTGCCAGATTCCCGTCTCTCATTGGTTGGAGTTTTCATTTGCTTCCCCAGTTTGAAGTCTCGATGACAATGACAGCATCGCTGTGAAGGGCTAGGAATGAACAGACCAATAAACATCAAATTTTGAATCAACTGGACTGGTGTGAATGCATCAACAAATCTACACGATGGAGGAAAGCTAGATGGATGAGAAACAGACAGCAGAGGAAGCTCTGCAAGTCTCTGTCGATTATGTGTGCTACAAATGTGAATGGGTCAGGATGATGGATGAGGGTGCTGCATAGGAGAAAGACTTGAGAACATTAGTGTGTTTCAATTTTTAAGGATTTTCAGCATGAGGTGGATCCTTGCACCATTGGCCAGCGGTTCTTACTTGCTTGCCCAGTGATTTCCCTGCATCCCTTGCATTGGTGCTGTCCTGCATGATCTGGGAATCATGCAGAACATGTATATGACATATCATCCCACATTTCCATAGTCTGTTAGCTTAGTCCTCAGACTACACAAAATGTACTTTGAGTACAGACTCAAGTGCAATATTTCACTTTGCATGCTCCAATCATGCAAAAATATGGTGTGTTGAAGAAATCATATATTGACCTGGTCAAAGTTGATAGTCATACAAAAGCTTAGGTTATTGCCTATCATTTGGCTTATTTACTTTGACTAGAAATAACTAAGGAGAAAAGATAAAAGCCTACCAAAAGCCTATCTAAAAAGCCAGTGTTTTGATTTGTTCTGTCTTATGATTTATTCTACTTTATTGTCTTCATATTTTTCTTTCATTTCTTTACCTACTTGATTCTTTGACCTCCCAGAGACTCCACAAAATGTACCTGCAGGGTATGATGTCATGATGATGTCATATAGCTCCACAGAAATTTCTGGAATATTCTGTTGGATACTATGAAGCCATCTATGATGTCATAGTGATGTCATTGGATGCTAGAATGTTCTGCTCCACTTGGCTCCACTTTTGCTCCACTTTGCTCCACAATGAGGTCATTTATGATGCAACTCTGATGTCATTTCTCTTTCCAACCTTATTTCTTGGTACTATACAGTTTCTCCCATCTCATGTATTTAAGGAGAGCACTTCTCCACCCATAAAAATAAGAACTTCTTTTATCATTTAAAAAGAACACTCCAATTCTTCCACTTTCTCTGACATTGACACTCTTTGTGTTAGCCAGGAAGTGCAGACCAAGTACATTTGGTTTACTTGCTCTGAGATCATTTATTCTTTTCTTGACTGTACTTGTGCTGTCTAGTGTGCATCTGACATATAGTTTCAGAGGACTAGAAGTACCAAGTCAAGCCATATTATCTGTGCCTGCAGATTCCTTTGTTGGATCATCTGCTCTTGTATCATATTATCTTCCTTGGATTAAACCCTTTGCATTTAGGCAGGGAAATCCAATCAGCTTCTACCAAGTTCCCTTTTATAAGTCCTTTAGTATATCAAGGCAGGGGAATATCATTAGCATTATTTGCTACCTAGTTTTGTGCATAGTATGCACCTATTCTTTATTTTCTGTCTAGTCAAGTATAGGACTAGAGAGACTCACCCACAAACTCTATTCTCTATCTTGTCAAACATAGGACTAGAGAGACTTACCTACAGAATCTATTCTATTTGTCTAGTCAAACACAAGACTAGATAAAGTTTTATCTACATACTCTACATTATCTGTCTTGCCAGATAAAGCTAGGCTTGTATTGTAGAACCCCTATTTACAACCAGGTAGAATAAAACCACTGGGTTGTATAGCAGGTAACCTCCCACGAACGCCGAGTTATCTACCACAAAAGAAGAAAAGTCATAGACCATGAACTTGAGGCTGTTGGCAGCATTCAGTCTTATCAAAAGTGTAATTGTGGTGTCATTGCCTTTTGACCACTTTTATATAAGACACCTCGAGTAAGAAGACAGTGCTGGATTGTGTCAAAAAGCGGCTTGGCACCACAGTTTGCTTCAGGGTACTCCTCCAGGAACACTCCATGCAGCCTGTCAAAGGAGTGACGTGATCAAATCATGTCTGATCAAACACTAATCTTGAGGCTATGTCAGTGGCATGAAAATTGATGCACCAGTTGAACTCCATAGTGATCACCTTGCAGATGTTTTGCTTCATGCCCATGATTGTGCAAATGGTACCAGTATACCATTCCTCCAGCCAATCCTTGAGGGCCTTGCCTCCAATAGATGCCACATGGTCTTCTTACTGCTTCATGGCAGTACACCATGCCTCTAGCCCACATGAAAGATCCGAAATCCCAATGCCAGGAATGGGAGCAACTTTTATGCTGCTGCGCTGTGCCAGTGGGTGCTGTGAGGATGTGCATGGGTGTGCATGGTGTGTGTGAGCTTGATGCAAATCTCTCAGCCATCAAAATGGGTGGTCACAATGCATAAAATGGTATCACTTGATTGACCTAATGAAAATGTAGTACTGATGCTCAATCTTCTGTGAACAAGAGAGGCATACAATCTTGGTACCATGCAAATGAAGGAACTTTGTATGGTCAACACTGTCCAAATGCAATGACTACCCAATGCAGCATGACTGGCACCTGCTAAATTTCAAACTCCTCACTTCGCCTGCCATCCGAGATCAACCAGCTCAAGTATCTGTGGTATGTATTAGTAAGTTAGGCTGGTCACAAGCCTACCAATACCCAACAATTCAGTACCTTGTTTATGTAAAGCCAAAGCTGTCTATGCCACAAGCATTTAATTCAACCAAAGTTGTAAGAGGGTTGGTTCTGCAAGAGGTTAACGTTACAAGTAACACACCAGAGTCCTTGAAGTCATTTGAAAAGCTGCAGGACTTGAAAGTTTGAATGAATAAAACAGGCCACACTGATGCACATACTCACTTTCTCAACTAATTTCCAATGACATCTGTGGCTCAAGTTTGATAAGTGATGTGTGCATGATACTAGGTCAAGCTTGCAGGTGTCAAGCTACAAGACTGGCCCAAATATTGGTTAAACAAAATTGTTATACACATTGACAAAGCTGGTACACTGGTACAGTGCATGTGCCCTCTCATTGCATGTACTGATATTGTAGACTGTGAGAAATGCAGAAAGTCTGGACATGAAAAACATCAACTGAAACAACAGTTTTTCTGGCCTGTGTGGTGTAAAGGTTCCTGTATCACACTTGCCAACACTAATTTATGATATTAACCCAACACTGAACATCTGATTGGTATTAGATGTTCAAACTGGAAGCACAAGACGGTCAGGGATATGATGTATGTATAACTTTGCCCTACATGAAATAATTCAGGTCACTCTCCTCCAACTCTGTGCAAAATGCAATAAAAATCTCCAGCAAGTTGATGTACCGCCCATTCTCCTTGTCCTCCTGTATCACCCAATGGTTGAATTCCTCTTGGCTATCCCAACCTTTTGGTAGTCCCAGTGTTGGAGCCAATAAGGTAGCATTCTCAGATGTCCAAAGTGCATATACAACTTTGAAGATGAAGCTGGCAAATTCACATTTCTGACCTCTGTGGTATTTAAATCCACTATGGCAGGCAGGCTCCTCAGCATTATGGTTGTTGCTTTGTGGTAATCCACAGTGGAAACAGTTGGAGTAATTCTGGAATTTAAACAGGTGTTTGAATCCCAGGTAATCTCCATCTGCAAGATGGCAAAATTCGCAGTTGGAATGTTCCTGCCAGAAACCATTACCAGAGGCAAAATGGAATGGGCAGCATCCCTTCAACCTTCCCATGAACCTATCCAGGAGCAAAGTTTTTTCAAGCAAATCTTAAGTGCCTCCTCCACCCTGGAACCCCTAGCCATCCATGACAGCACAGGTGCAGGCACTGATGACAGAGGGGCGATTGATGGCCTGTGCGTATTTGGCGTCATTGGCTGAGACAACTTGGGACATGTCAGAAATATTCACAAAATTACAATGAAGCACCTAATCACAGTGAATCTAGATGGCTGAATTGTGTGCTGCATTTCCGTGAAAGGTGGATTCCTCTGTGATCGATTGGAGAATGGAACATCTCTGATGTTGGAGAGACTGGGTGTGGTTGGTGAGGAGCTAGGGATAAGAATTTGAGAAGGGGTAGACATGAGCCTGGATACCCTTGATTGAACCAACTTATAATGACATCAGTATAACTCAATACCAATGGAAAGCAGTAGCACCTTGAACTTTGCTTCTTGGCTGTTTCCTGTTTGATTGTTCCTTGAGCCAACAGAAAATAGTGCCTGACCATTCTGGGAGAGGGTGGACATGGTATGTGCTTGGCCCTGACTCTCTGGTGGAGATGAAGAATTTGGGACTAGAATGCACCCAGTAGCAAGTTTTCTCTGAGGTTCCTTGATGGCATCCAAGGCAAAATGATGGATATGGGTTGTAGGACCACAGATGACACACTGCATCACATGTGGTTTGTCCTTGCAATGATATGCAAAGCTTTGTCCATCCATGCAGGAGATGGAGGTGTACCTGCAGCAGGTAGTGCCAAAGACCACACTTTGTGGTGCATAAAGGGAATCAAAATCGGAGTTGCTTGGGAATGCACCGAAATCTGTTTTTGAAGTGAGATAAAAGGCATGGGCTTCCTCACCATCCCATCCCACCTGTCCTGCCATTTGATCAATCACTGGAAGTCCATATTCGACTCCATTGATGACAACAAATTGAACTGTGCTTCAATCTATCCCCTGGGCAAAGGCAGTGGTGCAAGCCATTACCTTTGTCTTTCCACTGTCCCACTTGTCCAGATTGTCAGCTTTTGAGTTTTCTCCCATGGTGGGAAGTTCACTATGAAAGACTGCACAGCTCATAGCATCACCAAAGTCATCTGCCTCTTTATTTGATGCAAAAAATACCAGCATTCAATCAGAATTATCCATCTTCAACTGGAGTTCAGTGACAAAGTGCTGCAAAGCTCCTTTGACATGCATTGGCAGGACTTGCAGGATATGAAATCCAATCTCTTGCTGGTCTGTGCAAGAATGAACTTCACATAACTTGGAAGGTAAAATACCAAAGGGAGGAAGATAGGCAGCAGTGATGGCTGGGGAGAATGTTGCAGAGAGGAGAATGATTTGGTACTGCATTTGAGAAAATTGTTTTGCCAGTAGCTCCCAGGGCCTTTTCCTCTTTGGATGGCACATGATCATATCATGGCATTCATCAACAAATATTTTCTTGAATGATTGTCCAACAGGAGTCACAAGGAATCTGCAAGTTAAATTAATGAGTCAGATGCCCACAACAGTAGCAATAGACACAGTGTAAACCTACTCTTGGAATGCCATGGCAGAACATGTCCCTACTTGGAGAAAGAGGATTTGGACATCATCAGGAACAACCTTGTTCATGGTAAAATTGTGGGCCCTAAGCCTGTCATATCCCACAATCTGGACCCACATTCCATCATATTCCCACGCCTTCCGAGCCTACGTCCAGACCACACTTCATATCCAACTCATTCCTAGATCCCCTTCCACTGTGTGCTCCACACCTCAGCAGGATCAACTACACTCTGGATTTACCCCTGAGCTCAAGACCATCGGATCTCCACTGCTAGCCTGAACCATAACCCCCTGTCCCATCCACCCTATGCACACTCCATCCAGCAAGACATCTGGACTTCACCTCATCTCGGATTCCAGACTCTATCCACCTTCTCATATCCTGGTCCTGTATCCACCTTGTCTTCTGGATCCCCAGATCTCCAGACCTCCGGATATTAACTCCGGACCTATTCCCACCCTCTGTCCAATATCCTGCGCCTATCCCCATTTAGGCATTCTCTGCCTTCCAGCTTTCAGTTACCTCTTGTTCCGTCTTGCTTATTGATCCTTGTATGAGTCTTCATCTCCGAGTTCATTTACTTATGTTCCGTCTTACTTACTAATGTGTTTCCACATGCTCGTACATAGCCTTGCTCCTTTGCTGACTGATCCCCTCAGATACTGTTCAGTATATGACCCCTGTAGATACTCCTGTAGTTCCTCAGTTTGAATATCAACTTAGACTTGCCCAATCCTCTCTTGGACTTTGATCCACCTAAGTCTGTCCTACTCATCAGGCCTAGGGATTGATTCCCTAGGCCGGAGCTCCGCCTTTCCAGCACTTACCCTCTTTCCGGACTTAGGTCCAATCCCTGTCTCTCCAACTCTACCTTAGGGTAGTCTACCTCTGTTTGTTTCTACATTGGACTCTGTCCGATGTAGCCCCTATTCCTTCTGGACCTCCGGACCTCCTGTCCCTTGTACCTCCAGGCATCCTGTCCTTTGGACATTCTGCCCTCTGTACCTTTGGATGTTCTGTCCTCCTAACCCTCAGACATCCTGCCCTCTGTACCTTCGGACATCCTGTCCTTCTGTCCTCCTGTCCTCCGGACCTTCAGACCTCCTATCCTTCCATCCTGTTTCCTGTAGAAGTATTACCTTGTGGTGGGAACTCTCCTGAGCACTTCCTGCATTCCTCCGGAACTCTCCCGCACTCCTCTGGACGTTTCCCGCGCTCCTCTGGAAGTCCTCTAGCATTCTCCAGCAGAGTAGCCAGCCTCCGGAAGTCCTCCAGACTTCATCAAACCATCATCGGACCTCATACAAAATGAAGGGCACATACTTGGGTAAGGGGCACAGCATACAAGCTGAGGCCAAGCCCCTCTGAGTCAGTCTCTCTCCCCCTTGAGCAACATGGTTCTTAACAAAGCCCTGCAGTGCAGCATTTTCTAATCTGTTCTTCCAAAAGAACGACAAATGGGCAGAAGACGATACAATACTGACTAGCATCAATGAGAGGGGCAATCATCCAAAGAGCACTTTTCCCTCCACCAGTCTTGAGAGTGATCAGGATGTCCAGCTGGATGGTCATCATGCTGACAATGACATTCAATTGTTCCATGGACTTTTCTTTTGCTGCTAGGTCCTTGAAGAGGAGCTGAAATGCCTTATGGACCTTCTCTTTCCACTTGTTTGCAAGAGCTGAAGAAGAATGATCAAGAGGCTTGATCAGGTCTTGATCTGAATGTGGTATATAGTGCTGTTGGGAGGATGAAGGGATCAGAAGATGTTGTGGATCCCTACTGTCCTCATCATCATTAGGCAGCATTATGTCACTTAGCTGGTCTTGACTTAGGTAGGATGCCAGGTGAATACATTTTGAAGGAGATTCTGACCAATCATCATCACTGTCTAATAAACTTGGAGATTCTTGGGCTTGGCTTCATTTGCGATGAGCTGGAGTAGGAGTGAAGGTGGAAATGGAGGACTGTGAGGGGCATGCACTGAAAACAGAGGCACCAGTTGTAACATTGATGCTCCTACCCAGGTCACTAGGCTCACACCCTTTGTCTGTGTCTCTGCCAGATTGGCTGCTTTGGAATATGTCTCTGGCTATTCCATATATGAATAACATCTCATATGGTACACAAGAGGATAGGCACATACCTCTGGACCATACATGGACATCTCCCAGTGTTCTAGCAGGGGTCATCCCAGATGATAATTTGTGAGAATTAACAGTGTGGTTCTGAGGTACTATGAACCTAGCAGCATCCTGCTGCAGTGCATCCAGAATGGGTGGCAGGATGTTTGTGGTGACAAGATCCTTTAGGAGGTGTGGCAGATTTTCCTGAAGGAACTTGGTCACTATACTGGTGGCAACTGTTGACATTGCCTCAGACATCCCTGCAAGGTCAGCAGAATATGCTCCACTGCTGTATGCACCTGGTGTATGTGTACTCCTTGTCCTTGTCTGTCTAATTGGTGTCTGAGGTGGGAAGGGTCCAAGGCCACAGAAGGCCTGCCATTCCTCATTCAGCCAACAATGCTTTGACATGGTATTGTTGGTAAGTTCAGGTATTGAGCCATACACAAGGCCGTAGTGCTCCTTGTCAATGTCTGTGGAGTGGTCTGCACCCTCTGCTAGGAGATCTTCTGCCATAGCAAATGCATCATTTGGAGATATAAATTCCCTTGCCATGGCAATGGCACCTTGCTGGAAGGCTCACACACCCTATCTGCAGCCAAAAACCTTGTGGTTCCTCTGCTTAAATCCTGAGTATCATTGGTCAGGTCTGATTCTACTCCCATTATCCATGACCAGATACCTAAAATTTAAGAAGTGTGTGAGAACATTCACAATGACAGGCAAAGATGCAGTGACCTATGTCTTATATTCATGGTGTGCAGTGTTCCCATATGCTACCTTTGCCAGAATTGCTTCAGCATTTCTCAACCCACCTGCAAGGAATTCAAACAAGAACTGTCCAACTTTAGGGTTGATGAATGCAGGGGTACATGAATCTTTATTCACAATCTGAGTGGTTTTGCTGTACCCAGACAATGGAATCATCTCCTGGCCCTGAATGAAGATGTTGCAATGGCAATTGCTGTTGGAGGTGTGATGTTCAAGAAACTGCACCAATCACATGGAGATTTGACTAGTGACATAGAGCAAATGATATAGTGGCTTCCATACTTCTTTACTCTTCCATAGGACATCTTTGACTGCTGGTATGTTCTAACCAAGACATCTGTCTCCATCCACCATGGCCAGGTTATGATCCTGAACCAAACTGCAGAGAAAATCCAGTTTGATAGAGTCAAACTGCTTGTCCTTCACAAAGGAATGTCCCCTGATGGTGTTGGTCATGTCGTCATTCAGATTGTTTGGCATGCCATCGAATACGGTGTGTCCATTTGTAAGCAGGAGATACCAGTCCTTCACCTGTTGAAGGAGCATTTGGATACCCTGGTGAAATGCAGTGAGACACATCCTCTCTGCTCCAACAGAAAGCCACTGGAATCCTGGGTCAAAGAAGACCTTTGGCTCCCTTTGCTTGTTTAAGGCCAAGGACAAAGAAAACTGCTGGTATTAAAACAGCATATTAAAGGTGTTGGAGTGTCTCACAGCCAAGACCTCATTATGAACCACAAGGACATGCCTGAAAAGACATTGAATAGATGAGCTATGCTCACAAATGTCCAAGTGGGACTCACTCAATTTCGCCCAGATCACCATCCTTCTGATACCACAATGCATGAACAAGCGCAGTACTATTCACAAAATATTCTAATTTGGCAAGATCTGGTGAAAGGTCGCCTGCCTCATAGAAGTTCCTGTCATGTCAGAGTGCACATAACCAGATAAAGCACTGTATGACATTGGCCCATGGTTGACCTCCATGAAAACTGGATCCATCCATCAATGACCATATCAACTCATGGAAATGTTTGATGTTCTCCTTATTGATGCTCATGTCAGAGGACATCATGCCATCAATGAAAGTGTCCAAGAACTTGGTTTGGTTAATATCAAGGTCGAATGAGAACATTGACTCAACACCCTGTCCAGAGTGAAGCCGGATAATGGCTTGGATGAGCTGGACAATCATGTCAGGATATGCATGGTTGTCCTTGGAAATTGGATGCCACTGTTTTCTGTCAACAGGTGGTTAAAGACAAATCATATCTAAAGGAGACAAAGTTAGTGATGACTGGCAAGTGACATTGCTACCATCCAACAGTATTTTCACTATAAGCAATTTGTTTGGATTGCCATCAAGGATGGTACCAGCAACATGAAAGTGGTTTGCCACCAGCATGCTTACAGCCTTGAAAAGACCGAGATGCTCCTCATGATGGTGCTTCCCCTTCAGTGTTTCCACTGCTTTAACTTCCTTTGGATGGCGACAGACATCCACCATGAAAAGATCCCAGGACATGACTTTGAGCAGTGGCCTTCTCTCTTCAGGGGTTAAGACCTCTGGTATAGAAGATACATCCAGAGATGAATGGAAATTTTGCATGAGAAGAGCCTTGAGGTTGTCAGTGGGATCTGAAATGACTGGTTCCACAGTGAGATACGATCACCCAACTGAATCAAAGAGGTTTTGTACAGACACCTGCTGAGCACAATTGTGACATAAAGAAATATGACTGGCTTCGCACTACCCAGGAGCATAAAGTCTCCCAAGCCACGGTCAGCTATCAGTGCCTGCAAGAGGCCAAAGATACCCAGATTTGGCTTTATGAGACAGATATTCAGGTCCACCAAGCACATTCCTTGGTGCTTGACAAGGAAGCAGAAATCCTCTGCCTCAAGATCCAGTTCCACCAAATGATGCAGGCCTCCAAGGCCACATCAGATGGAGAAACTGGATGAGTTGTTCTGTTGTGTTGTCACTGTTGCTATCTGCATCTGTCATTATCTGCATCCATCGTTGTCCATCCCCTTGTCCTGTCCACATTGTTATCTTATCATCATCATTGTCAGGGGTTGTGTTGTTGTCATCATTTGTTGTTACTCATTTTTTCCATTGAATATGTGCATGTTCTATGTCTTGTGGTACTTTCATTCATATTACATAGGTATATACATTTGTTGTACAGGTGTATTGGTAGTAGTACATGTTCAAATAAGCATTGTTGTTGGTTATCATCCTTCCCTGTGTTGTGCACCTAAGTGAGGACTGTCAAAGAATGGATACATCGGCCTTGTATGAGCAGCTTGACCTGGAGTACCTTCATATGACCTGTCACCAACTACTTCATCACCATCTGGACTCTCAATCTCTTGATCAATAAAATCTTCCCCCTCTCCATAAGCCCACTTTAGAGAACTCTTGTATGTTCCATCCTTCTTGTGATGCTCAATTTCAAAGCAAATGATCATGTTGTGCAGCATGATACAATACTTAATCCACTGTACAGCAAAATCAATGTCTTTCTTAGCCTGGATCCTGTAAGGCTCAGTGTGAGTTCAGTAGGGAATTGCGAGCAAAAATGATTCTGAAGCAAGACAAGTTGGGAAACAGCCATGATAGAGACTTTCTAAGGGACTTTTTGGTCGTACTTGGAGTGGGGATCTGACTCTAAGATTCACTGTAGGTAGGAGAGTACATGAGCAGTATATATACATTTTCAAATACTTGACTAGGCTGGAATGAGAACATGAAGCATATGGCGAGGTGAAAATACTTTGGTGAAACAAGGAGATGGTTAGGTCTAAGCACAAGGTAAAGTAATGAAAGAAAATGGAAAAAGGGAGATGAAGGAATGTATCCATGTAAGTTGGATATGAAGTGTTTGAGCCTATTCATATTAATGAGTCATGTGGATGGGTGTTGCCATTTTGATGTAAAGATAAGGTCTGTGCGTAAAGGATCATGGATCCTTACAATCCTGAACTGGAGCTCTCAAAGGGACTGGAATCATCCCTTTAGAACAGCAAACATGTGTTCAACATGACCATGGATCTAAATAAATAAAATCAATTTATTAAAATATGACCCTTCAAAAAAAAATATCTTAGAGAGGTGATAATTAAATGACTTCTGGTTCTTTGTCAACTCCCCATCATGAGGCTTCTTAAAAGGGGCAATGCACAATGATCAAGGACTGGGCTTGTGCAATGGTATGTTTCTGATTGACATCAAATTATAATGATTAATACTTAGTATGAAAATCAAGTACAACGGAGAGGCTACCACCACAGTACCACCCAATATCCCATCCTTTGATCCCATGAAGTGTGACCCTGCTTTGCATACAATGTGTCATTTTGCAACTGCTCCTGCTGCAACACCTGCAGCTACACCAGTTAGTACAACTGACATCAGTTCACTCACATCTATGCTCTTGTTGCAAACTGTGCGAGATCTCACACATGAGGCTACCCCTTTGACACCAGTTCTTGTTTGAACTGTGATATCACTCCCTGTCACGTCACCTGTTGCTCCAACACCCTTGACACTCACTTGTTTTCTGAAGTATGCCGAAGACCACCTTGGTGTTGCATTTGCCTCAACATATGAAGCCTCTCTGTGTGGCATTGGTATAGGTCCAGATATACTTGTGGACATGGCTGACCAAGATCTTGCTCGAGTTGGTCTTAGTGCAGGTGACATTATTTGGCTGAAGAAAGGCAGTGTCACATGGCCAGGTGCATAGCTATATCCCAATTCATTGTGTATGCTGACAAGTCATTAGCAGAGCACAAAATTCTGCACTACAACCTTTACTACTTCTGCAAAAACAGGAAGAGGTGGGTTATCTTTCCTCCTGGGTTCACCTTCAAGTCAGAGGGTAATCATGCAGATGCAGAAAATCCTTTTATTTAGAACTAGCACTATGAATCAGTAGAATAGCTGGGCAATATACCCAGAAGCTCGAAAATAACCTTCTGCCTTATCAGGTGTGATGGCTTGATGTGCTCATACCATACTCATTAAAGCCTTGTCATCAAAATGTTGTCATAAATATGCTTTGATAGTAGAAAGGCTTGCTCAATAGGATTGTAGTCAGGTGAATATGGAGGCAGAAATACAAGCCTGCATAGAGCTTCTTCCTCGATGAGACAATGGACCTTGTTGCTATGGTGAATGTGGCAATTGTCAAAAACCAAGACACTACATGGCCCTGGATATGGGCTGGTTAAAGGCAGCTGCAAACAATGAGTCAACTTCTGATCCAAGTCATATGAATGAAACCTTGCCACATGCTTGCACAAGAATTGTGTAAATCACTTGCTCATCACTCATCAGTGAACTCATGAAGAAAGTACAAGGCCATATATCATGATATATAGTACATAATCACAAGAACCAGCATAATTCTGCTATTGACAATCACATTGTTATGTTTGGCCTTATTGAGGAAAGAAGCTTCCCTGATTTTCTTACAAAATTTTATGATTGAGAAAAGGTCCTGATTTCACTCAAACTCACAGTTGAAGTGAAGGTGTGGCAGAAGTCGACAGTTGAGCTAGATTAATCAGTAATGCCATAACGGAAGGAAGGTTCACAACTACGAAGCATCAGGTAATTGACTCGAAAATATAAAGGTTTACAAAGCTTTGTCTACCCCTAAAATTTATATAATATCTATCAAAATGATACTATCTGGAGTAAGTTGCACAGAACTACCAAAAATGCAAACATGACAAATTGCCTGCAACCACCTGCCATCTTATCACCAGCACCAAATAATTCTCAACCTTAACACTCATTTTATGAAGAAAATCAATTATATATATATTAGAATACATATGTAGTTACAGGACAAAAAAGAAACAGGGAAAGATAGTGGAGAGGGAATAGCACGAGATGGATGACAGAGTGGCCACAAAGAACAGCCAGGATGGGACCATGAGGAAGGGCCAGGGAGGAACCACAAGGAAAGGCCAAGGAGGGAGCACCATGAAAGGCTAGGGAGGGAACACAAGGAAAGGCCAGGGAGGCCAGGAATGTCATATCCACATATCTGGATCTCAGATCCGACCCTTATCTCATCTCAGATCCACATCTTATCTCTGATCCTATCCACATCTTATCCCCCTCCAACATCTTGTCATTCAATCTGTCCACTCGTCCGGTCTGGTCCACAACTCATCTGAATCCACAACCAGTGTTCGTCTACTTTCAGTAACCCCCTAACTCCGGTATTTTGGTTATCTGTATATCCATCCTGCTCCCTGATCCACTACCTATGTTTCATTTCCATTTCATGATTTGTGATCCGTTCTACTTACCAATAGACTATCCACATGGTTTGTACATAGCCTCAGACTCTGCTGATTGATCATTCCATTAGATACCTATAGTATATAACCTCCTGTAACTTTCTGTAGTACCTCAGTTTGAATATCATCTTAGTTCTACTCATTCCTGTCCTCCAGACTTGAGTATCTCTACTCTCATCACCCTCCAAGACTTAGGATTGATTCCTATAGTCTATCCATATCCGCCTCTGTCTCTGACAGTCCATTACTGTTAGTTTCTAGCCTGGACTCGTCCGGGTTAGCCCTACAATACTTATCCCTCATCCGGAAGTCATCTGGATCCGTTATGCTACTTGTCCAACCTTCTGGACGTGTTAGTCTTGCCTTCCTGAAATAAGGGGCAATACTCGGGTAAGGGGCACAGTGCATGAGCTGAGGCCAAAACCCTTCGGATCCAGTTATCCTTTGAGTACGACCTTAACAAGGAAACACTGAGCTCGAGAGGGTGGTAGTAGTAGTAGTGAAACAAAATTGAAAGGAACTTGCATGAAATTTTTCAAATGGCTTACCTAAGCATCCTGTAAGCTCAAGCACTCTAGCATTGCTGACTTTCACCTTGCTCTGTCCTGCACAAACAATGACAAATCAATTTCAGCCACTTGCACTGGTCATGTGATTTGGGGTTACCCACAATAATTCATTAGTAAAATCTGAGGCTGTCGATGTAAACAGTCATTGACAATGAATTTAGCTATACCTGTAAATGTTTGAACCCTAGAGGCTGATACAATGGTCAAAAAAATTTGATTGAGAACACCACAGTAGCGCCAAAGAACTAGTCATTTACTGTGAAAGAAACGGGACACATATATATACAAATAAATCATCATTTGTGAATGAGTGTTTGGGTCCTGATTTTCTGGCCTTGTGGAGCAGGGTGATGGTCATGTGCATGACCTTGGATGACATTGTAATTTACACAATATTTGAACCCACTTATATAGTTTTGTAAATCAAATATAAATGAGGGAATATTATATGGCTCAATGAATGGTACCTAATTACACTATCATACCTCGCTGGCCATGATGGCACAAAGTCATGGCCTGTTACGAACTCGGATAGAGCGTCATTCCAATAAAGGAATCAAGGTCAGGGTCGATCAAGGACTGAGCCTTATCAAATCAATGCTTCCCTCAGGAGCGATCACTTAGACTCCCACAGGATCTAAGGTTCAAATGGGACAATGGCTAGCCTCCTTCCCAAGGAGCTAGAGTTTGAGTATCAAAGAGAACTGAGTAGATTCAAGTTAGAGAAAATACAAGTGGTAGCTAGGGTTTATATACATAAGGAAATCGTGCACAGACCAGGCTGGGCAAAGGGTAACGACTACTGAGAAAGGAAGGTTCATGGGAAAACAAGGTATGAGTCAAAGATAAGGGAGACCATGAGGAAACAGCACAGTGAAAAGGAAGCATTAGAAGTACAGCCATATAGGAGTCCGCAGTGATGATGAGAAAAAGAGTGGGGCACTGTAACATGGCCTTGTCAGAAACTCTCATAGGAATCTACATTAGGTTACAAGTGCTAATGGTGTTTTCCATGATAAAGTCTTATATCACTTGGTAGTTCAAAACATAAATGAAGGAATATGGTACGAGTCAACAAGTGTGACTAAATGATGCTACTGCACATTGATCGCTGCAGCGGTACAACATCATGATCTTGTCACAAACTCCTCATGGTAAAATGGATTTTCAAACATCCATGGCTATGTACCGATCACTCATATTTTTTGCCATATATATAGGTATATTCAGCAGGAGCAGAATTATATCATCCTATATTTCTCATGGCTACCATATCACGGACTCATCAATTCACTGATGCTGGTCCCTCAATGATATCATAAGCAATGATTCCATCGAGAGTCAGTATTGGTAAGATTGAGTAGCAGTAGCCTCGCATGAAACACTTCCCTTGGATGCATCTGATGTAGACTAGTCATTGCATGCGACGCACAAGTTTTGATTTTGCGATTCCGCATGGTTTCGGAATCAGCTGTAAGTTAAGTGATAGTGGATCCATCACAATTGTACATTATTATTATGGTGCAAGTGTGAAGCAAGCTGCCACTTTCAATATTAATGCACCGGTGGCTGGTGGATAATTGTATGCACAATGGGAGTCCAGGAAGGCCACTGTGATGACAGGTGGTTGGATACGATTCATGAGCCAACACAGTGGGAGTCCTGGAAGCCCACTCACTGTGAATGATGCAAGGCAGTGTGATTTGTGTAATACTCCCAACGTAGTGGGAGTCTTGGAAGGCCAGTGTTATGACAGTGTTGCTTATGTGTCAAATCTGCGCACATTGAATGGCTACTATCACTTGAGTAATTCCCTCACACAGTGGGAGTCATGGACACCCGCTGGGTATGATAAGTCCTAGAAGGGCACTATAATGATAGGCTGTATGATGTGTTGCAATCCCCCAACACAGTGGGAGTCTTGGAAGCCCGCTCACTGTATGTGCATGCAGATGAGGTCTGACATTGTTGAGCCCCCACGTGGTGGGAGTCCTGGAAGGCCACTGTTAATGATAGGCTGTATGATATATTTCAATCCTCCAACACAGTGGGAGTCTTGGAAGCCCACTCACTGTATGGGCATGCAGATGAGGTCCGATGTTTGCAAGCCCTCACATGGTGAGAGTCCTGGAAGGCCACTGTAGTGATAGGCTGTATGATGTATTTCAATCCCCCAACACAGCGGGAGTCTTGGAAGGCCACCATCACGATAGGCTGTAAATGTTTCAATCCCCCAACACAGTGGGAGTCTTGGACGCCCACTCACTGTGTGCGCATGTAGATGAGGTCCGATATTTTCGAGCCCTCGCACAGTGGGAGTCCTGGAAGGCCAACGTCATGGGAGGGGTGTGTATGGGTGATATGTGAAGTGTTACGGAAGTGTAAGGTGGGATGCGCCTGTGCATCGTGGGAGTCCTAGACGCCCACATCGGCACATGCATACACATATGTATTGTGTCCATACACAGCGGGAGTCCTAGACGCCCACATCGACAGAAAAGATCTGTTCGGTGACCGAAACAGGCGAAAAGTTCGACCCTATGCCGACCCTCGGAACATCGTGAAACGCCCATACCAGGTTACAAATGTGCCCTTAGAATTGTATTGTGAAGTTCTTGCAAATCAGCAAGACGCAGGTCCCAAGTGGTCTGCGGGCTACACACATAATTAATTGTCAGCGATGTGCTCGAGCGAGACGACATGACACGGAGACCCGCCGTGGCTACTAGGCAGAAACGCGGACCACATAAGGCTATGTACGTGGAAAGTATATAACACGTTGGTTAAATGGGAATGGATCGATATATGCAAGAGAGTGGTGTTTGATGAATGTTGTGAACGAGAGGTCCACCGTCACTACACGTGACAAGGGCGGACCACATGATAGGAGGTATGTATAGAACCAGCATAGACTGAAATGACGAGCGTCTAAGAAAATACGAGAAGCGTCTGCGAGAGACGTAGTGTAAAGGATGATCTAGGAAATGAAACTCACTATATATTTGACACGTCCTTGATCCTCCACGTGCTCAGGTCATCGTCGGTGCCATAATGGTGCATGACGTAGATGGGGAGATTGGGATTTTTGGAGAGGGCGTACGCCAAGAACATTACCGCCATGCGAAAGTGCGAGGACGACAGTCTGGTGTCGCCATGTTGTTTGTCGCTCAGAAGGGGGACATTGTTGGCGATGTCGATGTCGTCCAAATTCTCTTGATGGCAAAATGCCAGCCAATATTCACAGGAAGGTCCAGTGCCGATCGCCAACATGCAGCCCGTGGGATCAAAACCCAATTTGCCGAACTTGGGGCGAAAGAGACGGGTGGGCAGACATAGGTTGAGGGCGATGGAAAAGGTGTGGTCGACGACCCTGTTCGGAAGTAATGCGTGCAAACCGATGGAGCCTCCTACGACAAGGCAAAAGTCGAGGAAATGATTCGAGGCGTCCCACGCAAGCATCTCATCTTCATTGTTGTAGTAGAAGTCGTCGTCGAGCCGAAGAGCGGAGCGGCGATGCAAAAAATTAATTGCAGTTGCTTTGTCGCCTTTCTTGAAGGTCCTGGCGAGGGTGGAGAGGTTGACTGACTGCACCTTTGTCTGCTCCCAGGTACGACCCGTGGAACGCCCTCCATCCTGGGACATGAAGAGACACTCGAGGATCTCGGTCTGAGGCAAGGCATCATCTGCCTCGACCGATGAAGGGACGTCGGCAAGATCGAAAGGTCGAGGCTCGTCTTCATCGCCTTGTCGAGCTGCATCTTGAAAGGTGAGGGGAGCCATATCATCGTCGTCGCTTTCCAACCTTGAATGATGAGCGGAAGTGCGAGAGTAGTTAGCAGTTGAAAATTGTAAATAAAAAACACAATGAGACTCACATGCGGTCCTCCTGGTCAGACATGGTATGGATCGAAGAAATGCTGTAAGGGAGGCAAGCTGCAGAGAGTAAAAATGAAAATGCTGATAGAAACAGGCTAGAGGGACGCACCAGGATGCGAAGAGCAGAGAAGACAGAAAGAATGGGTCGGCTGTAATGTCCATCAGTTATATTTACGGCGTGCCGGCACCAGAAACGAGCTTAAATATGGGGCGAGGTAACTAGGGATCGAGGTACCTGAAATGTTGCGAATTGGAAATGAGAAAATGAAAACAATAGAGGCGAAAGACGAGGAATGACGCACATAAGCGACCAGGAAAGACATGGGTCATGAGGAAGGTCGAGGTTGGTGCAAGAGCGAGCGAGGATCATAGCTGGGGGCATGGGCAAGGGGACAAGACATTGTGCATCGTGGTATAAGCGAGGGATGACCAAACGAATCAGGGCCGTTAAGGACTTACGATTGATCACTGAGGAATGTCAAGGTATGAACCTTGCTGCAAAAGGATTAGAGCGACAGGGCGCTGGCAGGACAGGGACCAAGATGTGAGTACTTGGCAGGGAAATGAACCTTAGAAGAAACATACCTACAGGAACCGCAAGAAGGAGATGCATCAAGACCGACGAGCAATGAAAATGATGGAATGCGTGATAGATTACTTACTAATGGTGAAACATCAAGAGAGAGGAGATCGACTCGCAGATCTGAGACGACTCGAGCGTTAGGGAAGCGCAGTGTTGTTATTGCAGATGACACATCAATGCATATGTCTGAAAGAAAGAAAGACTGACAACTCAACATAAGCAATGCATGAGGAAGTGAGACAAACGAATGAGACTCGGACAGATGAGTAAAAACTCGTCAAGATGGCGACCGCATTTCGATGCAGTGTCAGACCTGAAGCGAATGGAAAGAGGTCGAAACAGCCGTAGACATATTAGTGAACTGAAGAGGCCTAGATGAAAGAAAAAAAAACATCGAAGGAGGGAGAGAACAACAGATGCGAACGGCAAAGCGCACGCACCACAAGAGTATAGGTGCGAGGATGTCGATGAGGGATGCAAGGAATGTGTCAGAACGACACAGGCAGACGTCAACGCAGCTAAGACCACGAATGATCAAGGAGAACGACGCATGAATGCACGAACATCATCGTTCATGCTTGCAAAGGATAAGGCAGACACACAGCACTAGCTCAGGACAATTGATACATCAGTAGAAGCATTATCGAACGAAATCAAGAGAATCACAACCTATGATTGAATCGATGAACGCGGAATCACACGACGCACACGAATGGAACACAGCACACGATCAATATTGAGAGTACGTAGTACAAAGCAAGCAAAGCGATAACAGACACATCAAAAATGATAGCAAGCGACGAGAGACAAGGAGATACGAATGGATCGACGCGCAAACGACGTGGCATAAGGGATGAAAGCAAGCAAGCAAACGATTAATGAGAGAGCATGAACGGACGAGTGAGCAAAGCACAGAACGACAGAGACGAAGACAGGACACGGTACATGAACAAGGCCAACAAGTCACAGTAAATACGAACGCAATTTGTAAGAGCGGCAAAAGAACAACTAACGCAAGGCAGAAAGAAACATGACATCAAATGCCAGGGATGACTGTCACCCTCTGCATCGTCAGCTAGAGCGACCTTTGCCTTCTTCTTCTTCATCCTGCCCCGTCCACTGGTGGAGGATGCGTTGGAATTGACTAAGGACATGCATTAGAAATACATCGAATATGAGAAATGAAAAGACGGCGCACTGGTAGGAGCACGTGACGTTTGACAGGAGGTGGAGGGGGTGGAGGAGATACAACAATGCGACATTCTATGGGGGTTAGGTTTCAACATGGACCAACGGACACATTGGCGATACTACGTGCCATTGAGTGTTGGAGGCTGCGAGACTGGAGTCAACAGCTGAGTAGGTACTAGCACTACGAAAACAGAAGGTGAGATATGAATTGAGCCGCGGTGGCACATGGGTCTATGGGCGGACGTACCATCGTCTCGACGTTCGTCGACGTCCGTCATGATGTCCTGGTCTTCATCATCCTCGTTGATCCCAACACCGTCATCTTCAGAGTTCGGATTGAAGGAACTCGTGTCAGTGGTAGGGAAACCATGATATGGCGAAGCACTGCGTTGTGGGGTGGCGTGAGACCTGTCGTGTCCCAGGTCTGTCGAGGGGATTACTTAAAATAAATATCACATAAATAGGATACGAAATAAAACTGACCTTCGTCGTCACTATTACGATGCTCCTGAGACGAATGAACGGTGCTTTCCACATCCGATTGTTCTGCTATGCGAATGAAATGAAAATCAATGTTGTGCAGTATTGTGGATTGACGATACACGCACCATCGGCGCAAGGAGTAGATGACGCAGGAGGTGCGGCGTTAGTAGCTACATGAATGAATCAAATAGTCAGTCGAGATACGAATGACATTGGTGAGATACACGCACCATCTGCGCTATTGTCTGCTGCCTTTGCCTCCGTGTCAATGTCAACGATCTCGATGTCATTGTCACTGGTGGTAGGTGATGGCTGACGGTGTATTTTCTTTGGGATAGGACGAGGTTTCGGTTTTGGCTTCACAGGCTGCGAGGCTGCTCTTGCTTGAGGTGTGGTCGCAGGGGTTGCTTCGACAGCAGCAGACTTGGAACAAGGTTGCGATGACGGTTGCGTAGGGTGAGGCGTGTCCTCCTGCTCGACAGTACGGTCCTTCGCTTGCTTGGATGTGTCCTTCTTTGCAGGTTGCTCATTGGCAGGCTGTGGGACAGGTGTGTCCTTCTCCTCGACATTACGACTCTTGGCTTTCTTCGCCCTCTTCTTCGGCGGTGATTGCTGTTCGTCCTCAGGCTTGTGAGTCTTTGTCGTCGCCAAATATCCCTTAATGAACGAAATGTCAGTACACGTAGGATGGAGAGTCGATAGGAATAAAATGGAATGATGACTTACGATAGTTGATTTGTCAACATACCCATCAGGGACCTGGATCCCAAGGTCGAAGTCGAGCTCATTCAAATCAACGAGCATGGCCTTGTCCGAATTCAACCTGCGCATTCGATTTCTCGCAGCATTGACCTCCAAGCCCTGTAAAAGACAACATGGTGAGTGGTATTGAACATGTATACAAAGAACGAGCATGGACTGAAAGGACATATAGATCCGCGCATATACAATGTAGCAACGGCGGACCATAGAACACGAGGAGCATATAATCAACCTAGTCGAGTGCATGGGTCCGCACATGGCATATGTAGCAACGGCGGACCACATGGAGTGCATACAGGTCCGCACATATCGCATGTAGCAACGGTGGACCATGTGTTGATATGGTGTGTGCATCCGCACAAGTCGACTGTAGCAACGGTGGATGTGAACCTACCGTGATCAATTCTTGAAGTGGGGTGACCACATCGGCTGAAAGAATCGACTGAGGAGAGACAGAGATGGCACATGGCATGTTTGCAACGTAAGCGACCAGTTTCTGAATGGCCTCGCGATCGTTGTTCTCCATGACAAGACGCTCTTGTTGTTGCCGTTGCTCCTTGATGACGACCTCCTTGATGCCCTCAAGGATGGCAGCAGGAGGCTCCTGTAACAGGCTCAACACAAACCCGTCCCACCACAGCCATGCTTGCGTGTAGGTTAGTTCTCCTCATGAGTCGATCGTCTGTAACTTCTTCACGCCATGAGTCAGCATGTCCTCGAACAAGCGACGAAGTGCCCCAATGAATTGGTCTTCGAACATAAGTGGGCGATACGTGCGAACATACAAACGTTCGACAGCGATTGCCTTCATACAGGGATCGATATCCCTCGCAGTGTTCTTGAGTGTCGGCTGAAGCCAATCCAGGCTGTCGTATGCAGGGACATCATACCCGCAACGGACGGAGGTTCGGACGAGAAGTCTCGGCTCTTGTTTGCCTTCATCCTCCTAGTTTGAAGAATCTTCGTAAGTGTTTCGCTCGCGATCACCTCTTCATCCGGCAATGCATCATAAGCAATCATCAGCTCCTTCTTGTCCTTCGCTCGTGGGGTGAGGTGTTGCTTGCTGCTGATCATGTAGTTGGTCAGCCGCACCATCAAGGTACGTCGGTGCTCCCAAATGATATTCGAGACCTGCAATTCATATATACTCAACAATTTCGAACGTACTTACGCCAGCACGCGCACTCTTACCTTAGCACTGCACTCTGATCCGTTCCCTAGGAATCTCGGGTCTGACGTTATGTTTCTCAACATGACAGTCGTCCAGTCCGTCCATAGCATGCATCTTCGGATGCAGATTGTGATAGTAATCGAGTAACGTCTTGAACCAACGACAGACCTTCGTTTGAGAATCCAGGTGAGTTCTTTGCTCACAATGATGAAATAATAATGCACTCACCTCTTGAAGTCCGTCCTTGATGCGCACGAACGAGTCCCATGCGTTGTTCATGAGGAATCCACACAGTAGCGGCTCTGGAGCGTGTGTTTTGCCTTGCTCAGGCGTAAGATAAAGCAGGACCTGTGCGACGACTCGATCAAGGTGAGCCAGAATCTCGTTTCCTTCAAAGTCCTCATTTTCAGTGAGTCCCCACGCATCTTTCAGTGATTTCACCACGCTCTGGCGGTATGAGCTCAGACGCCTGACATACGCTGGGGTCATCTCCCCGATGTGATCTTTCATGTCGTTGAAGGCGAACGACGCATGCTTGTCGAGGGTGTCCATCACGGTCGACCATATCGAAAGATCTTGCTCGTCCTTCGACTTGACGGGTGCCTCAAGTGACGTGCGTAATTGTGCTACCCTGGCCATCGCAGGAGCATCATGTGCGTCGACTTTGTCGAGGAGTCCTGACACCTCAGCAGAGCTTGGGAACGGGGCCTTCGAGCTCAAGTGCTTGAAAACGGTGGCGCGCATCTGAATCCATTGTAAATATATCTTGTTGCATTCGTGAGTGTGCAGTCCCTTCCTCATACATAAACAAATGAACTCACACCCATGCAAACATCGATATTCTTAGCAAGCCAGTTCACCATATACTCCCGGCGATGCCTGAAGTGCGGGCCAAGCTGCAACAAACGCGTCGCGAGGAACGTGCACATATGGTCTTGGTGCAGCACCTTGTGCAGACGTGCATTCTTCTCCTGTTGCGTACGAATCTCCAGCAAATGTGCGATCGCCAGCTCATTGCGTTTGTCGGATGGTGCTTTGTCGAATACTGCCTTTACTTTCTTGAACACGGTGATCAACACCTCTTCCTCAGTCTCCTTATACTCATGCAAGGCGTTGTTCCTGCTCAGGTGGTTCGCCAGTGTCGTCCCTTTCTCGAGTAACTTGTCTGGTATGCACATCGTTAGTACTATGTCATTTAACTGATAGTCGTTATAGGAAAGGGCGTTGTAGGTCCGCACATAGACCTCCTTACTAGTGCGGACGTGTTAGCATCGAGGCGTGTGTCGTCCGCGCATAGACCTCTTGACTAACGCGGACGTATCGATCGGTACGTCTGCCGTTATACTATAGACGAGTCCGGAACTCACACTCACCTTCATCGTATATAATGACACCCCACTTCACATTGCCGTGGAGTAGCCCTTTCAAACGGCACATCTCATCGTGGCATTCGTTGTAGCTTGAGATGTGTTCTTGGGTGACGTTTTTCAGGGCACGTATCTTCTCCCGCTTCTTCTCGTGCACTGAGTATTCGTCCATCAGCGACTGATTGTATCGTCGTAGTGCGGCAAGTCGATGTTGCCCAGATGCGACAACGATGGGATCGAGATCGTTCATCTCGAGTTCGACGATCTCTTCTGGTTCATCGAAAGTCTTGGTGAGTTTCTTCGCATCCTTCAGACGCAATGTCTTCATGATCAGCGGTATCGCGGATATCTCCTTCATTGATACTATACCGTACTTCTCGAAGCACTCTACTAACCTCTTCGTTTCAGTCTCATTCTCGGGCCTGTCATTGTACACTCCGAACTTCAGCCTTCCTGCGATTGCAAGAAGATCGACCCAGGCGATCCCCACTTTGCATTTGGCCACCTGGTTGTCGAGCTTTTGCGTTTCTTTCGCAAGGTCTGTCTTCGGAATCGTCGCTTCGATGGGTCGGTCGTTCATATGCAATACCGACGCCTCATCCTCCTAATCAAATTCAATCATTTCCCAACGTTATCAGTGAGTCTTCCTTCGAATTCTTTAATGATCTACACTTACTTTAGCTTTCTTTCCTCCTCCTCCCCTGGCTTTTTTCGCTGGCATCCACTTTGTCGACTGGGTGACAAGGTATGGCAATGTGTTGGTAGCTGAACTAATGATAGATTTTAATCAATAATCGGCTCACTGATTTTTCTACTCCCCCTTGCCCTTCCGCGCCCTCCCTTGCCTCATGGCTGATTATTCATGTCCGCGAGCATCACATGTGTAGACCACGTGACAAGGTCTAGTGTGTCATCGACCGTCCGCCGTTGCTCATCCGCACATCCGCGGACCTATGCAAAGTATGTCTGTTTATCAATACATATTATGTTGATGTGTTATTGTAGTTCAAATCCTTTGTGGTCCGCCGTTGCTCATGTGTATATGCGCGGCCCTCTATGCAAATCAATCAATGTAGATACCATGTATATATCAGTATATACTATATTTGCAATATAATTCATGTAATGTCCGCCCTCGCTACATGGTCTATCCGCGGACCTGCATACAAATCAATGTAGATATCAAATCTTAGGTGTAGAAATCACTCTTTTATAGGGTTGTTTTACCATTTATGTAGGTAAATTTAAATAGAACACCTGACCATTTTGTGTTTGGGGGCCTTGGGGCTAACATAACCATAGATATAACTGAACCCCTGTACAGTTTCTATATATAATTCAGCACAAATCCTCGCCATTCTACTTGCTCAATGCTTACTTGATTCACAACTATGCCCAAATTCGATCTGTCATTCCTCCATCACTTCGTGAGACATCATTGAGGGTCGATAATGCAGCACAGGTTCATTTAGCGGCAGCCCGTCAAATGCAGGAGAAGAAAGCAGCCAAGAAATCAGGTGAAACACCAGATACTGAGCTTTCGAGTGCATTGCATGATGTCATAGCTGATGTTCCTGCAGTATTCAACTGTCCAGCAGCGAAACAAACCAAGAAAACACAGAAAGCAAAAGAGAAGGCAGCTCCGCTGCAGCCGCTGGGTCCACGACAACCCACAATCACACAGGCAGCCATGTCTTTGAGTTCCTGTCTCCCAGCGCCCATGCCTTCTCATCTCCCATCACTACATCCGCCTGCTACTGTACCTTCACAAATGCAGCATTCCCTCAGACCCCCATACAGTGCTCCCCATTCACATAACTCTTTGCAGCCACCCCCAATGATATTGACATGGCAATCATCTCCTGCACTCGGTCCACCTAGACCTCCCCCTTCTCATCCTTGGCCATCAAACTCACCTTCCATGGTGCTGCCAATGTATCCTGGGCAATATGGTGTCCCACCATATCAGCACACTTCAGGGCTAGCTCTTCCAAATCCCTCATACCCTCCCCCCCCCTTCACCTGCCCCATTCACGACAACTGCCATATGATCTTCCCTTGCAACCTTCCATGCCAGCGATGACCTTGCAAATCTGGCACCCTCAGGCTCCACACCACAACCAGTCCAATAGATGGTACTAGACAGAACTCCCCATTCCTGCAAGATGCTGGACTCTAAAACTCCCCATTTCTGCAAGATGCTAGATTTGCATCCTCACTGCCTGTCCTTGAAGTTCTTCCTCCATCATTCTTGGACAGGTTCACATGTTTGTCTTTGAAGTTCTTCCTCCATCATTCTTGGACAGGTTCACATGTTTGTTTTTGAAGTTCTTCCTCCAGCATTCTTGGACAGGTTTATGTGTTTGTCCTTGAAGTTCTTCCTCCATTGTTCTTCCTCCATTGTTCTTTGACAGGTTCGCATGTTTGTCTTTGAAGTTCTTCCTCCATCATTCTTGGACAGGTTCGCATGTTTGTTTTTGAAGTTCTTCCTCCAGCGTTCTTGGACAGGTTTGTGTGTTTGTCCTTGAAGTTCTTCCTCCATCATTCTTTGACAGGTTCGCATGTTTGTCTTTGAAGTTCTTCCTCCAGCGTTCTTCAACAGGTTCACATGTTTGTCCTTAAAATTCTTCCTACTTCATCACACCTTACATTATAATATATCAATACCAGTATCTTTCAGTCTGCCCAGAGGACAGAGGCCTGAATTTTCATAGACACTCCAAATAAACTTAAATTTTCATTCTCTGGGTGTCAACTTTTGGAGTGTTATGGATTCTATTTATAATATCAAACTTCAAGCAAGAGCAGCTGCTGTGGCCTTTGGCGTTTGTGACAATGTTCCAATGTGGTTATCATCTGCGCATACCTTCTGGCAGCAACCAATGCTCAACATCACCTTCACAAGCAGAGCAATTGCCGAGGCCACAGTTGAACTCAGGAACTTTGGGGGCAAGATCCATCGGAAGGAGTACTACACCTGACCCTGGCAGTGGAAGCTCATCCAACCATCTGTCTGCTGGAGAGCATAGACATAGGTCCTCGTATATAAGGTCTCATTTAACTTGCTAATGTACTTCACACTGCACAGATGCTTCCCAATCCCTGAACCATTGATCTACAAGTGGTGATGGCCCAGTGGTACCTGGCCTTGAAGTCCAGCCCCCCTCTAGTCCAATGTCATTGTTGGATGAGCCAATCAGCACAGCAATTCGTCGATGCAGGAATAGCAGAACTTCCAACCATGGGGATCCTACAAAGCTTACACCCCAATGAACGAAATGCTTGAAGACATATGCCAAGAAAATGTGCGAAGACAATGATGTCTCTACTGGAAATGTCATGTATTTCATCGATGTAAGAAAAATTTGTCAAACCATTGGCATTGTTGTGTTGGCTGACTCTGGCTTGATGCAGTCTGGCGACATTTTCTTTATGCTCATAGACCTCAAAATTACCCTTATCAAACTTTGTGAGGGAAATAGGGCAAAGAGAATGCAGGAATTGAAGGATGCCTTAGAATTGAAGGACTTTGAGGTGACAGTGATACTTTTCATTCTGCATTATTCTAGACTAACTTGGACCGGAAGAATGGGCTATATAACTGTTTGTTTGCATGTATGCTGTCGCCAAATATCACAGCATATGTTACTGATACTCAGCATCATATAATGGTATGGCTTCAAAGTCCATTGTTCAGCACTGCTAACTTGTTTCAGGACTTCATTACCACTCATTCCAATGTCTTCAAAATTCCTCCTGGAATGCTCAAGGATGTCAAACTCAGAGCTCAGTTGGGCAAATCAGTTACAAAGCTACTTACAGGCATTCAGAGTGTCATCAAGAATGCCCTCACTGTGTCAGTTGTCAAGTGCACGAGCATCGCTGATGTGACGAGGGCACTTGCACACAGCGGGTCTGGTATGGAAGTTGACTCTACTCATTGGAACAGGATCGTGCTCCTGGTAAGTGATAAAACATACATATCTATTAATTAACACTCGTTTGTATGGGGACAGCGGTGTCTTCTACGAATTTTTCTCATTGGAGTCAGTGACTACAAAAATGCTTCCATCAACAATTTATTTTCCCCTTACCTTATTCCATCACTTAAGCAGGATATGCGGTGCAAAGTTGAATGTGAACTTGGTGTCAACATTGCACAGCTTGAAGATGACTTGTTTGGCACTAACGATGCACTTGGGTCTAACAATCAGGCCTCCCCAGACACTCCAACAGGTAATGGTCATGCACCCAGTGCTAGGAGGATTGAGAATGGTGCCAACATGGATGATGAAGAGCTTGAGGACCAAAGTGGAGCGCAGCTGGGTGGTGGGGATGCTAATGGAGAGGAAGAGGAATTGAATGGGCTCGGGAACAGTATCAAAACTGCTGCAGTCTTACTAGATGATCCACTGGACTCCAGATTTGGACTGGTTGAAGGTACTCCAGCACACTACACCAATACCATCAGATTCTGGAACTTTGTCAACCACTCACTCTTAGTCATGCACCAAATATCTAAGGAAGCCTCCTCCACTCCTGCTGAGCAAGAGAAGGAGTTGCAGAAGTGCGTTTTTGTTGGCTCATGCAGTTATTGACACTGATGTTTGGCTAGGTTGTTCATTGAAATATTCCAAGCTGATCTTGCCAAGTTTCCTGGTGGCAAGAAGGTCTCAAAGTTAATTTCAAGGACGAATCCTCATTGGCAGACTGCTATTCAGACCAAGCTTATTTGGACCGCCTAATATTTCCATTCATTTTCACCGCTCCTGCACTGCTGCATCCCTCATTTTAATCATACCTGTCATTTAGCTGCCCCTGCATTGCATTCCCCATTTTAATCATACCTGTCATCATTTGGTACAAGAATAATACATGCTTTCTATGATCTCTCGATGGCGCAAATATCAGTGCAAAAATATTCAGGTAGTACCGCTACAGCATGTTGATGGGTGTGCACTCTACATATGCTCATGTGTCATATGTATGCCGGAATTATATAGCTTGTACATCAGCCAACCAGTATACTACCAATACCTAGGTCTCAGTATAGGATCTATGTTTTCAACCAAGCATGATTTCGGTGCTCAATCTCAGTACATAATGTGCACCCGAAAACAGCCAATGGACCTATACCCTACCAGCATCGCATTCACACCCTGACATCACCGACGTTATGTCAGCCTATGAATCCATCAAAATTGTATTATTTAATTATATATAATACACGCGACGAAAGTTGATGCGTGGAGATCAGGTCAACATAGGACCAATAACCCTATTTTTGGACATAAATGCTATGAATTTTCCGATTGGCCGTGTAGTACTCTTTTGTAACGGTCGCGTTCATCGGCCAAGGTTTCCGGTTTCAATGCCATTTGCTTCGTCATCTCGGCTGACCACCAATCGAGCTCACTCTCTTTATCCTTACTTTATCTCTGACAGTCGCGATGTCCAACCGCCCGATGACTAGTACGCCTCGAGCGTTAATTAAATTCATCAACATCTTGTACGCAAGTCTGAATCTCTGGCCTAGTCAGACAATAATTGGTTTCTGGTAACCTGTTATCATTCGAACCTTTCTCGGTTCCTTCGAACAACTTCAAACCCTGAATGCAAAAAGTCCGAACACCCTCACGTCATTCACGATGAAAAAACCCCAAACTCTGTTCAACGTGATCGCTTCAGCTTAATGTCGTAGCCGTCATCGAGCAGAATATAACGGTCTCGACATATCCTCACTCCCCCGCATGGTTTCCCTCCCATTTTTAACTTCAGCTTTGTCGGTTCCATCTTCTCGTCGCGTTTTCGACATGTTAGCTTCGCAAACTCGTTAAGCTAAGTTACATCCAACTCTCCGGACTTTTTTCACTCAGGGTTTGAAGTCGTTCGAAGGGACCGAGAAAGGTCCGAATGATAACAGGTTACCATGGACTCCCGAGTCAGCATCAGTGTAACTGTACACCGGTTCTAATCGTTTCTGGGAACCGAACCCATATGGGCATCGTTTAATTGTTCAAACAAGTGGGCTGATCCGGCTCTTGACCTTGACCACTTAAGAATTGAGCATGCCTGACGATCGAACCCCCACTCCCCTCACAAGCTCCCCCATCAGACGACGTACATGCCTTACCTAAACTCTTCTATCGATCCAATTAGCCTTGGTTTTCTCGCTATTCTCCTCGGAGGTAGCAGAGCACATTTCCTTCAAGTTCAATCCTTCCCTGAAGAGGTCGATAGAGACTGGGATGGTCTAGGCATCCTTCAATCCAGAAGCCACATCGAGAGACTTGTCGTCAATGACAAGCTTCGCGCAAGTCTCTGTTCCCTCCTTCATATAGTGAACGAAGAAGCCCCAGGAGATTCCTGGATGGTGATTACTCCCTGCTGCCTTCCATTCGTATCCGCTAATTACCCACAGGATCTCGTTGATAACGATGTGGAAGAAGACGCCTGGGATGTTATACGCCTCTCTGGTCGTGCCGCGGACGGTTCTAAACGTACTATTAAACTCTGGAGTCTGGATCACATCCTCCAGGTGTTAAACGATCCTGCCCCACATCTCATCAAGGTTGCTTCGTTCCGAAACGTGCCTTGCTGTCCTCGTTTCCATCCGAGATTGGGATGGACGGCCCTGGTTCATCAACCTCGGCGTGCAGCAGGGGGTTTATCCATCTTACAAGATCAAGATATCTTCCTGTTGAAGGACTCGTCGACAACGACAGAGTCTCTCCAGTATGCAGTCTTGGGAGTCACCTGCGATTTGCTCCTCACATCGGTTCTGCTGTTCCACACCTCCTCTCACCAATTTCTCGATCCCCCACGTAGTCGACTTCTAGTGAAGTGGCTTGGTCAAGACCCTCTCCTTAATCCCGACGCTCTAGACGAAGCAATCAAATCTATCTATAAGTCGGAGACGTATTATCCTACTCTTCGTAAAAATTTGGAGAATGAGATGCGTCGGTTAATTTGTCTCGGTGCAGGTGTCTCGCAAAAGTCAGATTCCGAGGCCGATGACAAAACCTCTATCCAGATATCGGGAGCATTGTTGGTTCTGGGTGAACATAATGACATACAAGGACCCTACAACCGAATCCTATTCAATGCCCCTCCTACTTTCATCCAATTGAATAACAACGCTCCCCTTATTCCCGTTGTCACCAACCCACCGGACTTGGGTTCCGGAGAATTCGAGTTTACTTCCGAGAAAAAGGAGGAGCTGATGATCTCCAGCCCCTTCTCTTCGAATTCACAATCATACTTCACGCGTATTAGGAGAAAAGGCGGTACTGAATGGACGAATGCCTTCGTCAAAGTGTCATCGGCGGCTTCCATAAAATGGGAGCGCAAGATGCTGCCTGTACTAGGCACTCGTATCTCCCCTGGCATGCTTCAAAATCTCTTGGCGTACAATGCCGATCTCAATTCACTTGTTATGACCAGACTTTCTGGGAAAACCTTGAATGACTTCCGTCTTGAATATGCGATGACGAGGAATTGTGAAATTTTTCTTTCAAGTCTTCACGAGATGCCTTTGGCTGGTTTGTAGATATCGAGATTCGTCGTGCGTATGAATGTGGCTTGCTGTACTCGGTTGGCAAGGACTTGGCCGACGCTCCGGGGGGGCTAGACTCTCCAATACACAAGTTCTATTACGACCGTCTTCACAATGATGTCAGGTTCACTAAACATTACTACCCAACCACCCCCGGGTTCAGCGGAGACAACGCAGTACAGTTTGATGATTTCATCGCTCTTCCTTGGAAAATCGATGGCGTGGAGTATCCCCCGCTTCAGGAGTCCTTCAGGAAGGCAGAGCAGATTCTCGATCCCCATGGTCAAATTTTACCAAAACTGTGGACCTGTTTGGGACTAGGAGATGGTCACGGAGGAAACGTGATGATTTCGCCGAAGAAACAGGATCCAGCGATTCATTTCATAGATTACGAAGCTGCCGGACATCATAGTCCTTTCTTAGATCTCGCGAAACCGCTTTACCTCGACGGGTTCTTCCCCGTTATGTATCACGATATCACTTCCAAATCCTCCAACCCCACTTCTGAACGCGCTCCGGTTTCGTGGAGGATTGATGAGGGCAAGGTTTGCGTCGACTTGGATGCACCGCTGAGTGATCTGGACAAAGTCATATGTTTCATGAAGTTGGAATATACCCTTAAACCGCTTCTCGAGTACACCGCCTGGAATTTGGAAGAGCAGATGGAGTCTGTCGGGAACGTTTTGTCAGCCGCTCTGTTATGCTGCGCGCTCTTGACGAGGGACTTCTCCCGGCACCCCGATTCGTTTTTCTTGAACTGTGCTGTTGGTATTTTGCTGTATAACGACCTAAAAGGCTCGCTCAAACGGTTCTGTGGGTGGGATAATTGGCCTTGCGTCGTGGAGACATCTATCAATGGTGAGCGTCACTTATCTTTCTTTTAGCAGATTCTGAAGTGCAGCCAGACAAAGAACTAGCATTATTCGGTGGTGGAGGCTTCTCTCTCACACCCAAGCAGTTCGATACTCAGCTCTTCAACATTTTATTCAATAAAGTCGACCTTGAACCGGATTCGGTATTCCTTAAACGATTAGATGACACGCTGCGTTTGCATAAGAAGTTCTCGAAGAATTCCAACGAGTCCTCGGCTGTTGTCATTCAAAGAATAGGTGATGCGCGGAGAACAGGAATTAGGGTAATGCACCGTTCAAAAGTATTTTGGCCTAGACTCACCTTCGTGTCAGGTTGCCCCACATACTTGTATCCGTGAAAGCATCTTTGCGGAGCCCAGAATTGATCATCACTTCCAGTACCAGGAGGTGCAGGAGACCCGCCGCTCACGTCCATACAGAATGACTTTGGTTGATCTTGGATGTTGTATGGGAACTGATCTAAGGAAGTTGGTCGTGGATGGTTTCCCAGTACTGGTGCGGCTCACTTGTCGAATCGTGTGCTCAGATGCTTATTTAGATGCCCTAGGACATCATGGGGCTCGATATCGAGAACCGTGAGTTTCGTGTCTTTTACAAATTCTTTATTAATATGACGCTCAGGATTCTTTGACATCGGGCGTCTCATGTACAACGAAGGGGACACACCTTCCATCAAGTTTAAGCAGACCGATGCCCTTGATCCTCTATTCTGTGAACGCAACGCCAGTTTGGAAAGCAAGTTCGATTTTGTGCACTCAGCAAATGTCCTACATCTCTTCCAGACTGAGGAGCAACTAGCATTCATACGGTCAATGGCATTTCTAGCTAAACCTGGTGGACTTATGTGGGGTCGTCAAGTCGGGTTGGCCAATGGACCAGATGGTGCGAAGTACAAGCACGAAGAAGGAAAAGGTACTCGGTTCACGGCTGGCGAGTTTAAGGAGCTCATCTTGGATGCTACGGGATGGCGTGAAGAGGATATCGTATATCGCTCTGAGTTGGTCGCGTACAGCGAGCTACGAATAGCGAAGCCTGGCAAGAATTGGGTGCTACAGTGGTCAGTGAGGGTGCCCGTCGATAAAACGCCGGGAGCTCGTCGAATTACTGAGTTGGTTGAATAAATAATCGGACGAAATCATTACAATAGTATATTCTCTGCCTAGCTATGTACGTATTTGCAGAACAAGATCGGCTCTTTGTTCCAATGATGAAAAGAATGATGCATTCTTTACAGCAATTTGCATAATGGTAGAGGCTGGCGGTAACTGGTGAAGTTGGTGGTCACCTGCGCTTGCTTCGTTGTTGAGATAAAAATCGATCTTTGTAGGACTACTTTTCGAAAGTAAATGCACACATAAGGGTCTTGACAGGCACTGTTTGATCATCAGCTATTATCGGTATGCAGTATGGATGTGTGTTGTGCAAGTACTTGATTGATCATTAGGCGCTTATTTGTATAGGGTCTGATGGTTACAACATTTATAGACATCGATCTTCTACCATCCTTTGGGAATGTGACACTAAACATGTACACAAGATCATCTTGGTACAATTTGAAAAAGTAAACTTCATGCGTGCACGCCGACAAAAGTAGAATCAGTAAAAATAACTTAATAAGTGCAGATGGATACAACTATGGGGGCTGAGGATCCCTGCCGAATATACAAACTACCCTTCTACGGTCCCTTGGTTTGTATTGACAAATGCGATACTGTGGTCCGCGATTGGGAATATTCCGTCAATGATCATAGAATCAGACTGACGGCTTTGCCGCAGATTGAATAGGATACGGGAGGCTAGCACTCCGTGAATTACGAGTTGCGGTCTGCGAGAAGTCAGCAGAAGAACCGGTGAGATGGAGGAGCGCACTGACGCATCCAGGACGTTAGTGTATGTGCCCTACAGGCTGAGCATTTTAGTAAGTCCTGTGGATCCAAATGCCTAAAACCTCACAGGAACAACCAGGGCGACAACAATATTTGTGAAGGATACCACTAAATAACTCTTGTTAGACCCGTATGAGTTCATACTAAACAAGAGGACGTACTTATGATACAGGTCATGTATATCATCCCATCGCGATAAAGGGTGGTGACGAGGCGAGTTCGAACATCTTTGTAGAAGTTGAATCTCTTGTATATCGTAAGGATCATGAGCACTGTGACACCTCAGGTTAACAGCTCTGGTGTTTAGTAGTATCAACTTGAGTTACCTAGCTCATAAATGATCAAAAAACTGTACTGTATGGAGCTACCCTTTCCACTTCCAAACGTGCAGCCTGTCAGGCTGACATCTGCAATAGGTTAGCAGAACTGCTCACTCGATATCATAAAGCGCGGGTACCTGGAGGGCTAGGGAGAAGAAAGGTGCTCACAAGTTTTGACACCCCAACAGCCCCTAAAATGGAAAACTATCCAAATGAAAATTTGAGTTTGATCGGTGGATCATTAAGCTGGTACTTACTGCAGCAAGAACGAGAAGCCACGTCAGCAATTTCTTGTTCTGATGCCAAAAGGCATATGTGCGAAAAATAAGCAGGCCTGCAGAGTAGATGATGAGTATACCAGTATTGGTTCAAACCGATGAAAACGCCATCAGACAGACCTTCTGCAGCGATGATGCTGATCAGATGTGAACCTTAATGAGTGTTCAATGTTCACACTAAACTCGAGTCTGCTAGCGCGGCTTACTGTATGAGACATTGTTGAAAGTCACACACTGAAGGAACAGTCAGCGAGAGTCTAATTCGAATCATGAGTTCACAAACACTTGTATACTTGGACCGGTCAGTCACCGCAGCTTAAATCTCATCAAGACGTGATACATGAAGCGAGGACTCGCGACTTACCGTACGTGGTCATGGTAGTACCCACCAAGGTAGCATAACGAGTGAGGGTGAACGCAACTCTAACAGCGTCCCACTTCCTTCCCCAGATCAACTGAACCTGCGGGCTAACTTAGCATGCATCAGAGTCAAACCAAACATGGTCGCAAACCTCTTGGGGAATCGTCAAGCAGTATTCGAAGACCTGTGTTCAAAGATAAGGAAGGCATTTGGGATGATCGTTGTTCAGACACACACCACTGCTGCCATCGCTCCAACTATCTCCATCGTCAGACGGACAATGTGAGTGCTAGTAGTGAAGCGCATACCTGTGAAATACTATCAATGTGCAGAGGCATTGAACATGAGCATCTGTACTACGGGCTGGAAAGCGATGGATTCACCTGCGCCGTCTGATAACCTACAGTCGTAGCTGACATGGTGAAGATGAAAGTATTCTTGATGTGCTAACTTTCACTTGCACGCCATTTAATACCGTACGGTGAGTCACAGCCTCGAATCTACTGGCAGCACCGCGGATCACAAGAGTTGTACAGTGCACCGCAAACTGTTCCGAGGCTCTCGTGCAGGCGTCCTTGTCATATCGACGCAAGTTTTACCGCAATTGCAGGGATGCAGTGATGCATGGCCAATAAGCCCACCTTGAGCCCACCACCGCATTTTCTGACTGTGGAAACTTTGTCGCTACAGCCAAAACGTAGCGGTCATCTCCTGGATCTCAACATTTTCCTGAGTTTTTTTGTGGTGTTTGAGTAGGGAGCGGCCACTGGTTGGTAATATTGTACATATTTTCAGCAGCAGTTTGGTAGCACTAAGGCCAGCGTCGACTAGTACATGAGCTGAGAGCTCTGCATCAGCATTCACAGGCAGTGTGTGAGGCTGCCAGTGTGGCAGGCAAATATCGTCCTTCAAGTTGAGTATAACGGAAGCGAGTAAGGTTGAGATTTGGAAAGACCCCTCAAATTGTTGTCTGTAAAGGAGACTAGGCCAGAGATTCAGCCTTGCGTAAAAGATAAAGATGTTGATGAATTTAATTAATGCTCGAGGCGTAGTTAACTTATATAGTCCGCCTTAAAATTGATGGTGCTAGATCACTCTTGCAATCTGCAGTGATGTCGAGATCGCCTCAATATGCACCTTACTCACCCCAGACAATCAAAGTTCACACCATTCCGATCGAAAGTTTCGAAACGCTATCATCATATCACAACATTCATTCCGTGCGCATCACCTGGGTTGATCTCATCAACGCTACTGGCTTTCGTGTTGTCCCTCTCAAATCCTTCTATCGCCTCCTCGCCTCCTCCAGACCGGGCATAACCATCACCCAATGTATCTTCGGCTTCGTAATTAACAGGGCCGCATCTGGATTTGGCCCTGTAGGGGAATACCTGTTTGTGGTGGACTTGACATCCATGAGGTTGTGTTCCTACGCGCCGGGACATGTGAGTATCATGGGCTGGTTCCAAGATAAGGTCCCTGCTCCAGGCCGCGTCCTTGGCACGGGTGTGCCCATGTGTCCACGATCAACGCTGAATCGTATCGTCGAGTGCGTCTTCTCTGACACTCGTTGAATGTGGACTCACTTGGACATTCAGCACCGCCAAATCTTATAACGCCGCGTTCCTTGTTGGATTTGAGACCGAATTCATTCTCCTCAAAAGCACGAACCCGATCGAGGCGGTCAATCCACACGGGTGGAATAGCGCGCTAGCGCTACCTTCCGGAACCAAGGAGACAGAAGTGATTGAGGAGATCGCGCGTGGACTTGTCGATAGCGGAATCGAACTGATGATGTATCATTCTGAAGCTGCGCCAGGGCAGGTTGGTGCACTCGACTTTCTCTTTCTGTTGCTCTTTTCTGCATGCTGATTTTGTATTGCAACATAGTACGAGATCGTGACAGGTCCACTCCCACCTCTTGAAGCTGCTGATGCGCTCGTGCACACACGGGAGACGATCACCAATGTCGCAAGTAAACACGGGTTTCGTGCGACATTTGCACCAAGGTTGCATGTGGACAACTGTACGTGTTATCCCGGGCCGTAGTCAATCATTCTCTGTCTTCTGCCAATACATTCACACCTTAAGTCTACCTCCTCTGATTTACACTCTCATATAGGTGGTAGTGCGGCTCACACTCACATCTCCGTGCACCCCATCGATTCCAAGCATCCATCCGAACTTCAAAATCTCAGCCAATCGCCAGCAGGCACATCAGACAATCTCATCACCCCTCTCGAAAGCGTCTTTTTAGCTGGAGTACTCAGACATCTCCAAGCTTCCTGTGCATTCACGCTCCCCTTGCGTGCCTCCTATGCACGCATGCTCGATGGAATTTGGAGCGGCGGGACATGGGTCGCGTGGGGAAGGGATAATCGTGAGGCCCCCGTACGCTTGTGTGTTCCTGCTGCGTCTGTAGACGCAAAGCTCGCGACCAACGCTCCCTCGAAGAACCACTTCGAAATCAAATGTGTAGATGGCACGTCCTCCCCTTACCTCGTTCTCGCCAGTCTCATCGGCTCTGGTCTCCTTGGTATCCAATCTCAATCGCCGCTCATAGAGCAAGATTGTGCTACGCCCCCTGCGTTGATGACTGAGGCAGAAAGGGAGGCCGTGGGCGTTACGCGGCGGATGCCGATGTCTTGGGAGGATGCAAGGGCCGCGCTAGTGGCAGACGAGGCATTGAAGGGCATTCTTGGAGACATTGTAGACGGATTCTTATCAGTGGGGGAGGTGAGTCATTTGATTGCTCGATATATTTTTAACTGTTGTGCTGCGTCATGTTCACGGGTGCTGATTTATTGTTGTTATTAGACATTGGATGAACTTTTACACTCCCCGAATGAGGCGGAAAGAGTACAGATGCTTGTCGAGTACTATTAAGATGAGTCGGGAGGCTTTTAGGATTCTTCGATGGGGATAGGTTAGACGACTCGACCACGTTGTTCATTGGCTGATACCAGTGTCTTAAGAATGATGTTTCCAAGTTTCAAAAATGCCAACATGTTCACAGCTTTTTGGAACCTCGGTATTCAAACATTCTACACGCGACGCTGGTACTGCGTTACATCTAATTTAATCTATCAATGCAGTGGCAGTGGCATACAGGGTGACGCTTCTTTTGCTTGGCTGACGGTTTCCCCGCCTCAGGCCGCCGATAAGCGCTAGCCAGGTCACGCACCATGCCATCAATTGCATGATGGATTATTACGGATCCGTGGATTGAGCGTGGTGCGTTTTCCACGACGGAGCATCGCTCTATGTCTTTACAGGTTTAGGATACTATAGCCTAATAACCAAGATAAAGAACGAGACGTCGGACATAATATGACAGGTGCCTTGCCAGTGGAAGCAAAGCTTGAAGGAGCGGTAGTTGCTGACTAGGACCTTGGATGAGTTACTATCCTCCCCGGGACCCGGCGAGCGAGGCGCCAGGAAGTACAGACCCTCTTTGATGATTGTTGCCTTTTTCGATGGCCACTCACGATCTGGCGTGTTCAACAATCGATTGACGCTCCGCCATTATGGTTCCTTGATAAACCATAGCAGGGTTTTCTTGTGAATATTTTTGGCAATGGGCTTACACGACCAGCTTCGATATGTCAAAGCATTCTGACGCGCGGTGCTATATCTAGCAATATCGTTGCGCATCCACCAAGTTTGCTTTCACAGATTCCCTCTTTGTTCAAAGGAACGACCGTCTTCCTTCGTCTACAAAGCTCTGACTAGGGGAGATTACAATTTCCTGTAATATGACTGTAGTCTCGAATGATCCTAGTTGGTGGCCGCTAATAAATTGGTCTCTCCTTTTCAGCTATCTTGTAGGTTCGTAGAGAGCGAATGATATTGCTGTTGTCTCAATCTAACGATGACTGGGGCTTCTCAGTTGCATCCTCTGTTGTGATGTCATACGATTGGGGTGAGCGAGATACTAGTGCGTATCAAAGGAGTTACTGATATCCCTGTGGTATCTCCAGCACTCACATTGGGACAAGAGGTAGGTCCATGCTTGTCGCTTGGGCAGCCACTAGCTCACCATGATCGGTCCTATAGATTGAACTGATCTGGGTGAGCAGAGTCCCATACCAGCAGGTGAACAAACTAAGTCACTTGACGCGGGTCAGATGCAACGCTGGACCCATATGACTATTCTATATCTCAGTGTACGTAGCCTATATTATATGGGCAGTAAGCAAGCTGTACTAATTTTCCAGGTGCGCTACTGTGGAATACTGACCTTTGTGTGCGTTTTGCGAGGCTATCCAATTGACACTGTGCTAATAAGCATCTCTCATGATCAGTGTGAACATATTAGGTCTGTCTTCTCGCTTCCCCTGTACTTTTGCTTCTGATGGACAACATCCAGCAAGTCTTCCTTCAGTCTCCTTAACAGATACTGTGAGTACAGTGGACTGGTCATTATCATTCGTAGCTAATTCACCCCGATGTAGGGGTGAGTGAAGTTTTCAACATGCTCATTGATTCAATGTAATGACTGCAACAGCTGTAAGTTCGTACCATGGACTATCGGGTCCTGCGGTGGTCAACAGTAGCTGTATTTAAACATTTCAGGTGCTACCATTTTCCGAGTACAAACATGGGCCAATTTCATTGTATTAACCATGTTGGACGGTAAGTACTCAGTTGGAGTACCTCAGCGGTGTCGATTTGACTGAAATATCTTGCAAGTCATCATTATCATTCGGCTGTATGCTATGTATCAGCAATCGACAAAGATCCTCGTCTTTCTTGTTGTAATCTTCCTAGCTGTCACTATTGTCTTCGGAGTTATCACTGGAATAATAAACAATGATGGTTCAGAAAGTAAGGTTTAATTATGAATGAAGTACCTCAGCACACTAGGCTCACGGGACGAATCTCAGGCGCTGAGGAGTTCATCCTTTCTGGTACTTATCAATGCATTTTTTCTGGCGGGGGAGGTGGCGTTCCACTTCTGAATGCCGTCACTTGGATACTCACCACTGTATGGGAGGTCCTCGCATTGTGTTTTGCAGTCTGGATTGTTATAAAACACTTCCGTGAACTGCGACAGACACCGACGGGATCGACCATCGGAGATTGCTTCATGGTGTTAATCAGAACTCATGCTTTTTACTTTGCATTGTGAGTTCGTCATTTGAATCTGATTATATCCTTCTGTTGAAGTTCCGAACTTGCTAGTTTTACTGCTGTCTCTTGCTTTAATCTCGGCTGGTTGTCTCCAAACATCACGGTGCGTCGGTCCGTGGCCGACATTTACAACCGATCACAGCTCATCATTTTTGTAGGGATCAGATTCGGTCGCAGATGCGTTTTATTATGGCGCTTTTCAGATTGCTTCGGTAGTGCAGCAGTTTGTGCTGGGGCCACGTCTCATCCTTAGCGTGAGAGCCTCGAACGCGAAACTCGTGGCCAACTCCGACGAAGGAGCTGACATGAGTACAGTTGCTTTCCAGGAGGGCATGCACGACACGTCGACCGATGATGGTGCGTAGGAAAGTTAAGTTGTCTACCTTTGTCGGGTCCTCTACTACAGGGGAATGAGGACTTGTTTGAAGTTTGGTTGGTTGTGGTATATTTATTTGCAGTTTTGCAGTGTACTTATCTATGTAGAACTTTGCTGTGGTATTTATGTGGCGTTCCGAACTGGATTGGGAGGAAAGATCAGAGAATAGGCTAATACATTTAATAGAAACGCTCAAGAACACTTGCCGGTAGGTATAAAACCGCCCATACACTGACGATCCAGGCACAAACTACCGCTGCCGTGGTACGACCGCCAATACAGTTGAACGCGACTCCTACACCCTTGCGCCAGGCTTAGTGAAACAATGTACATTAATATATTCATCTTTTGGAGTTGGTAGAGGCGCTTCTCCCTTGTATTGGAAGTAGAGCGCCTTGTATACCGCAACCTGTAGTGCGATGAGCAAGTTTTTAGTGACCCCTTTAATCACGCACATTAGCATCGGTATCAGTGCAGAGCGCAAGGATAGATGTCGTCATTGCCTGTAGATGGAATGAAATCATGCATATATAACGAACAGTTGGTACACCACACCTGCTGTTCCACCATTTTGATCAGGTTTGTGGCGATTCCTTGGAGTTGATACTTCGGATCAACGCAAAGACAATTCAGATACCAGGAGCTCTCAACGGTCTGAAAATATTTTAAAGAAAATTTTGGATGACAGGATTAGACACACATGAGGAGACAACGCCGTTTTCATAAAAGGGGCCAGCGCAGAACCATACTTTGATAGAGACATAAACGGCAAGAATAAGTAAGAATTAGTACTACTTACAGTGTTGATCCACCATTCTCTGGTCTTGGACGACACAGACTCCAAGAATTGGTTAAAGCCAAGATTCCTCTGCACATCACTTCTGACCGTGTGAACGAAGTTATGTAACCAGCAATTATTACAACTGACTTTTGCCAAAGAACTTTCCCCGGAGGAAAACAGAGAGCTAATCCAGCGATGGCTCCCGTATCGACAACTGTTGCGATGTATACTCTTCCGACTAGCTGGCAGGCCCTGATCATCGCGCGGAACAATGGCCCCTCGAGATCCTTGTTCCCACCAGTCATGGCATCAAGATATGGAGCTGGATTGAAAGACATGACGACTACGATGGACAGTCGATAGTTCGAAGGCTATCTTACAATTGACATAACCTCTGACACATATCATGACTGCATCGTCCAACTGAGATTCTGTGGCGTTCTTGAGCTATGTGATAAGCAATGGCGATGATAGATGCTCGATACCTGTGAACTAGTTAACGATGTCCAGCTTATACGGAAAGTTGTTCATGGTATGTGGCACAATAAAAGATGATTCTATTAATATTATTAGAGGGTTTCTCAGACCTTATAGGTCGGATGGGCAAAGCCGCCACCAATTTGGCAATAGCCTATACGTACTATTGCCGGGAGTCCGGGACCATTGCAAACCTTCAATGTACTATGATTATGGTGATTAAAATTGACATATATATAAGACTTACCGTAGTTGTGACACTGGTACACTCACGGCGGTAACATCAAGAGGTGGCTGTGCAACTGCCGAGCTTGTCATTCACCAGTATCTGATCGATATCGATCAATGGGCACCGAGAAGAAGAATACAAGTAAAGCAGCTGCAAAGGCGGCGAAAAAGCAGAAAGCAGCAGCCAAGACTTCTAAGAAAGAAAAGAAGAAAAGCAAAAAGACGACAGATGCACCTCCAGAGGATGAAGATCTGGAGGCCATCCTCGACAAGGTGATTTTCATCGCATGCGTCCGAGATCGAGCTGACTCAACGGTGCCTGCTAGTAGATGAACCGCGAATGGGAAGATGCGCATAAGGTCACAGAGGAACTAGTCGAGGGCCCACCTTCCCGGCGCGCGAACGCGGCTCTGACGTCCTGCCCAAGCGGAAACCACTTGTGGTCCATCGGAGGTGAATTCTTTAGCGATGACGGCAAGGCTTACTTTTACAACGACGTCTACCGCTACAATCCTGACAAGGATGAGTGGCGCAAGTTCGTGAGCCCTATGTGCCCTGGGCCTCGCAGCGCACATGCCGTAGTCGCTTCGGCAGCTGGAGGAGGAAAACTATTCTTGTTCGGTGGCGAGTTTAGTTCATTGCATCAGAACACGTTCCACCACTACAGGGATTTTTGGTGCTTTGATATCAGCACTCATTCATGGGATCGCCTGGACACTAAGATCAGACCCAGCGCGAGGTCGGGACATCGGTGCGTAAAAAATGCTTTTGTGCCTCTTCTAATTCTTAGCATGGTGCAGGATGGCGATGTGGAAGCACTACATAGTTCTCTTTGGCGGTTTTTATGATCCAGGGTATCGCAGTATGTCTCCAGCATGGGATGCCGCTTGTTCATGTCGCACTAATACATATGAAAAATCAAGCCCAATATCTAAACGATACCTGGGTATTTGATACTCAAGAGTATAAATGGCGACAAATCGAATTCAAGGATATTGATCGGAAACCATCGTGCGTTGTTCCCTGCTTACTTGCGCGAATTGTACCTAGTAATACATCGATTACTGCACAGCGCAAGAAGCGGTTTCTCGTTTCTCCCTACACCAGAAGGCATTGTCTTACATGGTATGTATGCAACTTTGTCATCGGACGCCACTCCTTTATGATGCATGCAGGAGGTTATTGTAAAGAATACAGCAAGGGTAAACGTCCTATTGGCGTAATGCTCGACGATACCTGGCTCCTCCGGTAGGATTTTCCATCTTCTGCTTCCTATCCCAATTCAGCTCGTACATAGCATGTCCCTCGAAACTTCCAAATCTCCATCATCGTCCACAGTCTCCTCGGATTCACTGGGTTTAAAATGGGAAAGGCGTAAGAAACCATCCTTCGCGCCGCATATCCGGAGCGGCTGCACAATGGCGCTGTGGTCAGCCAAGGGTATAGGCGTCATGTTTGGCGGCGTGACAGACGATGACAGAGATGAAGAGAGCCTCGAGAGCGTATTTTGGAACGATCTGTAAGTCATTTGAGGGAGCCTGAGTCAATGTGCGGGTTGTTCTTTGCATAGTTTCATACAGTATCTCGTGAGATATTATCTTGGCTTGTGGTTATATTGATCGTGAAACTGTAGGCTGACCGAATCTTGTGTAGCTACGGATACCAACTCGTTGGCAATGGGCGTTGGCAATCAATGATGCTCAAGAAGCCGAAAAAAGCCGGAAGAGGTGGAAAGCGAAAGGCTGCAGCTGTTCAGCAGGGAGAGCATGAAGTTTCGGACGGAGATGAAGATGCAGTCAAGACTCAAGAGGTTAAGAATACCGAGGTCTGATTCTACCAATACAGGCGGTGTTGGATATTGAGATGAGACTAGCAGGACCCTGAAGTTGATCCTGATGACCCAATACTGACGGCCCCCATACCACGGTACAACGCTATGCTAGCTGTGCTGAGGAATACACTGTACATGTACGTGGATCTTTGTTGTGACCATTGTGTACTGCCTGAATCGCCTTCCCCCAATATCAGCTATGGCGGCATCTTTGAGCGTGGGTCAAGAGAATACACACTCGACGATTTCTATTCGATCCAGCTCGACAAGCTCGAACGGTACATGTGCCTCAAGCACAGCGGGATCGTTATCCCAGCAGAGGGCGACGAGAGCAGCAGCGACGAGGATGACGAAGGTGTAGAGAGCGATGAAGATGGTGATAGTGATAACGAGACACAGGTAGGGGAAGATGATGCAGGACCCGACCTTAAGAGGCTTGATGATAGTCACGATGACGAAGAAGTTGATGAGCCCGTAGATGTGCGAGTAAGTGCACACATGATTTTGTTGTGTGGTACAGTGAAAATTGATGGAACATCAAGCACAACGAAGTACGTGCACAAGCGACGGCGTTTATGGGTGTATCCAAAGACACGGTACGTTCTGCGGAGGATGTGATTAGCACACCAGAACCGGGAGAAACACTAGCCCTGTTTTATGCCCGAAGTCGTAAGCTTCGCTTTATCTCAGTCTCGCTTCTGCCCTGATCATCATGAAGGCGAATATTGGACCCAGAAAGCCCACAGCGTAAGCGACAATCGGGGCAAACAACTCAGGAGGGACGGCTTCAGTTTTGCAGAAGAGCGATATGGTGCGTTTGATCGCGGTTGGTCAGCATGGATCACTGACCATCCATTCTCTTGCCCCGTTAGCTGAGTACAAACCTATCCTCGAAGAAGTGGAGAAGATCCTAGCTGAGGCCGGCCTCGATGAGGACGAGATGAGAGCAGGTGCTGCTCAGACTGGCGGAGGTGGAGGCGCCGTGTCAAGTCGGAACCGCCGATGAATAGCTAAATATCACAAATATACTCGACAGATAACGATACGGTCAGCGTAGGCAAGCTCGCACTGTTCATCTAGTCACATGTACTTAAATGTGGTGCATGCCATAAAACTCACCAGTAGTCCAGAATGTATCGTTCAGTCATTGGGAGCGCGACTGTGCAACGTGTCACTGGAAAACAAAGATAAGGTTTCTGACATGTCGATAAATGAACTTAATCTTGCCTTAATTCATCGTTACTGCGACCAACCTTATCGATGAGCTGTTTGGCTACAGCCTCGGATCCAAACAATCGTTGCGCGAATGCCGACTCTCGTGGATGAAAGCTTGTTGAACAATCATGAAGAATCTAATCATCTGTATTCGGTCATCTGGTTAGTTCATCTCATCGATCAGTATATGGAGCTGGCAAGAAGGATCCTTCTACATACTTCCATCATTAGATATGACCTAAATCGACTCGGACGACCGTCACGATCACTGCACCCTTGTAGTATCAGCCTGACTCTGAGAGAACATTACTGTGACTCACTGTACGGCGGGAGTTTCAACATTTTGACTCTTGTCAGAGTCTTGTAGACTGTCGGTTAGTACTAAAAGTGAGTTTAGACATGGCCAGACCTGAGAGAGATGACTAGTGGCCCATCTATGAGAGCTTTCCAGGGTCATCACTCCAGATTCTTTTTCGAACAGCCGTGAAAGGATACACCGAATGTTGGTCCTGTCCCAAAGTCAACCTGTGACAGTTATCCTTCATCACTGCAATAGAGCAGCTACAGTAACTTTCTTTTGCATGAGTCCTAGCATAAACTCACCTGGCAGCAGCTGCGTCAGAAAGAGTCCTGAATAACTAGTATTACATACTCATTTACGCACCTTAGTACACCGAAATACGTGGCGGTGCCATCCGAACTTTATTTTAACCGACTTGAAGGTCTCAACTTCGCTTCTCTCGTTACACAAGAATGCCATTAGTTAAGTTGACGGCGATAGTGAGGCGTTAATGAACGAGACGAAGAACAAAGACCGCCCAGAATCGTGCCATGGAATTTCGAAGTTGATTTGAATGCCCACTGGCAGCAGAACATCGATGCACGCCCGGTCGTACGTGAAAAAAAAACTCAGCCTCGGTAGTTTCAGCCGGATACATCAGCGGACCGCGTCCTTAAAATCACTTGGCATCCCTCTCATTCCTCACGAGAGCTCTCTTCCTTCCGACCTCGATCTCTTTTCCATTTCTGAGAACGAGCCTGAGCTCCACGACCATCCCGGTGGTGGTACATTTGACGACCCGAATATCATCGACATGAGCGCTACTCAGGACCCAATGCCATCGACGTTGCCTCCACCTGTCACCCAGAAACGATTTTCGCAGTATTCGATAGGCAAGGACAGACGCGACGGTGAAGATGATGATGCTTCAGCTATGGTGAGGTTGAAGAAACATTTGTTGGCGGAAGTCGATGGAGAGCAGTCCACGGCGCCCTTGTCTGTATATTGCTTTATGACTGGTTTCATGTACGTCGACTGTACTCTTCGTCTACGTCGCGTCTCACTGGTTTTTTTTTCAGTGACTCGGTTACATTCTCTGCTATATTTGTCTGGTGCGCGTTCCAAACGGGAAACAGTGTACAAGTACGAATACTTCCGCGTTTGCAATGGTTCTTCCTAACTAACATTTTGCGCGATAGCTGGCCCTTGCCCTTGCTCGCCTGTTCAACGGCCAACATGACTACTCGTTCCATATCGCAGATCGTCAAGCGCTGTGCTCAGTGCTCACGTTCATATTCGGGGCTTTCATCGGCCGCCTCGGCGATAAGTTTGGCTGCAAGACACGGTTATGGCTAGCCCTCGGCACATTCATTCAGACCCTATTTACGATGGCGGCCGCCATTGCGATATGGCAGAGCCATCAGGGTAGCGTTGCTGATGCGCGTGCCAATCCCGCGTGGACCAATACGTTGTCCTTCGTGTGCGTAGGGTTCATGAGCGCGAGCATGGGCTTGCAGGGCATTATGGGGAAGCGTGTCAATACGCAGTTCACTACTACGGGTGTGTTTCGTGTATCTTTGTATTTCCTTTTCCTAATCTTTCATCTCTCCACAGTTGTGCTCACGACGACTTGGTGTGAGCTCATGGCTGACCCTAAGCTCTTTGACATCCGACGAATTGTCATTTCGCGCGATCACAAGATTATGGCGATTGCCAGCCTGTTTTTGGGAGGTTTCGTCGGCCGTGTGTTGATCGATAGTGTTGGTTCGGCTGCTACGCTGGGTATCGGTACAGGTATCCGATTGATCATCAGCGTATGGTGGCTTTTCATCCCGGCGAAGCAGGCTAAGAAGTGAATATGCATGTAAAGTGTTCATATGCGTATTTATGGCCATGTACATATTTTCATTGCTGACGACTAGAAGACGAGATGCTACTTATATGTTGACGGGTAGGGGAGACGAGAGGATGATACGAGACTGGGAGGATTTTTTATGATTATGCTGGTATTATATTGCACATTTATTGTAGTACTGCCTAGAGTTTTTCTCGTTTTTCAGCTACTATGTTTCAGGGAGGCATTACATTGATTTTGCAGTGGTTTGAGATCTGCCAATATTAGTACCCAAATTCGACGTCACATGACGTATCCCCCTCGTCAGGAACGCTACAAGTAGACGCAACAATGTATTCTGCCTATTACAGAATATACACTCTACCGCGCTACCACCATCGGGAGCGTTTTCCCTGCAGGGTCTAGGCTTGGCATTGGGCGGATTAGGCCCAGGCAACGCTAAAGAGCCGAGTTAGAAGAATGCCTTCAGGGCAACTTCAGGGGCTATGTACATTGTTGAGTTTATTCATAGGTAATTGCCCTGATATGACGGATAAGATTTCGTAAACGCGATGTCCCAAATTCGCCCATTTGATACCCATCGACACTTTTACTAAGTACTTACTAGGTAGTTGTACACGCAACGGAGGAGCCGCATGATATTCTAGTTTCTTGTTCGGCACCCAAGCTATTCGGCTGGCAAATGGTTAATCATCGCATAAAGTCACCCAAGTGCCAAGGCCCATGTCGACAGAAGTCCCTTACGAAACTTCATCGATAGATATGTAGATAAATTTAATTCAAAAGATAATCTTTACACCCGTGGAAGCTTACCTGATAGCGGCAGGCACACAAGGGGTCTCGAGAGTTGGAGCATTATTCAGGATCAGTGAAATTCGCTTGAGATCGATCAACGGCTTCAGGCTCGTGATCAGTCGCTTTGACAGTGACTATCCATGGTATTTGGTGGCTACGCCACTCGACTTGTCCGTGGTATTAGGCTTGTCTCGAACCCAATCGGCCCGTCGGATAGGAGCCTGGTCAGTAGATGATATGGACTGATATGGATCCGAAAAGATTTGATTGTCTAGACAAGATTATCTTCCTCCCAAGCACGAGGCGAGATAAGAATCGAATGATATGGTGAGTGACGTCGAACGTGACTCGGATACGCGATCAAGAAGGATCAAGGATATATTGCATCTGATTATAGTTGCTGTGAATTTTGAAGCGGGTTTACATGGGGGCGGAGAAGACTAAAGTATCGCCTGCTGCATGAGATGTCAGCTACTGGATTTTACCGGTGCAATGCAGGTCGTCTTGAAGCCTTCGAACGGCGCTGGGCTTTGGCGCGGATGTTATTAGCATGTTATAGGGGAAACGTGCAGCGAAGCGTCATTGCGGAGTTAACATTACGGTAAGATCGGAAGGCCGGTAAGTAACCACACTGGCAAGTGTTCCTGCCCCTTTGGATCCGAGTGGCTGACATGTTAATTCAACATGCGAAAACTTGAAGGTAAGCACAGCAAGCCTGTACGCGAATCGAGAGGTGTGACATTCGTGTGCCACGGTATTACATGCTGCACAACATGAGGATAGTTGACGGGCTTCGTGTGACTCAACTTGACCGGTCGACCTCCTTAGCTAATGAGGCCGAACAGTGGGGGATCCCCGGGAACGTGCGACCCAAAAAAGGCAGGTGTCCAAGGATGCACGGTGGCATCGTGCTCACTGCCTTCTAGTAGTGCCTCGGCCCAACTGTGTAGGCTGAGCTACCACGCACCTTGTGGTGTTACAACGTCATTCTGTGTGTTATATGCTTTACGCCCTTCAAACCTTCGTACATTGCAGAATCATGCAGAGCTTGAGAAGGATTGACGAAGAACCGGAGGTCTGAGCATGGCGTTTCGAATCATGTGCACTGACGTTGGCAATCACCTTCACTTTCTGGCCTAGAAGGCGACTGTCACTTATGCTTCCAAGCCCGATGCGATGCGCTGTGATCGCATTCAAGCGCTCATATCTGTAAATCGGTCTTCGAGTCATCATCTCGACCTCTTTCCTGTACACAGAATACTACAGCCCACAGAGCTCAACTCCGCTATTAGACCCAGCGAACCCTGTTGTCGCTGCGTTGACCGGTGTATAAACCACTATATACGGTTCCTACACCAGTTGTAGTCGTCGAGGTACCTTCTCGTAAGCGTCTTATTCTAGCCCCGCCAATTTCATTCTAATTTTCCAACTAGTACAAATCCTCCCTCCAGGCTCTTTTCTCGCGACGAACAAGGCGACACGTTTCATTACCTCTTCTTCCTGGTTGACTTCGCCAAAATCATCAACACTTACTACTCTGAGCACCAGCTATCTAACTATTTATATATATGACCATCTAGATATGGTCCTCGATCCGTCTTGCAACCCTGTTTCATTCCTCGTTCAACGAACACCCACAGACTCGACGACGACCAACCCAATTTTGCCTTCCATCCCTAATTTATTCAGTGACGGGCCCATTAATGCGGGCCCGTTGTCCCCGATACCGTTGACACTCCAGAGCTCGAATACATTGAGCAGTACTGATTCCCAACCGACCAACAACGTACTCGGGAGTTCTCAGTTTCTGACATCGTCACAAGCATTCACAACATCTAGTGCGATGGCTTCTCAGGTGCGTACGATATTTCATCGTCTGTGTCCGATCAATGACATTGGTTCCATACGTTCTTCGCTTCCATCATGGGAATCATGCACGTTGCATCTCTCTCCCACTTCTGACCATTAACCCATTCACCACTCTCCTCAACATATATTCTCGTTTTATTTGTTTACTATTGTGTCTTCATCAACATTACACTTCCATTTCGAATGTATCATTCTTGATCCCCGTTGTCTATTCACTTCACTATCGTCACTTCAGGCAAATATCTATCCTTCGAATGCTGGAAATGGTTATCTGCAACAGACCTCCACTCCCTCTCCGACAATCGTCAGCATTGGATCTCAACCGCTGTCCAGCCCAGTGTCGTCCAGTTTGAGGTAGGTCCTACCGAAACTATCTGGGGCATGTTCATGCAACTTCGCATTCACAGTTCTTCCTCGTCTATTGCAAATTCCGGGACAACGGGCACGAGTACTGGGCCAAGTTCAAGTACGCCCTTGTGGTCTTCTTTGAGGCCAAGTTCTGACAGTTCGTCCTCTGGTTCATCTTCTCTGATATCAACATATACACTCTCGCCATTATCGTCTACACCTACTATGACATCTTCAACATCTACTACACCCGGGTTTACTCCATCTCCCATTTCACCCATTTCTCTTCCCTCTACTTCGTTGTCGTCGTCTTCTTTAGCAACGACAATATCTACTTCCGCAGTACTCTCGACTTCCGCTTCCACAAGCTTGTCGTTGGCAAACCCATCTTCGTCATCGGGCACAGCCTTTGCATCCAGCTCTTCTCCGGTGTCCATCTCGGGAAGCACGAGCACTCCACTTCCCACCACGTTCATTATTTCCACTACCGAGGTTGACAAATATAGCACCACGTTAGCCAATACTCCGTGGACATCGACGCTGATTTTGACTTCCGTCCTGTCGGGTCATCCTACCACCACTTGGACGACGGTAACGAGCGGGGTGCTCAGTACCGCAGAAGTAGATACCACTGGGAACAGGTAGGTTCTTCGCCTTCGTGGCGTTGCTATAAGGTCACCTGCTTTAATTGTGCTAATGGGGATCTTCGCAGGTTCTCCCGTTCCCCTGGTTCTATTGCTGGTCTTATCCTAGGCATTCTCGGAGCTGCTGCCTTCGCTGTTCTCTGGCTTTTCTGTGCTCGTCGCCGACAGCGCAAGCTATCTCGTGATGCGAGCGCTATTCCTCCATGGGCGCCTGGCGGTCCACTTGAAGCTGAAGTAGACATGGAGGAGCGTTACGCTGGGATTATCGCAGCTCTTAATGCGGGAATGGGCGCGGGAAGGAATGCCCAAATTGAAGGAGATACGAGTGGAGAAGTATCGGGAGAACTGGCAATTGGGCGCTCCCCGTCCCCCACTCTCCCTCCATATTCACTTCCAGCAGAGGATGATGACGGTCCGCATGTCTTCCCATTATCTCCGCCGCCGCCTCCATCCGCATACTCCACTCCCCCGCCACCGTCCGCGTATATTCCGCATGTTTCTAATGGTTCACGAAGAAGAAGTTCGCCTGGGCCTGATGCTTCTGCATGGTTTGGGGGGTATAGTGTTGCTCCTGCTCCTTCGGCTGCATCACATCACTCTTATTCTTCCACGCACTTCCTTACCAGAACCGAAACCGGAACTAGGACGAGGACTGGGAGCGAGGAGCCGCTCTTGACGAGAGCCGGAAGCGGATCTTCTTATCTCGATTTTGGCAATAAAGTTAGGTTAGGGTCAGCCTTCGGCTCACCTGAAGGAAGCATGAATAGCCATTACCTTCCACCTACGTCACCGTCTTCTGTCATGCTGAGTGCGACTACTTCTTCGTTCGACGCTCTGCGGAGTATTTCGTCTCAGGGTGCACTGCGGAGTACGTCTTCGCACGGGTTTGGGTTTGGGTTTGGGAGTACCTCGTCTGGTACTGGATCACATCAGGGACCTGCGCTGGGACTTGCGATTAGTGCAGCTCCGATTAGTTACAAGAGCAAGCACGTTACGAGGTGGAAGAAAGGGAAGCGAGAGAGCACTGGAAGCAGCACTACTGCATCCGCATCTCTATCTGGCTCTGTGGACGAGAGACCTTTTGGCGTACGAGCTCTCCTTGGTCGTCTCAGACGGGGCAATACGCCGAGCCCTAAGGCAGACTCCTCAAGAGAATTGCCTAGAGACATGGAGAGCGAGGGAACTACCGAGAAGATGGATGCTTATGGCCCGAACACTACCTCGCAGGCCTTCTCGGCCTTTGTCTCCCCTGCCACTCCCGAACCTGCATCGGTATCAACATCCCCGCGATTCGTCCTGTCTAACCCAGATCCACGGCCTCCCTCACCATATGTTCATGTCGACGTGACAGAACATGAGGATGGCTTGCAGCCACCCTCGTGGCCATGGATTACAGTGCAATCAAGTTCTCCTCCTGCGCCCACTCACGAGTCACACCTTGCTACGGCTGATGGACTTCTTGACCCTCGCCTACGCGACCCTGTCGAAGGAAGGAGCAATTCAAGTTTACGAGATTTTGAAGATTACTCACGACCAATCGGGGGTGTAAGTATTACCTTGCTTTAGCCTCGTTCTTTCCTGTCCGCTCGCTGTATGGCTTACATTTTATCGTATAGCTCATCAACAACCGAATGCATAGTACCACAACATTTTGCACTATCGATACCCAAGATTTCGACAATGGAACAGCCGTGCAAAATCGAGAGGACGATCAACAAGAGGATGCTTATGCGGCAGTGACTCAGGCATCCCATGCAAGTTGGATCATAGATGGTGGCGCGGATGTCCACGCGCGTTAAGACGAACGAATCTAGATTGTTGTCATATAACTTTATGACAACTCTTTCTTTGCTGAAATGTTTATGAAATGACGAAATGCTTTCGCTTTGCCAAGATACATACGGTATGGATTCTAATTGACATCCCTGTCTGTTACTGATGAGACGAACGTATCTACAGACCCACACGACACACAATAAACTATGACGCAGAGCACTCATGATCTCTCATCTGTACATGCCGCACCATTCCTGACATATTATGCTCATACATACCCTACGGGCCCGCTCGCGTCCCGTTGTACCATATAATGACGACAAGATCAAACGACATTGGCATCATTTTTAACTTCCTCCCCTAGACTTCCCAAGCCGACTTTGGTATGTGGTATATTTCCTTTGATTCGAGTGATTTCTGTTCATGACGCAATTAGACTTAGGGAAAACACCTTAATTTTGCATTTCATCATGATGAAAGTTGTCTTGGACCTTACGGGTGACACGACAGTTTCGTTTTATATTTCGCATTGTCGCATATCGCTTTCGATACCTTTGCTTTCATCTCCGCCAACTACCATCTTGCTCACTGAGCTTCTTAAGCACTTTTTTTGTTTATTGTCGTTACTGTTTTCTTTGCATTTCTCTCCTACGGTAACTTGGCCAAATTGATCATGAATCTGAATCTTTTGAGTGGTAATGGGGTCGACTGAGTGTTGCGCTTGTTGTGGGAGTCTGATAGTCATGGCGTAGGGAACTTGCTAATATGAAGATTGCTCGGTAAGATAGAGTGCCTGAAATATGAGCAAATTCGATTGCTGACCGCCGCAGCTGGTATCGAGGGATGCGAGATCGGACTCGTTTGAATTTTTCGTCTGTAGGAGTGCAGAAGTGCGACGTTGGAGGCCTGCCGGGAGATATATATGCCGCTTATCATGATGTGTCGATGGCGCAGAAACGGAAGGCCTATGAGATTAAGTAGGGCCAGCCTGGACTTGACCCGAATATAAGGATGGCGAATGTCCAGACGCCGGGGTTTTGAAAGTGCTGGGAGCAAGATTGGTGATCAGTGTATTGAAGGAGAAGACATGAAACAGGGTGACCGCGTTCCTTCTATAACAATACAGCCACTGCTTGCCTCGTGTTCAAACGTTCAAACCCTTGTCGACTTGTAATGTCCTTCAAAGGCTTCAAGTATGGAACGAATCGTTTCAGTGTTCGTGGTTTCCTGGCAGCGATTTTCCATCCTTTCATGAATTGTCCTTCCGACGTCCCTGGTGTGTTCACCTCGGGAGACACTAAGATCGACGTAGCACAATGGCAGACGATCCTCTTGGGAAGCGATCTTTCTTCCCGATGCGAGCTTGAACGCATTGTCTACTGCAAATGTACAGCCGGCAAAGAACATGAATTTTTACTCCTCCACTTTCGTCATCCTATACAACAAGACGCCGTCGCGATCCTTGTTTTGGACCGTATCCCAGGTACAGATTGTACAGAGAACAATAATGGCTCGTCAAGACAGACTATGCAGTCATCATACATAATCTCGCCATCAGTCTCTCCAACCCCCGCTCGCGATTCCATATTCACTACCCCAAACAACGGCTCTGCCATCGAAACCTACCTAACCGGAACATATGACCGGTTCAAGCGCCTTTCTTACCTCGACTTCACCCCTTCCGCTCGTCCCTCAGCAATTCAAGTATCCGTTCTCTTGTCTGCTCTCAGCAAACATTCCCCAACATATAATCTGTACCAATACCAGTGTTATTGGTATGCGCATACTGTCTGGGAGTCCCTCAAAAGGCTCTTCCCTGACTGCCACGAGACGACGCAGAGCGGGGGGCGCTCTCGTTATCTCGGGGTCAAGATAGAGAAGGCAGACAGTCTGGAGGTGGTATGCGAGCAGTACCACACCCAGTGGGCGCGCATCGAGAATGCGGCAGAGGAGAGGAGGAAAGCAAAGGAAGATGAAGTGCGACAGGTGAGGTTCCTCCCAGAATCGTTACGTCATTCACTCATTTATGTCTACAGTTGAGGATGGAAGGACGGACTGAGGAACGGGCTCGATGTCAAGCGGAGATCGACCAAGCGACGAGGCAAAAGGAGGAAGCACTAAGGAAAGCAGAGGAAGCGGAGAGCAGAGCAGAGGAAGCGGAGAGGCAGAAAGAGGAAGCAGTAAGGGAAGCAGAGGAGCGGGTAAGGTTCTTTTCAGAATTCATTGCGCTATTTACTCATCTATTCTCGCAGGTTAGAGCTGAATGGCAAGCAGAAATAGACCGAATGCGAGCTCAGTACGAACGCCAGGCAGCGTGATACTGGTGTAACTATTGCTCTCATTTCCTCATCGTCAACGTCCTCATCATGATTAGACTCAATTGTAGTGTACATTAGAGCATATCAGAATCGACTTTCCTGTCTCAGACTCCGTTCGATCAGCAGGGCTAATTCTCATCGACATTACTGGTAACACGAAAAATCCCTCCGCTTTCAAGGTTAGGGCGCATTGCAATTACAAGGTATATAGTCGTAGATGAACTGCAATCAGTCAGCCAACCGTGCAGCACGCGGCTAGTTTGAGTCACAGAGGAGCAACCGTGCCAAGGCTTGTCGTCGTTACTCATCATGTTTTATTAGTTTGTGGACCGTCGATCGTCGACGTACTGACCAGTGACATCCCAGCAGTATAACAGAATGTCAATTTTGGCTGCTGTACCCTCTCTCGGATAGTGGAATTTTGCATCGTGGCTGATGTCCTCACTGTGCGAGGTCGAAGAAGACCTATATTCAATATTCAGTACTGCGATCATTCCTACAATGATTCAAATGAGCTCAGCCAACTGTGTACTCGATAGCCATGATTTATTTAACTAGACATAAACATTGGATTCGAGATGTATGTAGGTAAATGTACTCGACGCAAGAGCTCCGAACAACTAACTTGTGCCTAGTAGAGTTATGTAGGGATAGCATGTCAATGCAGCGACTGATTGGTGGATGCGGTCAATTTAAACGAACGGATAACGGATCTGATGGGTGAGTGATACGTACTATAATAAAAACATATCAATGGAGTTGAGATTAGAAGGGTGTCGCAGGGGTGTGAGAGCATGGGACATCGCAGGAAACATAACAGTAGGAAAAGAGGTATCGCACATACAAGAAAATAAATCAAGAAGGATATGAAGATCGTCGATGTCGCCGGCAACTTATGAATGACGCGCAGGGCCCATTGCCCGCCGAACAGGATTGTCCCTCTCCACAACAAACGCCCCAGCGCGCAGGCCTTCCTTCGAAGCCAGGCGCTGCTTGCTGTCTTTCTCCCTGCATTCACGTTCCTCCCGAGCATGCTGCAGGAGCTCAAGACGCTCAGCACCTTTATCAGAGCCATGAGGCTTGGAAAATACAGGTTCCCGTTCTGTGTCATCTGCGATGAATATATTCTTGCGGGAACCGGTGCTCGCAGTACTTTTCTCGCCCTCGGATGCGCTGGCATCTGAATATGCAATCTTTGCACGTTTGACACCAAGGGAGCCGTTCGGAGGAACGTCTTGGCTGCGGTCACGAGGTTTGCGCTTAAGCTTGTCGGCGAAGAGCCGGCGGGGGGCACATGCCTCAGCCACTTCAAAGTCTGGATGATCGATCGGCAGTTTAGACGCCTCCAGAACTTCAGGGGCAAGATGATATTGGGGGTTATGGAAGGTCGCTTTTTGGCCCCGGCTAATGAAGTCATCAGGAGGCAGATAATTTTAAGAACTAGAAAGACGCACAAGACATATGTTATGGTTGGCTTCTCTTCAAACGCTGACGCTGGAGTTGGCGTGCTTTCACGCTCGGGTGCTTCTCCGACGGGTAGTTCATCATCGCTGCTCTCCCAGCCGCTTGCCTTGGATACGCTTGCTTCGCCCTCGCCAGCGAGGAAAGGGTTATCAGGAGAGTCCCGAGTAGGCCATATTTTCTTAGCTTTGGAATTCGAGGGGGATGGTAGCGCACGAAGGAAGAGCCTGCGGGGAGGTGTTACGGGTGGCTTCGGTAGAAAAAGTGCAGGCGGGGGTGAACGCGAGCGCTGCACTGATGATGCACGAGGTTGGACTTGGGGTGCTCTGCGGGAGGGAGGTGGCGAAACGGGCTCACGGACACGATACTTCAACAGAGCAGGCGAAGGTGACTTGTCCTCTTCCGTATCCTCCACTGCAGATGATTTTTTACGCCCGTGAGACGCTGCGCCACCACTACGACCAGTCCAGAACGAGTTCTCATCATCTTCTTCGTCATGCGCAGGAAGGACGTCCGTGGTTCGGCGCCTTTTGCTCCCCATGAGCGCATGCCCCTCCTTTTCCCCTGCTAGTTTCATCTTCACTTTTGGTGTGCCTTTCAGCGATGCGAGAAACGTAGCTTCCACCAAGGTCGTCCTCGAGTTCTGACGCGCTGCCACTGTCCTCTGACGCGTGTCCAGAGGTCGCTGGGACTGCTTTTGCACGAGATCGCTTGTGATGTGTTCTGGGAGGGGTAGGAAGCGATGCCAGAGATGCAGAGCGTTTTAAGGGTCGTGAATGAACTTCTGTATCGTGAATAGAAGGAATGCGTATGGGCGATGAGTCAAGTATCTGATAGCTTGACATGTTTCGAGATCAAAATCAATCAAGATGGAAAATATGAGTTATGCAAGAGATAAGATGGTGGTGGTTAGAAAGAAAGAAGTGATCAACTACGACGTTTCAAACCGACTACCGCGGGTCCACTTTCACGAAAACAACGCCACGAAACAATGCATATAAACACATACAAACAAATGTTCTTGTCCACAACAAATTTGGTTTCGCCGAGCCAGCCGCCGTAGTAACTGCAGAACGACTGCCTCCCTTCTATATCCAGGTACTCCAGCGAATTTTCACAAAGGTGAAACCGAATTCGCTCGAAGTGGGATGAACTTGACGCAGTACTATTTATAACAGAAACTTGACTTCGGTGCGAAGACCACGAGAAACATCGTCGATACATGCAGTCTAGACGGGAGGGAGGTGGCTGCGGATCGATGATCTCGATACTAGGTTCGTGTGTTCAAAATTCAGTTACGATAACCGCAATGATAGTATAAGACCTATGGTATCCGTTCGTGGCGAGAATCTGTGACTTCATCTGTTAGCTGAAGTACGGACTGGTCGAGTCTCCAATTTCAATATCGAAATAACTATGGTGCAATTAATTCGAACGAGGAATTCTCTCAAGTTCTCCACCCAGAGGGAACCCACCGCGACCGCGAATGAAGCGGTGGCGAACAGCACTTCTCTCATCGTCGTCCAGCACTGTGGGACGTTCATTTCAATCAAGCATATCATTATGACTTGGACAGCAAAGTAACTCCTGTTGTCTTCAAGTTCAGGTTGATTTATCAATTTTCATGGCACTCGCGAGGTACTGATTAGTTCGTCTCTGCTGTCCTTGCCTCCATTTCAATGATGCCTAGGCGTTATTGGAGCCAAAATTCCCGGTTTTCCCGTCTTTCACCACATTCTCTCGTCTCGTCCAGATGTAACTCCTATTGCCGTTACCGCAGATGCCGGTCCGCGTGGCAAGAAGACTCGATGGGTTTGGAGAAAACTCCCATGCAAGACGAAGACTGCTAGCTTTTGGAACAGGTGTTCATCCGTGTAGATAACATGTTTGCCGAATCATATAATAGTACAGGAGTTATCACAATTGAGGAGCACGGCAGCCTCTTCGGGGGATATTTTTGGATTTGCTAGGGTACGGATAACCGTAGATACTGCTGTTGGAGAGAAATTTTTACCGTAGGCTTTGATCGCAAGTTGCCAGTTAAAACGTTGACATCTTAACAACTGGCACAAGCAGTACACTGGGGGTCGTAAGCATAAGCATGGATAAGCATAAACCGTAAGCTCCCAGGTGTGAGGGTCCCTATTCAGTGTTGCGGCGCTGGTCACCTGGGTTGAAGACACAGTTGCTGTAGAATTGCCTTTTGTGGACACCTTGGACAAGCGTTCAATAAGTACTAAAGCTTTCAAGTTGGAACTTTATCATCTGAACATCCCTAACGCTCAGCTCTCTTTGCGCGTACATCGTGATGGCTTCGGGAAGCCCAGACGACTCTGGTAGGCAAGCCACCCTTCCCTGGACACCAGGTGACGTGTCCGAGAGTGCAACCGAAGCTCTTCAAGCATTGGACACTTACAAGAAGAAAGATCCATCCAAAGGTCAGCGCTGTAGCATTGGTTTTAGATGAGTGCGTCTATATTGATAAACCCAATACATAGTGGTTGTTCGCTTCAAGGCAGTCGGTAACGCACCGATCATGAGGCAGAACTTTTATAAGATTACTGCCTCCAACCGTTTCCAGGCAGTCATACAGTTTTTGAGGAAGGAGTTGGGCTGGAAAGCCGGAGATCCACTGGTAAGAATTGATGGCTTATCTTTAACTTTGAGCTAACTCGTTCCAGTTCACATACATCAACCTCGCATTTTCTCCCGCTCCTGACGACACAGTGTCGAATTTGTACAAGGTAATGTGCCTAGTTCTTGTCGCAGAACATCTCCTGATGCGGTTGTTGAAGTCATTCGCTACAGAAGGACATCTGATAGTCAACTACAGGTTAGTTTCTAAATAAGTTGCGTGCACAGCATATTGATACGAGTGGATACTGTTTAGCACGACGGCGGCATGGGGGTAACACTCGCTAAACAGTGACATCTTGTATTTTTTGCGCACAATTGTGTCACCGCTCAACCTTACACTCGCCACAAGTTAATACAACTTATTCGTTCGTTATTCCTGTTCGAGGACCTATGGGCGACTCTCATATATGAGCATGATAACTGACAAAAAGCCTTCGTCAACATGCGCGATCTTAAAAGATACTCCGTCTGTACATTCCTCCTGCATATGCTTAACATTTTGCGATACCATACTGGATGACGAAATTCTAGGACTGGGCTTCAGTGAAACTGGTGCGCAGCGATCGAAAACAGATACTATGACTCCATTCCATTCGAAACCCCTAAAGTATTCACCTCAAGGAAGCGCGCGGGTCAGAATACGTCTGGGTCGCCCCAGATTGCTTTACTATGGTGTATGTCGCAGATGTTGCAGACGAACAGTGCGTGACGAGATTATGGTATTCCCCCGGGGTGATAGAAGCCCCAGGAGGGTAAATGCGGATGGCCTCTCGTATGCATTCTGTGAGATACGGAAGGGACTGAGCTTTCATGGAATCCAAGGTTCAGCGTCGGCCTCAGGGACTCGCAACACTTCCTGTCTAGTAGTATCCTGAGCATATAGAACAATAGCCAAGTAATATACCGACGAAGAGACTGCACCTGACGTCGTGTCCTGTCTTAAATTGCGCTGTTAGTAGCACGGATGCTACTGAATTCAAGTTGGTCGCATACATGCCCGGCTAAGAATAGCGCTGTCATGTTATCGAGAAGTTATTTTTGGATAGTTCTAGCCTTCTGGGTGTTTCAGTCAGAATCAGTAATGTCTTCGCCTGGTTTCGCGCCCTTTGCATTGACGAGTTTGTCGGACCCCTCACATAGACGGTCTATCCATCTGATCACCTTCTGCCTCTGGAAGATCCGCCCGAGGAAAAGCACAACGAGGTACAGAGGTTCTCAGATGTTATGCATCATCCGATGATAATCAGCAACAAATTATGATTCCGTATGAGTGAAATTGAAGCTATGCCAAATGAATGCGTTCGATGCGGGGCACTGTGTAAACTCAGACCGACGGGCGGTAAAAAATTGCCCAATGACTTGATGATCTGAAATAAATTGCGGGTAAGAGAGGTAAAAAGATCGATGGGAAGAGCAAGTCTGAAGACTTCATTCGCAATAGAGGATTTGTCTCTCTAGTCCTCTCCGTTCGTAAGGATCACGTTAGAAAGACCCGTGAAGCAACAGAACGCGGATTCCTTTGCAGGCTGCTGCTTCGGAAATTCGTACATTCTTGAACTTACCTAGCACCAACACCGACCAATGCTGGAGGCTAGGAAAGCGTGAATCCAAGGAGAAAGGATGAAGGACCAATTCCAAATTCTGGTTGGCAGCGACTCGCACACAGGCCACAGCATGTCTTCTATGATCACAGTCACGGTGCAACAGAGTGCGGCCAGTTGGCTCCAGTTGGTTGGTGGGTTTTAGTTTGACGTTCCTGAATTCGGAATACTTTTGTGGTAGTAACGCAAATCGCGGGATTACAAGACATGAACTCCCGGCTGTCCGATTCGTAAGTGGTCAGAATTTATAGATTGTGTAGTACGTCAATTTCCTCACACTCATTCAGATACCGATGACCAACCAATCATGGAGAAGCATCTGCTGGAAGCGCTCAGCAGCAAACGGTTAAATTTCCCATCATCCACGAAGTGTATTCTTCCTGTCGTCGTTTGGTAATATGCAGATTATCGGAGAGAGACATTAGCGACGTACGTAAGGAATCGGATGTCCAGAACTTTCCAAACATCCAACATCATAAAGACTCTGATTCATTATGGCCAATGACCATTGTGCATTATTCCCTATCTTCATGTATCGCCGTACGGCCCCGACAGGGTTGGTATCTTTAGATTAGTAGTCAGTCTCCCGAAAGGTCTCAAATGCGACGAAACCAGGTCCGACTGAAGGGTTCTCAGTGCCGTGGCTACCACGAGGTGGCTCATGTACGAGCGTGTAAGCCGGGGGACGCTTGCCAGAATCATCCTAGCAACAAGAGCCACAGCATCTCACTAGCTTGCACTGGTGAGCGAGAAAAGGGCGAAAAGGGCTGGATTTTCTCTCATTTCCAATAGTCTGTGAGTGGTCTGTAAGCACGTTTATAGTTCCGCACGATCTACCAATGAGAAGGTTCCGAAAAGTTCCCACGGCTGCGATGCGATGGGTAGGGACAACTGACGTATATAAGGTGGCGTCATATGTGAAAGATCAAGCAAGCTATCTGTGACATACTTTCCTCCTAATCCACTATCATCATGAGCGGAAGACTAGCTTCAGGTATGTCCATCAGCACTTTGAAGATTTTATCTCGCGTCCCCCTCACCGTGATCCTACAATCAGAGTACAGTACCTGGAAGAAGCTCCAGCAGACGTATGACGTCCAACATGCCAGACTCATCCTGAAGGATCTTTTTGCTCAGGATCCCAACCGTTTCTCGAAATTCTCCGAGGAGTATGTGGACCCAACCGACAAGAACACGACGTTCTTGCTCGATTACTCTAAACACCTCATTACCCAACCCATCTTAGATACGCTCCTATCTCTTGCTCGCGAGGCAGAGCTCGAGACATACCGCGATAAAATGTTTGCTGGCGAGCACATTAACACATCAGAAGATCGCGCCGTCCTTCACGTTGCTCTCCGCAACTTCGATGATTTCAAGATCCAGGAGGCCTGGTGCTGATGAAGTCGCTGGCGTGCTCGCGCACATGAAGGAGTTCTCCGAAGCAATCCGGAGTGGTTCATGGAAGGGCTACACTGGAAAGACAATCAACACGATCGTCAATATCGGTATTGGTGGTTCTGATCTCGGACCAGTTATGGTCACTGAGGGACTCAAACCTTACGCAAAACGCGACCTGACCGCCCACTTCGTCTCTAACATTGACGGAACTCACATCGCTGAGACTCTCAGACTCTGTGACCCCGAGCGCACCCTCTTCATCATCGCTTCCAAAACGTTTACCACCCAAGAGACTATCACCAATGCCGAATCCGCTCGCGACTGGTTCTTGGCCGCAGCCAAGGACAAAGCCCACGTTGCAAAGCACTTCGTCGCTCTCAGTACGAATACAAAGGCTGTCACTGCGTTTGGCATTGACAAAGCAAACATGTTCGCTTTCTGGGACTGGGTTGGTGGGCGCTACAGCTTGTGGAGTGCCATAGGCTTGTCCATTGCCATCTATATTGGCTATGATAACTTCGAGCAGCTCCTGAAGGGTGCTCACGGTATGGACAAGCATTTCAAGGAGACTCCCCTCGAGAAAAACCTTCCTGTGCTCATGGCTGTCATTGGCGTCTGGTACAACGATTTCTATGGTTCCCAGACTCATGCACTCCTACCATACGACCAGTACCTCCACAAATTTGCTGATTACTTCCAGCAAGGAGACATGGAGTCCAACGGAAAGTTCGTTACCAAGGGCGGTCAACGTGTTAACTACCAGACAGGGGTAGGTGTAATAGACCTTTTGAGCGGCAGAAACTGACATGATATCGCACGTAGCCTATCATCTGGGGTGCTGCAGGCACTAACGGACAACATTCGTTCTATCAGCTAGTGCACCAGGGCACGAAACTCATCCCCGCAGATTTTATCGCCCCTGCCACAAGTCACAACCCCATCGCCAATTCCAAGCATCACCGTATCTTGCTCTCCAACTACTTCGCCCAACCCGAGGCGCTTGCCTTTGGTAAGACAGAGGAAGAGGTACGCAAGGAACTTGGCAATGGTGCAAGCGAGGCGCTGGTGAAGAGCAAGGTGTTTGAGGGAAACCGGCCTAGCAGCAGCATTTTGTTCCCATTGATGACCCCAAGAACCCTCGGTGCGCTCATCGCGTTGTATGAGCACAAGATCTTCACCCAGGGTGTCATCTGGGGAATCAACTCTTTCGGTAGGATTGCGCGCGGTTCTCGGTTTCTCGTTCGCTAATGGTGTTTGTAGATCAAATGGGTGTCGAACTTGGAAAAGTTCTTGCGAAAAATATTTTGTCGCAGCTGAACCAGCCGTCCGATGTGACTGGCCACGACAGTTCGGTGCGTTTATCTTTTCACACCCTTCGCTTTTTAGCTGAGGCAAAGGCGGCTTGCAGACTACTGGTCTTATTCACTACTACCAAAAGCACCGAAAAGAATGAATTGTGGTCTCAAAGCTGTAATTTTACGAGCAGATTGGAAAATGGTACCGAATTATTCTCGATAACAGTAGTTGAATGGGAGTGTAATTTTAACACAATTTCAAAACTGCCTATAGATAAGAGACAGACCTCGGCCGAATGACTCTGAGAGCCGCTGCACCATGATGTTGCGTAGACACACTCTCATTCCATCTATCAATGGCTTGTCTCATTGACGGTCCGTGTAGCACCATAGCTTAGTCGGCCACTCAGTGTCCTTCGGGCTTCTGTCGTAGCGTAGTACCCTTCACCATTTCTTGCCTTGCTCGCGACACGCAGACACACGGTCGCGGATACACCGCTCAAACGGACACCGCCCGCATCGATAATTCGCAACCTACATGCAGTATCATATCCATCACGTTGCAAGCAGCGAGATATATCACATCATTCTAATGTAACGTAATATTAGTTGGCCCCTGAGGCTATGATCGGTTCTCTATTTCACAACATCAAATGAATATCATAACGCGAAACTCTAACAAATCATGTTCCCTGACAAGTGTAGATAACCTGCAGTGTTTCCTCTGTTACGCAGATGAGTCAGTCGACTTGTGTGTGAGTTCCTGGAAAGCAATTATGCTCGTATCAGTTCCTTCGTATGAGTCTATCATGGCCTTGGCGTGATATTTTCGAACATTAAGGATGAGGCGTGGTCCTAGTATGAACATCTGTACAACCTGGGCAATTTGAAGAATGCCATTATAGACGTAAACTCCCAAGGCAGATGAATCCTGTAGAAATGATGAGGAATGGTTAAATGTAGATATCAACTACGGATAGCATACCCCGATGTTTGGAGAGAGACTACCGAGGTTCAGGCAAGCAACAGCAGCATATCTGGTACGCGCAAAACTTCAGCAGGACAAGACAGTAACATTCTGATCATGAGCTCACGCTGCAAAGTAGAATACATGTGTTTCGATTAACACTCTGAAGTAGTTCCCGAGAGTCAATCTTGCCAATGGCTGTTGCAGTTCACGGAGGTATTTTGCAACAATCCAGACTGCAAGACACAGTGTAGTAACCTCCCATGCAGTGGTTAGAATCCATGTGTCGGTTGTCAGACGCTGACTGCCTCCAGTAAAACCGCACTGATAGGTTCCGGAGAGAACGATCTCCACTTGTGTTTGATGAGACTACTGTACCAGTGAAGTCATTCATAAAGCTTACCCCCTGAAATACGGCTGCTTGCGGTAATCACTGCACATGTGACGTTGACAGCAAGGCAGAATACAACGAGAAAGACGAGCATCTTTCTGGACCCCTGATACATGGCATATAACCGGATGATCATGATGACTGGAATGATATTTCATACAAGTCAATGTCGCTAATAATTAATTCAGTTGAGTAGCTCACCGCCCAGCATGGCATTTACGACCACAGATGTCCCGCTTTGGAAGTAGTAAAGGATAGTGCCTGAAAAACAGCGAGTGATTTAGTAACTGAGTAACGAGCTTCGATACATCCAAAAAAACCCACAGCTGTGTAGTTGTTACATTCGTTAAAGCAACAAGTTGGTCGAAACTTTCACTCACCCCTGTGGAGAAGTGTATTTAGTTGGAGGGGAATGGTAGTGATTGCTACAGAATACTTACTGTATCTGTCAGCGAGACTGACGGGAGAGTCCCTGCATACTACGAGTCAAAAAAAAGACATAGTCTACTTATGAGACATACACAGCATGGTGACGCTGATTGCAAGAGATGGTTAATTAGTACTGGGCCAACTTGTCAGCCTCACACATACACAGGAAATATTATTCCAGTGCAACGCAGCTAGATTTTTTTGATGTCAGCATAACTTGCCAAATAATGTTTATAAGATAACTTACACTGAGATATAAGACAGTCATCAGGGACCAGTGTTTCCTCTGCCCCGAATTAACTTTCTTATCCAATTGTCCCTCCGATAGAAACTTTACTCACCCATACCAGTTCGATCTGTAAAACCGTTCTCAGTGAGATGGCTGTCAGAGCGTCAACATCAACCCACCTCTTGTCCAGACGTCAGTGCTGGTGGATGCCATAGGGACATCAACGATGTATTCGATAAATACTATCTTGCTTACCCCAATCGTACATTATAGCGGTAGAGGATGCAACTGCCAAATCGCAGTCAAAGATAAAGTGAGATATCGCCAACACCATCCGACTTGATCTCCACGAACCTACAAAATAGCTGTAAAAGCGAAATAATTTGATTTGCTGGCCACAAATTGGGATCGCTCGAGGCCATGGTCATATTCAAAGAGTTGATACCAGTGAGTCGCGAACTTGGACATATACCGATCATAGCGCATTCATGATTTGTGCTAGATATACTACCATCTGGCGCTTGTTGAAAGAGGCATTAATTATGCCCATTAGTACTGAGGAAACCGATCTCGGGCTTAAACTTGAAACAGGGGGATTTGGATATTTTGGGACCTGCAAGGCATGTGTATGCGCGGCAGTACTACGTATGCCACCAAGTATGGCATAGGCCTCGCAGAATGTTTGAACACCGTGAAACGAGAACCGCACCGACTCACTGAGGGTCTCCTAAAAAAAATTAGGGTGTCTTCGGACAAAGTTCAAACTGCTCCAAGTTAATGGTGCCACACTGTTTTCGGGTTCCATTTTGCACCCCGTCGAAGTACACGCCATCCAAATATATAGTAAAGCGAACACTATCTTCCATACATTTACGTGATCTACTTGATCAAGAGCTCCGTAATGTCCGCAGTTCCGAACACTTCAGACTGCAGCAGGATAAAGAGAATGTAGTTGGCCGATCCATTGCAATATCAGTCACAAAGAGGGAAAGATCAGTGGTCTTGTACAGCTTCAAGAGGAACGAGCCTCAGCCTTGAATGAACTGGCCCGGCGGCGGCTTTACTTGGATTCCTGAGTCAATCTCGGCATTTGGTTCCTGCCAAATCGTGAACAGCTTGTTATGAGAGAAAATTCGGACTCATCCGCTGCTAAAGGTACATGTCAGAGGGTGTTCTGGACAGGACTGCCGATAAAATTTTGAACGAGTACGCTTTGATAGCATGGCTGACTTTCTGCTCTTTCCTGAGGAATCCGATTTTGAGAAGAATCGCAGACATCGGCTCATCAGGGAATGCAAACTTTAGATCTAAGAGTGTGTACACTGGAACACGCATATATATGAACGCTTGAACTGTGTGAGGTTGAGTTTGTGTTCTACGTCAATTTGACGGGTCGGTGTGTGCTTATATAAGCATCGCGCAGAAGTTCAGATCATTTGATTGAGACGCGAAGTTATAAACCGCGTCTGGTAGAGTCGCTTTCTAAAGCACAGGCCAGGTAGGTATCGCAAGTCACCAGCAGTTGATGGGCTATATAATTTGCGCAGGCTAGCTCAACTCATACCGTCGAAGAAACGACCATCTTCCTCTCATCAGTGTATACAGATCGAAAACGATGGCTAATTCGTTACCTCCGGAACTATGGTCACATATTTTTGGTCTGGCCGCGGATGAGGATACAATCTTCTATCCTGGCCTTCCAACATCCATGACCCAGTCTTCTTGGGCTCGTTCTCTGGTTACGGATTGGCAACTAAGGACGCCTCGCGACTCGATCAACATGGTCCAGCGCAGGAGCTATGCTACTAAGAAGGTGTGCCACGTTCCAAAAAAATAGACAGTCATGTCTCATTGTAACTCTCTGTTAGTCGATCATATCAACGTGCCAATCATGGCGTCGTCTCGGCCTCGAGTTCCTCGTCCGCTATTTATTTTTCAATGACCCCTCGAAGCTCCGCTCTCTTACTGCTCTTCTCACTTCCAATCCCTCACTGGGGTGGTGGACACGCCGTTTGCATATAACACACTTCCTCTATGAGCGCGGTCCCTCCCTCGATGATTTCGAAGCCGCCCTCACATCTGTACTCGCCCAGACTCCCAACCTAGAGATTTTCATTGTCGATTGGCCTCTATCAAGGGCATTTGGTTCCATTGCAGACACGCTTGGTACGCATTGCAAGAACTTGCGCACTGCTCACTGGCACGTCCCTGCCGAACTCCTTCCCAAGGTCATATGGGCATTAGATGCCCTCCCACTCCTAGTTTCCCTTGCCGTTGAGTTCGATGCGCCACTCAAGGATTCTGACACGCTCACCTTGGGAAGCGCACAAGATGTCAAGCTCTACCTTCCAAACCTTCAGCAACTCATCCTGCGCGGGTACTCTGCTGAATTCATAGAACAGGCCAGCGGCTGGAGCCTCCCTCTTCTACGCAGCTTTTCCTTTGACTTTGGGAGCAAACATGAGGATGTTCCCGATGTGTTATCCTTCCTCGGCACCCATGGTACCAGCCTGCTCTTCCTTGACCTCAACTGTATCCCAGCACTCGATATCCGCACAATACTCGACCTATGTCCTCTCCTCACCGCTTTCTCTTTCAATCTCGACTGGAAAATCGCGCCCATCGCCCAAAACGCCGATGCAGGAGATGGACCCATCGTTTTAACTAATCGTCCACACGAGCACATCGCGCACATCGGGCTCCATGGGTTGCTTTTTGCGTTCGGGGTGGGCCTTGCTAGCGCTTATGCCACCCCCGACCCTCTTCGCTCTCTCCTTGTGCAGCGTACGAATGACAGGAATTTTGCAGCACTCACTAAAGCGAGTTTCCCCAAACTCGAACGAGTGCGCGTGTTGAGCCCGACGGTGCTCACGGACCTTGAGCGTGCGGACGGGCCGCAAGGGAGTGGGATGGAGCGCTGGGATAGGTGGGCAGGCATGTGCGAAGGCATGAGGATCCGTCTGGAGGACTGCACAGGTGCACTATTGGGCACATTACCTCAAGAGTATGAAGAGGACGAAGGGGACGAAGATGAGGAAGATGAACTTTTGGAAGACAATGAGTACTCTTACACGGATGAGGAGCCGGTCAGACCAGGTGGAGTGGGTTTGTCAGAACTGAGAGCGCTGCTGGAAGAATGTAGGAAGATGAGCGAAGAACGTGAAGAACCGCTGTTTACATTGGCGTATCAATAATTTTGGGACATCGGTGTTTTGTTCTTGCTTTGCTACTATCCATTGCCACTGATACTAGATCTCATGTGGTACGAAACACATGTGAGATCGCTATTCATATAGTTTATACCAATAGCTCATTATTATTTTGGTCCCGAGAAAATGCTATCCAGAAGGGTGGCTACTGTCATGACGCCCCGTCGTGTCCTTTCCCCTCTGGAGTCCGTGTCTTAAATGCCCCTCTACGCGCAACGTCCTCCACAATCCTTCTCGCTCGATCTACAAAAATGCTCTGGTCTCCTGAAAGCCGTTCGCGACCTACGCACCGAATTCAAACCGTCAGCTGTGCTATATTGAAAATTCGACGAAATGCAACACCCACCTACAATCGCCCAGTTCCGCGTGCTAGGTATCCGGAGCGTGTCGCACTCAATCTTCCAGCCCAACCACCGGCTCAAACGCGCAAGCCATATGCGATAGGCCGAGTATTGAGACTTGTGCGTGCCCTCAGCGCCCATACCGAGGCTGGAAATGAAGGCGGCTTCGTCCTCGGCCTCGCTTAACACCACACCAGTGGTAGCATCAAGCAATTTATTGTCAGAGAAATCGAGCGCTGACGCCGCAGACGAACGAGTGAACCTCTCATCGAACATCCATGCACAGCAGGGTATCGAGAGGTACCCACTCGCGCCCGTGAGTGTTGCCAGTACAGGGAGCCACGGTGTTAATTCGTCCGCGTGGTTCCCAATGAGGAATACCCCGGGCTTCCAAAAGGATTTCTCTTCATCGTTGCTGTTGTCTGGGGAAAGAAGTTGTGTGGGGTCAAGTGCGTGCACCTTGAGTGCTACCTGTGACGAGTCTGGGTAGTGTGCCCAGGAAGTCCGTGCGCGAAGATCGATACCACACCCCATATAGCCCTCAGCCGAGAGAATATGTGTCAACAAGCCATTGCCACAGCTGCATAAAGAATGATAAAGCCGAAAAAATGTATAATGTTGCAGGAAAACTCACCCAAGATCAAGGAAGCCTCCAGATGGACGAGGCCAGGATGTCCATCGCGAATCACCCAGCTCCTTCATGTCGGCTACATCAGCTGACGCAGCGAACGTGTCCTTCCAGAAAAGCATAAGAAATGTTGCGATGCCGATGTCCTAGGCAAATTAGCTGATATCAACTTTATACAGATGGCATCCACACCTCGAACACATGCTTCAAGGGATCGGTGGTCTCTCTCCATGTATTGACTATTCCTTTATGGCGCTCACGCATTTTGAGATATACGTCTTGATATACTTCTCGGGGTATGAGGACATCATGTTGTACGCGCTTCTGATAATGAGTAAGTGCACCCCAAAGGTAACGGTGGAGTGTGTCAAGGAGTGCAAGTGCCGTACGGTAGAGGCGACTGTTAGGATCGGTAGGTGTGCCTGGGAGTGGAATAACTTCAATGCGCAGTGCCGGTTGTGCAGAAGCTGAATCTGAGGTTGTAGTGATGTTTGAAGGGATGAACCGGAATGCAAGATGTGACACCGTAGGATGGTAGTAGGGTAAGCTCTCTCCTTCGGGTACAAGTGGTGTAAGGACCAACAGGGACGGAAGGCCGGCAAATTCACCGGTTTCGAACGCGTAAAGCGTACAGTGCTGCTCTAGTCCCAAGTCTCGACCTGGCCTGCGCGGTAGCAGCTTACGATGTACATTGCGCACAGGACAGTATCCTCCAAGACATGGAGCAGATGTTGGGATGGTAGTATCGGAGTCTGAGATGGTCTCTGAGCGCAAGATCAATGTCGAATTGTACTCCGGGTGATGAATCAATTGCGAAACAGCTGTCTCGAACTGTTAGAGTAAATCACATCAACATAACGGGAAGCACATAGCCTGTAGACTGCGCACGCACCAATTCAAGCGGGACATCTGCAGGACAGCTAACCAACGACTGGAATCTGAAGTGCAAAGGACTGAAATCTGAATTGTGCAGCGAAGGTACGTCATGATGAAGCGGACGAACATCATTAACACATGAAGAATTCGAAGGGTTGAATCTCGGTCGCTGGACTGAGGGTGCCGTAGCCATATGTATAGGCGAAAATTGGCAAGTGCTATAGCGTTACACAATGACTAGTAGTGAGTGATTGTGGCACTGATCAAGCATTATGCATCGAGGTTGTCAGGGTGATAGCTGAGCGGCAGGAACGTCTTGAGCAAAGGTCCTGACTCCTGGGGCAACTCCTGGTGGCGAATTAACCTTCCTTTGGCAAAAACTGGCGTGAGTCCGTGACTCGGATTCGCAAACCAACCCGCGCGGTTTATGTATGTCGGGATACATTAAGTCAAACTGTTATGTAAAGACACCTTCCTTATAAGTACTCCTCTGCCAGTGAGTCGTAGATTTCGTACATGCTATCATCTTATTGTGATCCAGAGATGCCAGTGCTGAGTGGTTGTGTGCACTGTACTAGCGTAACTCATGATCGGACTGTTGATGCCACCGCTTCAAGATCTCAGAGTCCTAATCAGTGGGTCACAGCCAGCCAGTCCTGATCCCAGGAGTCTTTGAATTTAATTGGATGCCAACGAGGGTATTACTAACTGTAGAGCTTATGAGAAAACCATGTACCGTGTAATAACGCAAGCAAAGCCTTTAATAAGTCTAGTGAATACTTAAAGGTCGAGATCGATGGGAGTGCAGCCAAGATTGATAAGGCCGTTCTGATATTACCCTACATGTCAGACTCGCATGGAACAGAAAACATTACTCGTAACTCACCATTTTGTTGTTGCTGCAGCACATAGATTTCTGTTTTCATTTGGCGCCAGTGCCAGTGCCAACGACAGAAATAGGACTAGGCAGCTAATACCAACAAAGTTAGCGACACCAGCAACTACTTGCACAGGCCAAGAGGATCTGCCGCCTTGTTGCATGTAGAAGTCTACATAATCATGAGGATCAGCGAATGCAAATAAAAACCCGTTACTCACAGTGGTAGAACTCTGACAGCACTGGATGTTACCCAGTGTTGTACCGGCCATCACAGAGACTGAAGGGAGTGGCAACAGCAAGGACCACCAGGGAAGCAATAGTGAAGAAACGAGCGAGCTCTTGTTGACTGGAATGGAAGAGACTATTGGAAGAGTGTGAGGGAGCCCGAAGTTTGAGAGATGGATAAAGAGGAGATGGATTCTGAAGAATCAAATGCATCGCAGTCCACCTTTTATACGATAAAAGCACACAACGACCCGGCTGCTCTGCCGTCTTTGTGACTGTTTCGATTCAACAGCTGACAAGCTGAGCGTGGTGCGTAGTTCGTGCGCGTGAATCTCAACCTTGGCTTGGCTCAACGCGGACGCGCTTCGACCACGTGATCCCATCATCAAATCCTCTTGATTTCATCATTTTCATGACCTTGGCAAGCTGGGATTCGCGAAGCCGCAAGCGCGACGACTGGAGAGAACCACAGATAATACAACGTCATTGCACGAAGCTTCTAGTTGGTCCTTGGACGCCGTGATATGCCATTTGATGTGGAATTGACTGGTTTACGCCCAGAAGCATGTTTTCTGTAAGTAGATTTTAGGCTCGTCCGAATCCATGTTATTTTTCTGAATGTCGTGCTTGAATTTTACAGCACCACTGGAATGGAGTAACATTGTAGACTTATGCCAAGTCTTGCTACGATAAATATGGCGAGAGCGCTGCAACAAAACTCAGAACTTCGACCCTCGGTTGATTAAGTCTCACCGAGGTTCGTCTAATACTAAGTAAGTAAGGACTCACGGCCGTCTTTGTAAATCTGAATCTTGAGCAGAGAATAACATTCATTTGGTAATCAGTGATTAAACTTCAAGATACCGATTCTCTTATTTCAATCGTTTTGGGTGAACGGAATGAGCTAATAGACTCATTGAATACCCCTAATCTTGCAATTCCTCCTAACTAGCTCGAACATGGCTGCCCCCCCAAGCACATATCAGCCTGTAGGCTCCGTTGCTCCCCACGATTATGTTTTACAAGATTCAACCGGATCGAAGGTATATCATATCTTGGTAGTGAACGAGTCTTTTCTGACAGCCCTGCTTCTCAAGCCAGTGCAACATGCTTCTGACGACCGGACCGCTCATCCCCAACCACGCCAGGAGCAGATGCAACCAACAGGGCAAATGAACGCTTCCGAGGTGCCACAGGAGGAAGGGAAACCAGCGGACCAGTGCGCTGAGCAGAGTCAAAAGAAAGAGGAGGAAGAATCCGGTTCGGGTTCAGGGCACCCCGGACAACAAGATCAACCCCGCAACTATTGGCATACTGGGCTGTTCAGTTGCTGGAATGATGCTGGGACTTGTGAGTCCCGTTCAATCTTACAAGAAAGTGAATCAATCCACAACCTGCTCCACAGATTGCATGTCGTGTTGGTGCCCTTGCATGGTATATGGGAAAAACCGGCGGCGGCTCGACCACTTGCAAGAAAACGATACGGCGGATCCGGAACATGGTGGTTCGGGCTGTGATGCTGACTGTGGCATGCATCTGGCACTCAGTGTGTTGTGCGGTTTTGGTTGGGTACTGCAGGTGAGCATATATTTTGTCGTTCTTCACAAATACATGTTAAGAAAGGTTACTAGCTCGGGCAAAGGGCCACGTTGAGAGCGCGCTACCACATTGACGGAAGCCCCCTCAGCGATTGTCTAACTGCATTCTTTTGCACCCCGTGTGAACTCACCCAAGAGAGTCGAGAATTGGCAGAGGAGGAAGTGGCTGCTTCCGATGCTGAGAGGCAGACTCATAACACATAACACGAACTGTCCATTTTGTGGTTCAATTAGTTGCTTACATTTATCTTGTTGGGCGATCGAAAATTCACAACTTGCTAATGATGTTGCCAGTCAACTGCTTCTAAGGCTTCGGGCTCCCTTTCCTTTCACCAGAATGTGGGCGTTTCTAATCAGCCCTTTTTTCTCAAAACAACCATATACATAGAATTGTACCATTTATTACGCCGAGAACTTGAAGTAAATTTTCAAGTCTCGAGGCTTCTGTCGAGTTATTTGTTTGGCAAAAGCCTTCGATCCAAACAACCTTGTGAAAATTGTCTCGATCTTCCATCGCCATGTCTAATGTACCGAAATGTCTATCGGGTTTCACTGTCATTCCAATTGCATATCCAAGTTCATCGCATTTCATCTATGCGAGAGTTCATGCCGCATCTAAATCCAAAACGTTCAAGCCCAACAATGTTCTACCTGAAGGACGCACGCTGTTCCTAGTGAACGTGCCACCAGATGCGACAGAGCGTGAGCTCATACTGCTATTCAAACACTGTGGGACAGTAGAGCGCGTCTTATTTGACCTCAACTCTACCGATGCTCTGGCAGAACACGCATCTGATTCTGACGAGGAGATGGCAGAGGCTGCTGAAAATCCTGATACTGAAGCACGACCTCGCAAGAAACGAAAACTCCAGACTTCTGAGCCAACGCCCCCTGAAGTGATACCCCTCCCTTCTTCATCCCTTCGCACACTGCGCAAAACCGGATCTTGTGCCCATCTCATATTTCTCGATTCTTCATCTCTTGCAAAAGCGCTTTCCTCCCCTGCATCACCTAAGCCATGGCCGTCATCGGAGGAGCCACGTGGTCTCTCTCACTATATGGCAAAATATGATAATGAGCGGCCTCCGCTAGATGCTATCAAAGCTCACGCAGACAGCTTTATGGAACGTTTCGAATTTGACCTTTCGAAGAGTAAGCAAGAGGCCAAGTACCGGAAAGGGGAAGCAATTATGGACGAGGACGGATTCACACTCGTTACTAGAGGAGGTGCTTATGGACAAACGCTTGGTGGAGGCGTGGGCGTTGCCAGCAAGAAGTTCATGCTCACTGGGCAAACTGGAAGTATAAGAAAGAAGGAGAAAAAGAAGGAGAAGGAAGTGTTTTATGCTTTCCAGAAGGCTGAAAAGCAACGGAAAGGTGAGCGTAAAATTATTTGCCACGAGGATATCGGCTCATGTGCCTGTAGCCTTGCTCGACCTGAAGAAGAACTTCGAGGCGGACAAGGAACGTGTAGAAAAACTGAAGGAATCACGGCGATTCAAGCCTTATTAATTATTTCTGCCATACATTTAGGGAGGTGGGTCTAGTATATCGCGAATGTGATCTAATGTAAGGGCCCGGAGTCTCTCGTTCTAACGGGCAAGTTGTCCCTTCATTCAGCGTCAGAGGGTGTACACTGTCAGTAATCTCCCTCGCTTGTGATTTTGAAACTCTTGACAGGCCGCCGACCTTGTGGGTCCCGTCGAGGTGGGTAACGAGCTATGAGCGAGTCACAATCGCACTGTCCAACAGTGCTCGTTATGTTTTACTCCATGCCTTCATTTTGCTGGCCCTGAGAAGACTAGAACTCGCGTATTGCGTTATCACCACTTCCAAAGTTTCGGGAGCGCCCATCCTCGGATAAGTTCTTTTCTCCGTGCCTTCTTTTGATGATACGTTCTCCTTCATTCACAAACAACCTTGCAGGAGACATGTTGACAGCGACATCATTCTGCTAACCCGTTTCTATAAGCTATCGGAAACGGTGAGACTCAATCGACCCCGTCCTAAGGGAAAGCCTATTCCCGCTTCGGTGAGGCACATCCATATTTGTCAGGGCTGGAAAACCTGTCATTGTTCTCCGATGATCACTCCCACAATTGCTGGATTCTCGCCACGGAGTTTTAGATGCAAACGCCGATTGATGCTTACTGTACCAATTACGTCACAGATAGCGCGGAGACCGGACCAGACGGGCCCCGCAGCGAGGGATGCTACGTCCTCAGCGCTCAGCTGCATCAGGCAATGCTCTTGATTAGCGATATGTCGCATTCCTTTCCTCCAAGCCTTGTGGTGAGTTAGTGACTTCCTAGCGACATTGCGGAATGCACATTCCGTGGGACACGGCTCCGCCCAAGGCCATCGTACTTTGTTTGACTCGGCAGACGAATGGACACACTAGTGTGTCTTTCACCGAGTCCTCATGCTACGGACTTCTTGCTTGCGAATTTGGCTCGGCTATCTTTTACGCGTGGTACAAACTTCCGTAGGGAGAATTCTATTTGTTGATGCGCCCATAAAAGCTACTTTTGGCATATTACTGGCAGCCCTTCACGTTACAGCAGTGACTACGCACAGGGGACATGACTCTGAGACACTCTCCTCCCCTTCAATGATGACGCCCCAACTTGCAAACAACATCTGAGGCACGTGAGCTTTCGGTTACTTTGCCTATAGACGCACCGCCAGAGCTCGAGAGTTCGCAGCACACCATTTTACGCTCCCATTGGAGTCGGTGTACGAATGTCGGGTCCCGCGTTTCATTGTCATATGGCTGCCGACGGACCCCGACGGCAGTATGTGATCACTTCCTCACGGGTGTCCATCGCTTACTTATCATACAAGACCAGACATCATGCTCAAACGTGTTCCCGCAATATACAACAAATCAGGCAGTCAGTCGCTTGTGAGCTGCTTGGTCATGATGGGTACAGATCACATTCGTGTGTGAGTTCTCGGGAGCGACGAACGTTAGGACGTTTGCACGTTGATGATGCGTATTAGCGATCTGACAACTGGCCATTATTATAGTGACTCAGTTACGTATCATACGTAAAGCTCCTAAGATCGCATCGCTTGTGTGCGGTAGATCCCCCTATCTGCTGTTCGAAGGCTTATTCGAGCACCCCGCCTGTTTATCGGAGCAGGAATGCAAGAACCGAAGGCTACAATGGGGCGGTGTACTGCTGTGACCAATGCTTGTGGCTTGTTGGTATTGCTGAGAAAATTTAGTTGCATGGAGGTGTCATATATACGTATACGGCGGCTGCGACTAAAGACTGCCCGTATGCAAGGACTCCGCACAGGAGCTCCAGACAACGTACAACAACCTTGAATTTACCGAGCAAATATATTTTACATGAAAGTTGATTTCTGTTGTACGTATGTAACCATTACTATTCAGAAGCTTCTGCAAGTACCGTATGTGTGTTTATGAATGGCTCTAGAATTTGTGCTTGGAAACGACTTCCCAGAAGCCCTTGCCTTGGAGAGTAGCGAGCTCCAGTTCAAGGACTGTAGGCTGGCGTGAGCCATCGCCCCCAGCGTAGGTTCCAGCACCCCAAGGAGAACCTGAGTAGAAGTAAAATTAGCAATCCTCAATCACCGACGCGAGGGAATAAACGTACCACCGCGAACTTCGCTCATGTTGGAGAGCTGTGCGAATGTGTTCTTGTAACCCAAGGGAACGTAGATGATTCCGTGGTGAGAGAGAGTGGAAAGGGAGTTGATGACGGTGGCTTCCTGTCCTCCACCTGGGGTACCGGTAGAAACGAAGACACCCGCGAATTTGCCGGCCAAGGCACCGCTGACCCACAACCCACCAGTTGCGTCCCAGAAAGCCTATGAGAGCGAGGCATATAATTAGATTTTTTCGAGAGAATTGAACGGATCAGAGACATACTTTCCACTGAGCAGGGAAATTGCCATAACGGGTAGGGACACCGAAGATGAAGGCGTCAAAGTTGGCGAGTTCGCTCGGTGTGATGATGGGGTAACTTGGCTTTGCGGGAGCATGCATCTTTGCAAGGACTTCATCGGGCAATGTTTCAGCAATCCTGATTAATGGAATAAGTAAGGCGATTACGCAGATAAGCCTAGGATTGAATACATACTGGTAAATGGTGGCGGAGCCTCCGGCAGACTCGACACCACTCTTGACGGACTCGGCCACTGATAAAGATAGATTAGGAGGAGGACGCGATTCTGGGGATCTGTACTCACTCTTGGCGATATGGCCGTACATGGAGTAAATGATGATTGCGACTTTAGGGGATGACATGTTGAAAGATGATCTGAAGCTAGTAGTTGACGACCAAAAGATGATAGGAAAGGATGTCGATGATACGATGTCGATGAAGGACTGATCAAGCTGGTATTTGTACTGAAACCTCAGTACTTTGTCCTTGCTTGCTTGACCATGTCGCAATCGATCAAATACGTCACTGACTCAGCGCCCGTATTGCAAAAGCACCAATGCAGTATGTTTCGACCCACACTAAAAGCCAAACCAGGACGATCGAGCTCACGTAGACTCACGATCAACTGCTATCCGTACCGTAATCGTGCTCTGTAATCGTTCATTTTACAAACTGACGCTGGGCGTTAACGCGAAGTGTGCCTATCTCTTAGAAATCCCAGGAATTTTTGTCTCTATTTGGAACCTTGATGATTCATCTGGTCCGTAGACCGTAGTCGGCGTTTGTCGCCAAACAGTCATAGTATGCAGTAGGTCACCATCAACAAGCCTAGTAATCTGCGGCAACATCGACAAGCTCTCGTGACAGCTTCACGGCCCCCACACCCTACCTCGAACAGAGAGGACAACGGTATGCAACTTCCAGGGTAACTTCATCCTGATATATATAGCAACATGTTCTTAAACGCATGCAAAAGACATTTTCCATTGAAGGAGTGTTGTTCTGAAGGCGAGGCAAGGTTAGATCATCAGAAGACGTCATCAAATGGATTATGCAACGGTACGGCCTCCATCCAAGCGACTTACTAGTCCTACCCATTTATATAAAGGTGTTTTTGATCTTGCGGCGGCAGATAAACCTTGTCCACAATTCGCAGGCCACATCTCACGCTAGACATGAATATTTCATTTTAAAGGCTGGCCTCTATATCTTCGTAACTGGGAAACTATTTTTTCTACAAATACCTCGGAATGTGTTTCCCTGGAAAACGACAAAAAGACAACTTCGCTGAGCCAAAACCCACACCTCCAGATACAAAAGCTCAAGTGAATCAACCAGAGCAACCAGTTTCTCCCCCCGTTCTCCCTCCACTTTCATCTGTTTCTCAATCCAATATGTCTGCCCCTAGGGTCGCTATCGTCATCTACTCCCTTTATGGTCACATCACAAAGAGTGCGTCTTCTTTGCCATACTTCCACCTCCTCGCTTAACACATACTCACAGTGGCTGAGGCCGTCAAGACTGGTATCAGCGGTGCTGGTGGTAGTGCCTCCATTTACCAGTTCGTCCATATACACCTATCAGCTATGAGCCCACATTAACTTCACTCCAGGATCCAGGAGACCCTCTCCGAAGATATCTTGAAGCTCGTCAAGGCCCCCCCTAGACCCGACTACCCTGTCCTCGTCCCTGACGACCTTGTCAACTTTGACGCGTTCCTCTTCGGTATTCCCACTCGTTACGGTAACTTCCCCGTTCAGTGGAAGGTACGTTACCTTGTATTTACAGGGTTGACTCCGTTCATTGATGCACTCATACAGGCATTCTGGGATGCCACCGGCCCTCTCTGGAGCAAGGGCGCTCTCCAGGGCAAGATGTGCGGTGTCTTTGTCTCCACTGGTACCCAAGGTGGTGGTCAGGAGATTACTATTGCCAACACGCTGTCCACTTTCGTGCACCATGGTCTCATTTACGTTCCCCTCGGCTACAAGCATTCCTTCCCTCAGTTGTCTAACCTGACCGAGATCCACGGTGGTAAGCACTTCTCTCAGATGAATGGCCCCCCGTAAATTAACGTTTTATTTCCGAACAGGTTCTTCTTGGGGCGCGGGAACCTTTGCAGGCACAGACGGCTCCCGTCAGCCTTCACCTCTCGAAACCGAGATTGCTGCCATCCAAGGCAAGGCTTTCTGGAACACCGTTGCCCAGTACCATGGCTACGCCAAATCCTCGTGAATCTAGATATTTGATATGTACAGATTCAGCTTGGATTGTATATATATTGCGCGCGCACAATAAAAATTCTCGAGTGCTTTATCTTTTTGCCAGGCCTCGTGCAAAGTGCCATTACATACGATAGATTAAAAGTTGGCTTTTCTGATCATCCTTGTTCATCAGTGCGTGATTAATCAGCTCATCCATCCATCAAGTCTGTGAATTTGTTCCCATGGGTTTGGAGCGCGGGCCCCTGTTGATACCCGATTAGTACTGCAACAATTGCGCCCATAAGGAACGGCGGCCTAAATTACCCATGTCGCATCAAAAGACTAGCACTCTCAGGATTGAGATCTCCGGTGGCAACTCAACGAAGACGACCATATTCGTGCGAAAGCTAGGCCAATTGTGACCAGTTTGTTTCACGGGAGGGTGGGCGCTCTTCTTCGATGAGTCTCATGCGGCCGCCATCAACTGTGCTACCACGTACTTTGAAGATCATGATCATGTAGTTAGGAAAGAAATCCGCGGCTCCTGAGGCTTGATGCCCAGTACAGGAAGCTCCTGCAGGCACCCTCGTTGGGTGCACCCTCACACGGCCTCCGTGTCCCAAATTGCAATAGTAGAATGATAAACACCGACTTGATCTATTTGTGTGGACTCATGGACGCTGGTTACGGAGAAAGGAAGGTGGAACTGATTGATTATGACCAATCCGTACGGAATATGATGGTGAACGAACAGATTACTGATCAGTGCAAAGCGCTCTACTTTTTCCATCGGTCTTTGGATCAAGCGAAGCTCATTTCTTCAGCCCAGTTACCCGATGGACGGTCTCCAAATGCACCATCTTCATCCGTCGCTGGTCCCCAACCCGCGTCGTCCTTGCTCTTGACGGCCTAGAGTATCTATCAGCATCCACAACTTGATCCACAGAAGTTAAAGTAACGTGGTCAAGCAGAAAATAGTGTCGGAGCCGACAGGGTTCGCACGTCGAGGACACACCTTTGTCAGATACTCTTTGTTCCTTTCCATCTCTTTCTCGAGCCTCACAAGGAGGGCGTCCTGCTGTTGCGCCTGTGCCAACACTCGGTCCACATCAGTCTTCTCGAATTTCACTGGCGGATCCGAGAATGACACAGTCCCATCTGCAGACAGCTCCGCGGAGATTTCCGAACACTCAATCTAACAGAAAGCATCAGTCATTCGTATAATTCGCCAAGGGAAATGAAGTCTACCATGCTCAAGATCAGAGATTTCACTTCATTCTCGTCGGAAATTCCCACTTCTCGTCCAATATCGGATAAATGTAACGTCAGATAAGTGGTTGTGAGTTTCTTTATGGCCCAACGGGGCGCGCGGTCGAGTGCCTGGGTGATGAGACCGAGAGTCCTTTCCTATACGGGTGGTTAATGATACACGGATTCATACACAATCAATGTCGTACATTAGCGAATAGTTGCTGCTCGTTTGCAGCTATTGTGCGAAGGTAGTCGCGCTGCAGAGGGTACGCATTCATAAAACTTGAGTAAGGAGTTGCCTTGAAAAGTCGCATAAGAATTGGGTGCATGTACTTGGATGGAGGTGAAGTCTGCCCAATCAGAATGCGTAAGCGAACCGTTCACCCATGGAGGATACTCGTACCTTTCCGCGGTATATCAACTGCACGAGGGTCAACTTCTTCAAGGCTTCCATTTGAATAGCGGAAGCCGCCGAGCCTGGACTTGATGCACAGATCTCAAAGAGTTCTTCTGCAGCTGACCAATTCTTTAGCGCAGCAAGTGCGATGCCGCCGGCGTAGTGGTATATTAGATTATCGTGGTAGGTTAAGTCGGAAAGTGAGAGATCAATTGTAGTGATCGAATGAGCTAGGATGGGGATTGCGGCTGTGAAATGGCGAGTGGCGACGCAAATCTGTAACAGTTGCTGGCGAGTCAGAAAGTTGGAAAGGCATCCAATTAACAATCTTACCGTCAGGAAAATAGGATGGATGGTGGTGAGATGTGAAAGGGTTGGAGCATATTTCACGAGCAAATCAGATAATGGCGAGATTGCAAGTTTGGGCTAAGAAACCTGAGATCGAGTGGAGAGCTAAGTCAATGGCATATCTTACGTTTCCTTCAACTTCAGCGAATTGTCGTATCCCAGTTGCAAAAAGTGTCACTGAACGTATATGGCCTCATTGTACCAGCACGTAAGTGAGGATAGGCTAACCTCGATCCGGTGCAAAGCGAGCATGTTCAGGGATAAAATCGCGGCAAAAACCCTCGATATGGTGCCACAAAGGCTTATCAGACGCGACAGTATGCAGTCGCGCAGACCTTCAGGAGATCGGTGTGCGTAATAAAACTTTCCAATAAGACTCACTCACAAAATGTAAAGCATGCCAAGTGTGTGATCTCGCGCGTTTAACAAAGTCAATGGATCTTGGCTACCCGGCAAAATGCTGGCCAGCAGGACTTCTCTGACATCTTTGGATGCGCAACTCCTCAGATATTGGTTTAATTGGGAAGGACTTGACGCCGAAGTTATAGTCGCGACAATAGAGCCTAACGAGACATCACTCGTAGATTGTCCAGCTGCATTCGATGATGACTGTGCAGGATTGGTGATTGACGTGGCGGATGTAGGTGGTGGAGTAGGAAGACCTGATTGATTCATGACACAAAAATTTAACACCAACTGCATTAATATGGTCAACGACATAGATACTGTCAGAGGTAAATGTTGAGGTACCGAGGATTATCTTGAAGATTTCCTTGGTGCGAGACAAACTAGAATGGACAATTGTTGAGACTTGGATGGCAGTTCTTTGGTCGAAGAATGGTGCTATGTACTCCTGTGTGCTCAGTGGTACTATTCAGGTTGAAAGAATGATTGCTCCTGATCGTCCCCATCGAATGCTTACCTAATCGACAGTTGTTAATTGTGAGCAAACCGATGCATTTATACTTGGTCCGAGTCGACTCATTTTGTTACAAACACCACAACCCGATATCGAGATGGAAGCCCGCATTCACCACGAGTTCGCTACTTTGTAAATGGGATTGCCGCAGCGCTAACTCACTTCGTTTAAGCTCATGGGGAGGGCAACTTGGGTTCAGATTGTAAGCCAACCTGAATGGGTTGGTTGTTCCAGCATATGGCTCTCGCAGACACTGGGGTAGGTACGCTCTTTTGGTACTTTTGGTACTCGTCGAGCCTGCTTATGACAATCATGATCATCACCCTGCAGAACTTGTCGGTGTCAAGGTTCTTATAGTCAACTCGACTGCAGGTGTGATCAAAGATTTTTGCGCGAAATAGACTCTTGGGACCATCAGAACGGCCGATCCTGATCGACTCGGCCACCAGCGCTTCGTCTACATCTCTTGCCAACGTTATCAACCGACAAGCTTTAAATTTGGTCAATGTCAGTGCGAACGTGGATACCTGATTTCCACTTCGGAGCCTGATATAGGTTCAATCATACATCGACACGAAATGGATGAATGATTCACTGATCACTTTTGAAAGCAGAACGGAGGAAAGGCTCATAAAATTGCCATCAGACTGCACCGCGGGGCCCGGGCTCTTCCACCACAGCAGAGGCCTGAGTCCCTGTGGAGCCTTGTACCGTGCAGAATACAAGAACAAGCGCCCGTAGATCATATTAAGTTGTGGGTCCATTTTATGTAAATTTGTATGGCTACGCGTGTTGCGCGTGAGACCAGCTGCTGTGATTATTACGGTCAATACAACGTTATTTAACTTGTTGTTCTAGAGTCTCAGTACCCCCACATACTTACTTTCGCGCTTCGACGGACCTCTCGAGGTTGTCCTGGAATTCTAAGGGCACATTTGTAACCTGGTATTGGTTACACCCAGGTTATGGCTAGCCAAAAGAGCACAATCTGGGTATTCTAAGGGAAAATTTGTAACCTGGTATTGGTTAGAGCCAGGTTATGGCTAGCCAAAAGAGCAAAATCTGGGCATTTCTGAACATGTCAAAAATGCGCAGAACAGGGGGGGTCGGATCTGGGCATTTCTGAACATGTCAAAAATGCGCAGAACAGGGGAGGTCGGATCTGGGCATTTTTCAACATGTCAAAAATGCGCAGAACAGGAGAGGTCCCAACTAGGCATTTCTCATTTTGACATGTTCAGAACTGCCCAGATTGGACCCCCCTGTTCTGCGCATTTTTGACATGTTGAGAATGCCCAGATCCGACCTCCCCTGTTCTGCGCATTTTTGACATGTTGAGAAATGCCCAGATCAAACCTCCCCTGTTCTGCGCATTTTTGACAATGTTGAGATTGCCCAGATTGGACCTCCCTGTCTGGGCGCTTTTGACATGTTTCAGAAATGCCAGATCCTACCGCCCCCCTTTTCTGCGCATTTTTGACATGTTGAGAAATGCCCAATTGGACCCTCCCTGTTCTGCTCATTTTTATGACATGTTGAAAGCACCCGATTGACCCCCCTGTTCATGCGCATTTTTGACAGTTAGAAATGCCCGCGAGATTGGACCTCCCTGTTCTGCGCATTTGTGACATGTTCTGAAAGTGCCCAGAAGGGAACAGACGCACCCCCTGTTCTGCGCAATTTTTGACATGGTGAGAACTGGCCCAGATCGCAACCTCCCCCCCTGTTCTGGGGGCGCTGTTTGACATGTTGAGAAATGCCCAGGATTGGACCCCCCTGTTCTGCGCATTTTGACATGTTTTCAGAAATTGGCCCAGATCGCGACCCCCCTGTTCTGCGCCCCCCACCCTCCCCCATTTTTGACAGTTTGGAATGCCCAGA